AGCCACAGAGATTAAATTAAGTTTTCCTTTTCCTAACATTTAATGATTTCAGTTTCTCATTTAGTTCTTGATCTTGACATACTCATATTGGAAAAGGCAAATACCGTCAAATTAATTGCCCACTTCTAGAATTCAATTTCCTTTCTAGCTTCAGGTTCTTCTTAGATGAGAAATATATACTCAGTTTATGAGGACAGACTGTTCAAAAGCAAATCAAAATAATGTATTTTTGGAATTAAATAGAGCTATGGAAAGCAGAAGTTGAATTTCTTATTGAAGTTTTTGTTGGTAGAATAATTCATTCATTGGGAATAACCCTAAAAAAGATATCTGCAGCTTTTTTTGATGGTCCAACTAAATGTATTTTCTCAGTGGTTTGAAGGTTTCCATGAGTATATCATTTATCAAGTGAGAGACTGAACATTTTGTTTTCTACTAGTACAGTCTAATCTCTTCAGAGAAAAAATTCTCTCCAGAGGGAGTTGTAGCTACATTTTATATTTTGAAGTCATTTGTTTCATTCATTCATTTGGGCAAAACATTTGACACGATAAAGTTTAGAACAAAGGTCTATGTTTATGTTACCAGTTATTCTAGACAGTTCAAACTAGTCTTCTTTAGTGATGGGCATTAAAATGTTAAGGATTGAAAAGTCAAATTATTTGTCAGCGAAGAGGTAGTTGCTTTTCGTTAAGTTGGGTAGAGACCAGCCTATGAACTTTATTTAGATGGAGAGCAGGTGTGATTCAAGATGTGGTATGACCCAAGAAGTAAGGGGGATTTCTGCAAAGGAGGTAGACTAACAGAAAACTTAAAGTGGACATTCTTCTTGAACGACTCCAATCAAATCTTCAATGCAGTCCTTGGTTTTCTGTGAGTTTTAAGGAAAGATGGCTATGAATGTGAAAAGAATAGATTTGAGAGGAAGCTCACCCCTCAAGGAGGGTTGCCCCGCACCCAAATTAAAGACTCATAACTAAGCAGAAATATGTAATTCCCTGGAAATGCCTTTTTTCCCCCAGTAGGTGGTACAGGAAATGAGGGGGGAAGGCCCAGTTACCACATGAGCCTCGGAAGTATCTTCTGCCCCGTCCAGACACCGTCCCGGCATAATATTGTTGTAAAACGCCAGCTCCCAAAGCAGCATCTGCCGGTGCATTGGAGCGTGGAAGTCCCATGACGAGGCTGCATTCTCACGATCTGTTTTTACATTCCCCTAATAGCCAATGTTTTCTGTTTTTAAGCTGTTTTTTGTATAACCCGTTGTATTCACTACTGGCAAAAAGAGTATTTGCACAATAGAGTACAGACGCCATGGAAGACTGCTGTGGACATGCTCCACCCCCCCCACCCCAGCCCCCGTAAAGGGGTATAGTGTTGGTTTGGGAACTTGGCGTTCTTTGTTCTTTCTAGCCAGCCAAAAGATTTGGTTGTTGAGAGTCACATTTAATTGAGTGATGATTTACGTTGAAAAATAGCTACCGATGTCTACTAGCTAATGTCTAATAAAGTTGCCATTCGTGTAAAGAGTTTTATTCAGGCAGTCTTTCCTTCTGGCAGCTTTTCTGTGAAGGACGGTGGTCTCCATTCAGTTTCACTATTGGTGCTTTTCACTTGGTCATTGGCCAAGGTTGTGGATAAGCGAAACAATGAGTTTATAACGTACAGGATGTGTGTACACAAAAAAACAGAGTTTGCATGGTTTGGAGGCAAAAGAAATAACCTTGGTAAAATGCTGGCCTTCTGACACTTTCTTCACAGCCAAAAATAGCTGTCAGGCAGCAGCCTGCGAAACAGCGTCAAATGATTTTCAGCAGAAGTCAGGAGGCTGCAGAAATTATATCATTGGCGCTGCATAGAAGTAGCCACAGGGTAGTGCAGTTTGCAGGGTTTTTTTAAACGTTTCCCATTTTTAAGATGACTAGATTTTGGAATGCATTTTCTTACAGAATTACAAAGAGATTTAGGATTCCACACCAAGCTTCAAAGCATCTTGAACCTACCCGAGTAATAGTTCTGTTTCACCTTCCTGTAACCTCTGTTTGCACACCACCACGGCTTCTTTGGAAAATGCGCTCCCGTGGCAGCAGGAGAGGCCTAAGAATTCTTTCCCTCTCCTCAATAGAAACCCCCAGTCAGGGGCACTGAGCAATGGCCAAGCTGTCATCAACACAAATGCCTTGCATAAAGAAAGCATTTCCCAAGGTCTTCCTCTTCCTGACCATTTGGGACTGTGGCATAAAGGGAGACTGGTTCTCTGCAGGGGCAGGAAGTCCGAATTGCTGCTGTCTTCTGTTTGATCGTATAAGTCATGTGTGAATTGAGTCAGGGAATTTTTATACCGATATGGAGGAGAAATAACACATTTTCTATGGTTTTGTTTTGTGCTGCACTCAAGAGAGGTTATGTACACAAACTAAGCTCTTTGAAGGCCTATTTGCTTTTGTATCTCCAGCACTTAGCACAGTGCCCAAGACAGGAAAGATGCAGGGTTTTTTGAATGAACGAATGGATGAATGGATGAGTGAATAAATGGACGGGTGGATGGGTTAATGAATGAATGAATAGCCAGCCTTCATGACGTGCTGTAAATTCTGCATGGTTTTCAGAGATTGTGGTGATTTGATAAATACATTATCCTTACAGCAATTTTAAAGTTGAATGGTGGCTTTTAGAGTGATGGCCTTTTATAGTTCATTGGCTTTCTCATAGGAGCCCCGGTGTGTTTTCTAGAACTGTAAATGGGGTGGCCTGTTTGCCCTCAGTCCCACGATGAGGCAGTTGTTTGTGGTGCAGTGGAAAAATTAGCAGAATAAAGAGATTGCCTAACTGAATTAGATTGCCAAAGAACAAACTGTAATTTTCCAAGTCACACAAAAAAAATTTCCCAATCTCAAGAGCAAGGAAATGTTTCATTTTAAAATAACAAGTGTTCTTCCTTTTGACCTTCCTTTTGACCTTACCTGCAAGGCCCACCGTTTCCTGCCTGCATCTCCATCAGCCACAGGAGGAGTGAGCGTAGCGGACAGGCATGGGCTCTGGAACTTGGGCCCCCCGGACTCGAACCCGCTCTGCCACCTGGTCCTCTGTGGCCCTGGTCGAGTTTTGTGAGCTCAGTGATGTTTCCTCACTTGGAAAGGGGGAGACACAGGACCCTTGCCGTGCCCAAGTGAGCTACAGCCTGGGAAGCACCTGGGGCGCAGAAGCGCTGCACACACGTGGTCGTGTGATCACCCTCTGTGCGCGTTGTGTCTTTTTGCCTCTCTGCCTTTGCTCACGTCGTCCTTTTTCTTTAGTATATTTGAGGAGTTCCCAGCCCCTTTTTAAAGTCTCAGTGTGAGATGCTTCCTCACCGTGTTTCTTCATCTCTCTCACTGCCTCATCTGCGTCCCCAGAGTAGTCGATGGCCGTAGTCACCAGGCACCACAATTGCGTGTCCCTCCCCTACGCACTCGGCACGTTCCTTATGGAGCGTGCTTGTGTTTGTCTCTGCTCCCGCCGCACGCATGTGGTGTTAATGGAACACGTGTTCGGTGGTTTGATGGACGTGTGTATGGGAGTCTTCTGTAAGTTGTACAGTGTTACCACATGGTCGTGCTCTGTTGGGGCCTGCCACTGACCTTGGCATGTAAGGAAGTAGTTGTTTGGTGTTTGAATACCGAAGATGTTTAAGAGAATGCATTACTGTGGAGCCAGCTGAACAGTGGCTCCAGATCCTAGACTGACGTTTCTTTATCATCTGTATCTAATTGATTTTAGTAGCTTGTAAAACCTTGTGCATCTGAAAGATCTTTTCCTTCCTTTCTACTGTAGGCGTCCTAGGTATCAGGTTCAGTCCCACCATTTTAGTTGATTCTCACACTACCTCCCACCAAGATTTTAAAACTGATTGGTTTAAATATAATATTTTACTTATATTCTGTAGTATCTTAATGGCTAAATCTTGATGACTAGCATGGCAAGCTCACGTGTCAGGCACCCAGGACTTTAGTATGCTGATTCAAATCCTCTTCCAACCCTACTAGATGGAGGTGCAGTTGTGTTACACGCTTTTATGGCGAGAGAACTACAGCTTACAGCTGTGGGGTCACTCGCTCTAGGTCACAGCGCTGGTAGATGCTGGGTCCAGGCTGTGAACTCAGGCCATCGGCATCTGGGGCCTGGACTTGCAGTTCCTTCAACTGCCTGCTCTTCTCACATTTTACTTGAACTTTATCTGTTTTTTTTTTCTTAACTTAATTTGAGGTGATATAGCTAAAGTCGCTAATGTTTGACTCAGAGTAGATGATCAAAAACATGATAGTTTTTCTTTCTTCTTTCTGATGTGATACCATAAGAGATAAATTCAGAAATGTTGTATAAAAACAAGGAACATGAGCAATGCAGGGAGTCATACTCTCCAAACCTGTACGGACTTTTACTTCTTTGTCACAGTGCTTGTTGGACGTCTCATTTTAATCCACAAAAATATTCTCGTGTGTAAGAAGTCACAGAATATCGGAAAAAGGGGGAGAGTAGTAGATCTGCCTCATTTCAATGTTCGGTTTTCTTTTTCATCGAGACCTTGTCTTATCAAAAAACGACTCACTTTTTAAGACGTCTGTGTGAAATTTTAAGTGTTCTTGTCACTATGTATATTTAATTTGTCTAATGTCTTAACTAACAAATATTTGTCATTTTGAGATTTTTTTAAGTCACCTTTGCAGTTTGATTTAAACGTGGATAACCTTGATGCCCAATATCTTAAGATCCAAATAACTCACACAGTTCCACTGTGACTTAGATTTGGAAATCCAGGTAGATGTTTCCTGATTATTATTATATGAGCAATATCCCGATACAGTGTATTTTACCATTATTTTCTTCCTTAACATCAGCATTATATTTGTATAATGTTTATTGTGTATCAGGGGTAGGCTTTATTATGTTTAGAGAACACGTTTTAAAATGCTTTAAGCTCTCTGTTTCATGGAAGTACTTTTTATCTTTTTAAAAAACAGGTAAATCAGCGAACTGGGAGGACGATGGCTGGGGAGCGTGGGAGGAGACTGAGCCCCAGGAACCTGTGAGTCTTCCTAAATGTGTGCTTGCTCTCCGGGAGCGGCGCTCTCCTTTCGCAACGACGGTGACACATTTCAGTGTCAGGCTGACATTTTAAAATCTTTGTCAAGGGCATTTTTGTGCTTACTGAACAGCACTAAGTAGATACCTGTTGTTGCTACTGTGGTCATGAGCAACTCCAAAGGCATAGCCAGCTCCAGAGACACAACAGGAACCCGAGTAAATTTTGGCAGATGCATGAGATGCAGAGGTACATGCTGTAGTCAAGGTAACAGGTGTAGCCACCTAATCAGAATAGAAACAGTCGGCGAACTCAACGCCTGCTTTGCCTGCGAGCCGCACTGACAGGTCTCGTCCACACGAGAGGGGAGGCCGGTGCTGGAAGAGGTGAAATGTCTCGAAGTCAATTTCTGGTTGCGTTGTGACCGGAAAGGGACCAGGACCGAGGCGGACCTGCCCCAGCACGGTCTGGAATGTGTGGGCTCTTGACTTTGTGCGGGAAAGATTTCCTGACGTGAGTTCGGGTGATTTTGGGAGTAAGTTTATTAAAGCTGGGGACAGTGAAACGAAGGAAGGGCTTACGATGGAAGAGGCGAGATTGCAGCGACGGTAGTGAGTCCCGGCAGGGCTGCCTGGCCCTTCAGAAGGAAAGCCAAAGGGGGGAGAAGTGAGCCACCCTGGACCACGGGGACTCAGGAAACAAGTTAGGAGGCGAAAGGAGGCCCTTGGAGTCAGGTTCGGGGGTCAGCCCGGGACGAGCTGCCAGTACCCGCCGCTCCCTTAAGTCTCCTGGGAACACGTAGAGCTCAGGAGCACTAGAGCAAAGATACACGGCCAAGGAAGGAGTGGGGGAAAGGCACAGGCCTGCTCCAGGGAGAGGGCGCAGTGAAGGAGTCCTTTGTCTTGAGGGTTCTTACCTATTTTCTAAAGACAGGAGTTTTAGGGGACATCTCAATCAGAATATTCATCAGCTTTTTAGGTGTGCCTATTGATATGCTGATGCATCCAAATGAGCATAGAGAGGAATCAGGTCATTCTCTGGTCAGCTTCACCTTCAACAATGCCACCTGAAAGGGCCTGTCCCCAGGCCCAGGGGTCCGCCCCAGCACAGTGGGGAATGTGTAAGCCATTTGCTCCTCAGTGTCCTTGGTTAGAGAAGAGAAGACCTTGCCATTTGTTTTCTGGCTGTAGTTTTCCTCCTTTTGTGTCAAAGAAGTCTCCTGGCATCTTCCTAACCTGCCTCAGCGTCAAGGTGCTGCAGCGTAAAAACGGGTGTGGGTTCCCCACCAGTCCCCACTGGCCCGTGGTTGTGATGGCCAGCGGAGGAGAGGAACTGTTTCTCTGCTAACCTGGCTTAGAGGGTGTGGTGCTGGGGGGCTTCAGCAGGGCTGCGGTGGTGTGGTGAGGAACCCTGGTGGGGGGCGGCTCACTGCCCCTGCCCGCTGACCCGGAGGCCGGCCGGCCGCTGCCGAGTCCAGCAGAAAACTGTAAAAACCTCAGGGTGGTTTTTATTCCCACAAGTTTGTAGGTTTGGAGTGTTGTAATTTTGTTTGACGTGAACTTCTTACAAGTAATGAATTTGTTTTTTTAAATGATGCATGTGTATTACGGAAAATTCAGGTATTAGAGAAAAATAAAGAGCTAAGAGAAAAAACTAGAAGTATGTACAGGGGCGGGCAAAAGCAGGTTTTGCAATTGTGAGCTGAAACATAGAGTGTTTCCTTGTATCATTGTTAATTAGCGCATTATTTGTCGTCTGCTGTGAACCGACTTCTGCCAGCCCCTGCCTGCAGTGCGCTGCCCTTTGTGCTGGGAAGGGGGCAGGCTGTAGATGCGTGTCCTGTGTGAGCAGGAGGGTCTGCAAGTACACGCCGGGACCCACTGCCTGCGCTGTCTCCCGAGGGGGCAGCTGGGCGGCTGGAGTACAGGACTGGGAGAGGATCTCCTGGCAGCACCTTTGTAGAGCTGTCGATTTTGTTGACCGTGGGAATTCACCTGCACAGTGAGTGGATTTTCATTTGAAAAAATGAAAAACCTTTCAGGTCAAATTTATCAAATAATTCACAGACCCTACAACCGTAATTCTCGGACGGTTCTTTCTTGCTGTCTAGCTGCAGACCCCCTAGCCATTTCTCCAGAATGGGATTTTTACGAAATCGTTTAATACTGAATTGTTCTGGAGTGATCCCCATGCGATATTCTTTTAATGTCTTTCTAGTTTGTACTTGTTTACACTAAAGTTTTTGCATCGGTATTCAAAGCTATTCGTAGTGGATACTTTGTTGGTCATGTTTGACACGTTTTCATAAGGAATATTATGGAGACTTTATAAAAGATTTGGGAAAATTTCTTTTCCCCTTTTCCTTTCCCCTCGCAGTTTAAGGCAGACAAGCTGAAATGAGAAACTCTCAATATTTTCGCATGTACAGTCACTGTAGTTGTACCCACAGGAAGAAGAAGGAAATACTTGCAAGACACAGAAAACTTCCTGGCTTCAAGACTGTGTTTTATCCTTATCTCCAACCAATGATCTCATGGTTATAGCCCGGGAGCAAAAAGCTGTATTTCTAGTGCGTGAGTATCTATTGTTTCCCAGTGGCCTTAATGTTAATGCACTGACTACAACAGAAAATGTATTGGAAGGAAAACAGTGTTATTTATTTCTATCACATGCCTTATATGGTGGCATTCTATAGCTTATTTTCTGTAGTTTATTTTCTATATTGTATAAACTTTTTATTTCCTTTTTTGTATTTCTTTCTCTTTTTTTTCCTTTTCTGTCTTTTTTTTTTTTCTTGGCTGCAGACACTGGAGCCATCTCTTTGTGGCACTTCAGAGCCAGTGCTGGACAGACGCCGCCTCAAATTGAGGTTTTGGGTTTACACAGGGCATGCAAACCTCACTGATCACAATGAGAGCATACAGTAACTGGCTATGAAACGGTCTTGTAAAGTGAATTTAGCCTCCAGTGACCTAAATCTAACCTTTTATAAATAAAATAGGTGGGGGTACATAAGAATGAATAATTTTATTATATGGATTAAATTGGAAGGAGAGACTAAGGGTAGAGTTTTATAAAAATCTTAAAAATTTCAAAACTTTATTTTACGTTTAAGATCCAAATCTGTAATACAGAACTATTAAATTTTGTGCTCATCATTCTAAAGAGAAAGAGTCAAATTTATAAATTGCTGTTCTAGTATACTAATAGTTAACGTCATTTTATATGATAACTTAATTTTTTCAGCAAAATGGAAATATGGTGATAAAGGGAAGGAAGAAATGCAGTTTGCTGTTGGTTGGAGTGGCTCTTTACACGTTGAAGAAGGGTGGGTACCAGTCAGCTGTCTCGTCTCTGCGTGTGTGGAATGTGTGTGTGGAAGCGTCTGCCTTGTGAGTCAGTCTGCTGAGGAGTTTCATCTTTTGGAAGGTGAACAAATGTTCATTCCGCACCTTGATTTTACTCATCATGTGATTAAGAAAAAAAGCAGCTGTTTGGAGAGGATTTAAAGAAACACTCAGAGAAAATATTATAATATCCTTCCTACATTTCGTCTGTTTCTCTGTTTCCCATTACTAATTTTATTCAGCCAGAAATTCAAGGGCAGTAAGTATCTTATCTGCTTTCCTAGCACTGGGCTTGTACTTAAAGAGGACAGTGCTACATTCATTCTTTTTCTATTTTTGTTTTTATTTCTACTTTTTGTTGAATTTATTGGGGTGACATTGCTTAATAGAATTACATAGGTTTCAGGTGTAGTAGTCTATAATGCATCATCTGTATATTGTATTGTGTGTTCACCAGCGCAAGGCTACAGTAATTCTTAAAACTCAGAAACGCTTCAGAAATGCAGGTTGGTAAAGCAGGCGTCCTGCTGACTCAGTAAGAGTTTGCAAATCGCATCTCCAGCGTGGTTGCGTGATGGAGCCCAGCCTGGAGCCAAAAACTGCTCTGAATTAAATTTTTATGACTCAGAGCTCTCTGATGAGAACGAATAAGATTGTTCAGACTTTGAATTTAGACAAAAGACTCCCAAGTGCAAGCCTGGCACACTGTAGATACTCAGTGAAATGTCTTCTCGTATCACAAACAAACGCACTTCTCTTTGTCATTTAGTCTAAAGCACTTTAAAGACACTTAATTTCTGTCACAAGTGCAAAGCAAACATAATGGTTGAACTACTGTAAGGAAAACAAACAAAAAGATTGTGTTCAGTGATTACCCACTAGGATGTATGGGGCAGGAGTATTTATGGTTTCTTTGTTTATTTTGTTTTGTTTTTTAGTCATTTCTTGCATAAGCTAGTGATGGTCCTAAAGTTTGACTGATACAGTAAGAGTCAGTCAAAGAGTTATTTTAATTTTGAGGCTTGGTCTCTGAGCTCCTGACCAATTGCTCAAGTCTACATGTCAGAAGAGAAATCTCTAGGGAACAGCCGGGCTAGCGCGAGCTTAGAAGCAGGTTATCAGGGGCAGTTTCTGCCGCAGAGGAAGACGCAGCAGCCCACCCGGGAAGGACAGCGAGTCCCTGGAACGGTGTGCGCTCCGCAGACCTGCAGCAGTGGCACGGCGGGCGGTGACTGCTGCCTCCGCCGCTGGGCATGGATACTTTCTCAGTTCTGTGTCCGTAGTCGGTGCGCGGTCAGGTTTAGCTCTTTCCTTTCGTGCCTTTCACGACGATGCAGAGTGAAAGATACTGTTTCTTCTTTCCCCCAACCTCTAGTGGATGTGCCGTGGCCTTTCGTGGGAATGGACTTTAGGATCCCACGTAGGGCGGTGGCGTTTGCAGGGGCTTTGACTTGGGCGTTGAACCGGCGGGCCCCTGGAGCTCGCCGGCCCCCCCTGCGCATGCGCAGCACGCACCTTGGGCGGCGTGAGGGCAGGGGCGTCTTCGTCCGTGGGACGAGCACGTGACTTCGTTTCCGTTTCCAGGGAGTGTGTGACCAGCGCTCTGTGCATCCCCCTGGCCAGCCAGAAGAGGTAAGGGTAGATGAGAGGAGGTGGCTCGCTTGGCTCCGGCTCGCGGGCTGTTCCGGTCACGAGTTTTGTCTGTGGCAGGAGTTCCACCGGGCGCCCCGACTGGACCTGCACCGTGCTGGGCTTCACCTCCGGCTCCGTGCGCTTCTACACGGAGGTGAGCGGGGGAGGAGGTGAGCGGGGGAGGAGGTGAGCGGGGGAGGAGGAGAGCGGGGCCAGCCGCCAGAAAGCCCCGCCGACTGGCGCACCCGGCTCGCAGCCCCGCTGCGCGCACTGGTGACTGCTCCCCTGCCGCACGTGCTGGGCCGTGTGGGCGGCACCTGATGGCGAGGGAGGCTGCCCAGGGCGGCGGGGGTGGCAGGGAGCTCCGGGGGGAGCTGTGCAGAACAGAAGCTGTGTGCTTCCGAGGGGAGGGGACCTGGGGGCCGGGGGAGGCTTGCCGGGGACACGCCGTGTGTGACGGCGGGAAAACAGGCGGGCTGCCCTCTGTGCCCCCCCCCAGAACGGCGTGCTCCTGCTCGCGCAGCTGCTGAACGAGGACCCGGTGCTGCAGCTGAAGTGCAGGACCTACGAGATCCCCCGGCACCCCGGCGTGACCGAGCAGGTAGCGGGGGCGGGCCTGTGCGCGGAGCCCCGGACGGGGCCTTCACTTCGGCGTCGCCTCGGCCAGACCAGGCATTCTGAAGTTCATTTCCCACTTGGTTTCACGCCTCCTCTGCCTGCGAGTGCCCCGTGCGTTGGCGCCGACAGCTGCTTAGTCCCAGTGTTTCTTTATTGTGCATGAGTCACGGCTCTAATGGAAAAGCGGATGCGCTAATTCGGCAACGACCATGCTCTTCTCTCCTGTTCCTCGGGCAGAATGAAGAGCTGAGCATCTTATATCCAGCTGCCATTGTGACCATCGACGGGTTTAGCCTCTTTCAGTCTCTCCGTGCTTGTCGAAACCAAGTAGCAAAAGGTAATTTTTTGGCGAGGAATAGCAAACTTGTGACGATGATTGCCTTGTTTAATTGAGCCTACGTAGACAATTAAATGCGTCTGCTAAATTAGAAAGGCCTTCCAAAACGAGGTTCGCGGGAAAAACCCCGCTGCCGTGGAAATGGGCGGACGCTGCTGGCGGATTGCCCGGTCAGCTAAAGGTGGGGCTGAAACGTGGACACATTGCCCCGGAGAGCGTGCCCAGCACAGGGTGATTCGGCAGCGCGTCCTGGCCGGCTGGGGGAGAGATTCGCCCTGAGTTAAAGCTGAGCAACCAGGTTGCTCCCTGGGTCAGCAGCCGTTGGGCCAGTTTTCTGCCAGCGAAAGACACCCCATCAGCTTTACACCCGGTTTTAAAGGTGGTGCAACAGAGGGAAGAAGAGCCTTAATGTCGGCCAGAACACCTGTGTCCCTGCCACCACGGTCAGGGCCGCTGTCTCTCCCCGGGGTGGGGGGGCGGAATTGCTTACTCGGCTCCAATTGCTGTGTGGATTGACCTGGGGTATTAGTGATAGTCTAGAACTGTTAACAGTCGTCTCTAATTGCTGGAGTGTTCCAGAATTTCTCGTGACAGCCGGCGGGCCCTTGTAATGTTTACGTTTTACTCAAATTGTCTTGGCATAACTGGATTTTGCTTTACGCCTTAAGATTACTTTGTCGATTACTATAAATTGAAACGTTAGAATAATAAGTTATTACATGTTTGTGGTTTTTTAAAACTAAAACTTCATTCTGTCCTTTACAGTTAAGCTTGGTATGTCTAATTTTTATCTTTGACAGCTGCAGCGTCAGGCAATGAGAACATACAGCCACCACCGTTAGCTTATAAGAAGTGGGGTCTACAAGATATTGACACTATTGTTGATCACGTTAGTATTGGTAAGCATCTCTAGTTCAATTCTTTTGGAATTTACTTCTTGTGCTTTTCAATTGAAACACCTCATTGATTAGAATTGTAGGTTTATTCTTATATGAAGAGAAAATGCATTGCTTTTAGTGAAACACTTGGAAGTTTGTTCTGACTTATGGGTTATCATAGATTTCTGTCTTTAAGTTTTAATAATTATGCCCTCAGCAGCAGTACTGGACAATGTGAAGCCACTCACTATTTAACTTAATTTTTCTGCAGACAAGGTCAGTCCCTATAATTACCATAGGGATTGATTAGTCTTTTCAAAATGCACCCTTTACACCAGCGGACTGCAGGTAAAGCAGGTTTCTCCTTGGGAACAGGGTTCGAAGGCTCGCTGTGCTGGGCGTCAGGAGTACAGGGATGGAAAGACGTTCGCGGTCCCTGCTCTCAGGAAGCTGAGTCTCGTTGACAGGAACACGTGGGGCAGTTACAGGACTGCAGTCTCACTGGTAGACAGAGGCTGGGCTGGAGTGGAGAGTGTGGACAGATGTAAATGCATTTTGCCCTTGCAGAGAAGTGGACTTTTGTTCAGTGGTCACGGGGAAATAGATATCCTGACTTCATTCTCCTTACCCTCTTTGGTCTCCTGGTGGGGCTTCCCAACCGTCTGGCCCCAGCTGGAAGTCCGCATGAGAACAGGCAGGAGTGTGAGTCTGGGGGCTGACAGAAACTGTCTGGCACACAGACCGCCTGGCTACTGTTGCATAGAATCCTGTGGAACACTCTGTAGTAAACCCCTTGGTGGTAGATGTTCAGGTTCTCTTTACTTTTTTGCTAGCGTAAAAATGCTACAAAATTCCAAAGTGTTGAGTTCAGTCCAGGGTGGCGTCCCTGTTCTGTTAATTGAGCTTTGGAACATTGAAACAGGCTAGGGGAAACGACTGGATAGAGGGCATGTCTCTATTCATGTATCTCCCAGCCAACAAAAGGAACAGAAAGTGCAGTGTAAGGTTCTGACCAGTTCATTCAACAAATAAATGAATGAGTAACCACCTGGTGCGTCCCAGGAACTAGTATTAGTGCCAGAAATACAAGGCAGACAGGCCCCCTGCCCTGCTGAAGTTCGCATTCCGGCGGTGAGGAGACAAACAGTAAACAGTCAAACCGGATGTATAAATATGGTAATACCAAAATGTTGGTGAGCATCATGAAAAAAGCAGCCGAGTTACGACAAAGGTGGAGTGTGCGTCAGGTGGGCCTGTGAGGAGGGGCCTCCCCCGGGAGGTGGCATTCAGACGGCGCACGAAGGGCGGGAAGGGGCCGGCCCTGGAAGAGGGCAGGAAGGGCGTTCTCAGCCGAGGAAGCAGCAAAGACGAGATGCAACGTCTCATGGCGCAGAGGAATGATGGACAGCAATTTCGGTCTTACAAATACGTTACAGTAATAATTTTGTAGCTTCTAAAAGTGACTTTTCCCTGCTGCATAGAATTGAGAAGTTAGTATCTTCGAATGGAGTTGAACACTCAGTGACCTGCGGTGGCAGTGTCACTTTGGTGCATTCAAACCGTGTCTTGCTGTCGCTTTGTCGTTAGGCATTATGACGCTGTCCCCTTTCGACCAGATGAAGACGGCCTCCAACATAGGCGGGTTCAACGCGGCCATTAAAAACAGCCCACCCGCCATGTCTCAGTACATCACCGTGGGGTCCAACCCGTTCACCGGCTTCTTCTACGCTTTGGAGGTGAGTGCTCCGCCCCCAGGCACAAGCATGGCCTCGGGCTGATGTCTCACCTGGTCTGCAGAGTGGACGGGCCACGGGCTGGTTTCTCCCCTGGTCTGCAGAGTGGATGGGCCACGGGCTGGTTTCTCACCTGGTCTGCAGAGTGGACGGGCCACGGGCTGGTTTCTCCCCTGGTCTGCAGAGTGGACAGGCCACAGGCTGGTTTCTCACCTGGTCTGCAGAGTGGACGTGGTACCTTAGCCTTAGAAAAATTAGGCAGTTCCCATTTTTAAGTTTCCATTTAAATGCAAATGGATCTCGGCTCACTTTCTTCTAAATTCTTGAATCCACTGAGAAGGAACTAAAGTCCGGGTAGAACCGACTCTTTGTTTCTGATGCCCCGAGTTCTTGGACACTTTGGACACTTGGGCTGCCCTCGGAGAGGGGGGCGTGGTCAGCGGCGCGGGACTGCGGGGGCGGCTGCCAGGGGTGCACGTCGGCGAGGAGCCGTTCGCCCAGAGCACGCTGCCCACAGTCGTCATCCGGGGGAGGGGGTGAAAACTGCCCCCCCCGTCATCATGGGGGGGGGGTGAAAACTGCCCCCACTGTCGTCATGGGTGGGGGGCGGGGGTGTGAAAACTGCCTCGGAGAAGCGGGGAGCGCGAGGTGTCCGATGTGGCAGCCCTTCTTTCTCCCTTGAAAAGCAGCCTCCTCAGAATCACCCGACTTACCTTTTCACTTTAATAAAAATGTGTTTTGTTTTAAAAAGAGGGGAATGGGAAATCCACACCCTGCTTCAGTAACGCCATCTTAATGCCCTCGTTCAACAGTTTCAATTAAACTACAACCTAAAGGGGGCTCCTGCAGATGAGAGAGACCGCCGGTGGTTTTGACATTTACACCGTAGGGTCGGGACTGTCGATGGTGTCTGCCCCTCCTACGATGAAGATTTCACTGCGGCCTCTGAAAGACGCCGCACAGTTTTGCCGGTCCGGGCTCTAGAGCGTCTGGGACGTTTTGCGGTGGGCCTGGTTTGGAGCGCGTGCCTTGCCCCCGCGCAGCCCTCACGCCCGCTCCCCACCGCCCTGTCTTCCAGGGGAGCACGCAGCCGCTGCTGTCCCACGTGGCTCTGGCCGTCGCCAGCAAGCTCACTTCCGCCTTGTTTAACGCCGCCAGGTAACTGCACGGCCATCGCGTGGAAACGCCTCTGATTCCTGTCTAGCTCGGTTTGGGCCTCTGATTTGGTGGCTGCACTTTGGCCCTCTGGAAGCCTCGGTTCTATTTCCACGTTTCCCCTTTCCAGTGGTTGGCTTGGCTGGAAGAGCAGGCACGAGGAAGAAGCTGCCCCAAAGCAGAAGCCGAAGGTGGAACCCGCCACCCCGTTGGCTGTCAGGCAAGTTGGCCCCTAGTCTGAGTCCGCGGTGTTTGCGCTGGGAGGTGGGCGGTCCTCCAGTGCGCGCAGCTCTCGTGGGTCTTCAGAGCCTTGGGGAGTCCTGGGTTGGGGACCATTCCCCCGCAGAACTCGAACCCCATGCAGACAGTGTAGCATTACCCGATATAAAGTACCACCGTGGAGGGAAGTAGGACCTCCCACCCTTTGTCCATCTTCTCCTAAAGAGATACAACTGTCATCAAAATGAATTGAAGTTTATCTTCTAAGGTTTTTTTCATCTTATTTTAAAAAGGTAAGATCTTGTGTAAATTTTTAAATCCACCCAAGAATGAAGAAATAAGCCAGATGGCCCTGTGCATCCCAAATAGATGTGGCCAATTTGAGCACCTCGTCTCAGGGACTGTGGTCATCGTGACCTCCCCCGGTCCTTTCTCAGCACCTCTTTCCTTTTACTTTACTCACAGTTCTAGTAAGATTGACTGTAGACCCAGAGCAGCTTGGAGAACTATTTAGAAGAAGGGAAGTTCTCGCTTTGGACTCATAGCATCAGGAAATACGAAATCTATCCAAAGAGAACAGATTAGGAATAAGAACTTAAATAGACAAAAGATGCCTGTGTAAGAGCAAAGTTTTCTAAAGTTTAGTTTGTCGTGAGGGGATCATTTTCTACGACATAATGCTTGATCAAGGAAATATATAATATACTCGATGTTTTCTGAAAACAGGAGGTTGTGGGTGTTTACGTAGAAAACCCATGAGACAGACGTTTTTATTTTATAATGGAAGACACTTCCTTGTGTATGTCATAGTGCAAACTGTCAGGCATAAATAATCATTAGTCCATGCAAGATTCATATTTCTTTATGTAAAAACAGATTCGGCCGATTTCACTTACGTATTTCGTTCTCATGGTGTATGTGTCCAGCTTGGAATATGATGGGAGCTTTTTGTTTCTTTTTGACCATCAGGTTTGGGCTCCCAGACTCGAGACGCCACGGCGAGAGCATATGTGTGTCCCCGTGCAACACGCTGGCGGCAGTGACGGACGATTTCGGCAGAGTCGTTTTGTTGGATGTGGCCCGGGGCATCGCCACACGCATGTGGAAAGGTGCTTCCTTACGTAAATCGTGCGGTAGAGGAGCAGCGCTGTCATCCTCTTCCTCCGGGCTGATGGCACTGTTTAATCCTTTATCCCTGTGCTTTTTTTTTTTTTTAACATGAACTCGTATCAGCAACCCTCGACCCAGGAATCCAGCTGGTGTATCTTTAAGTCTGACTCATAGGCATTTCCAACATCTTTTTTATGTTCTTTGCAGTTCCTGAACTCAGTGTTTTGCCCCTGCTGCACTCATTCCACTTCACAAGGCCAAGCTTGAGTCACATGTTCTTCCCAAATCTAGAATGCCAAGCTTTTCATATTTAAGAGCAAAATCTCACAGAGTCTCTCTTTGCTGACTTGACCTCCACATCCTACACTGGGGTCCGTTTACTTAGTTTCTTGGTAACTATGCCAGTTGGGAGTTACATTTCACTGCTAATAACAGACTCAAGTATAAGACTGATATGAAATCACCACAATATCCTCAGGAACCCACTGTCCTTCCATGCAGCTTCCCCACACAAGGCTGTCTCATGGTGCAAATGGCTGCTGGGGCTCCAGCCTTCTTACCTCTATCCCAGGAAGGAAGAAGGGGAAAGGAGGAAGTGCCAATTGAGTCCATCTGCTTCAAAGATATTTTCTGAAGTCCCTCCGTTCTTTTTCTATGAAACATTAGCCAGGAGTTAGTCACATGGTCTTACCTCACTGTCAGGGAGACTTGAAACTGTGAAGGCACATTGCCAGCCTGAACACAGGGAAGTGTCTTTGGCTAAGGAAGAGGTGGAGAGTGAGTCGTTTGGAATCACTTGGAATAGTAACATGCCAGCGCAGGTTGGAAAACACCTCATGGTGCAATCTGGTCTGTACTTCACACTGTGAGGAATAATGGATTCGAGGACCTGAAGTCACTCTGGAGCAGTGGAGTCCACTCTCAGCGTGTCACCAAAGAACTGCAGGGCTTACCGGCCGCAGTTTTGAGCGTCTGTGGAAATAGGTTTTGGCGCTGAGATGCACCGTTTCTCCTTGTGCTTGCCTTCTGAAGCTGCATCGACCGTATGTTCTCAGCGGGACTTTCCCAGAACGTAGAAGTTGTAGGTGCAGCAGCCGGTCCCAAGCCATGGCGGCGCTCTGATGGCTGGCCTTCCCGCTCGCCTCTCAGCCGCTGGTGCAGCTGGCTTTCCTCCCTGTGCTGGGAAGGGAGGCATCGGTCGCCCGTGAGCAGGGCGCCCCAGGAAGGGAAATGTGCCAGCAGCCCCTCAGTCGGTCAGCCCTGTCTCCCACCATTAAGGGGACTCGAGTAGCAGGAAATCAGTCAGCTTGATCTCTTTCTTACATTGTAATTGGACTGTTACTTTAAATCCAAACCTGATCACCTTCCCAGCATGCTTTAAAGGGAGAGAGGTTTTTAAAGAGAGGGAGGCACGGGAATGGGGTCCGGGGAGGGTACTCACAAAGCTGCAGTGATACCTGTTTTCTTTTTTTAAAAAAGGTAATGTCTTGGCTGGCGTAGCTCAGTGGATTGAGCACAGGCTGCGAACCAAAGTGTCGCAGGTTCGATTCCCAGTCGGTACATGCCTGGGTTGCAGGCCATGACCCCCAGCAACCGCACATTGATGTTTCTCTCTCTTTCTTTCTCCCTCCCTTCCCTCTCTGAAAATAAAAAAATAAAATCTTTAAAAAAAGTAATGTAAAGCAAATAGAGCAAAATATTAAGAGATAATAAAATTTCATGATTGATTCTGTATTATAATTATTAAGATTTTGTGTTTATGATATTTCTTCATCTTTTAAAAGCAACACAGTTTTATAGTTTCTCTTAAGTCCCTCCCCCCCAAATCCCATAGTGCTTCAGAAGGCTACTAACAAACTTCGGTTAATTAGCTAACTGGCATCCCTTTCTTCTGTCTCTAAGGGTATCGGGACGCCCAGATTGGCTGGATCCAGATTGTAGAGGACCTCCACGAAAGAGTCCCCGAAAAGGTGGATTCGTCCCCCTTTGGAAATGCCCAGGGTCCCAGCCGAGTAGCTCAGTTCCTGGTGATCTACGCCCCGAGGCGGGGCATTCTGGAGGTGTGGAGCACGCAGCAGGGGCCCCGCGTGGGGGCCTTCAACGTGGGGAAGCACTGCCGGTAAGCTGCCCCGCGACGGAGAGGCCGGCGCTCTCCCAGGAAAGCTTTCATTCCGTCTGCTTACTGACTCGCACGCTGTTGAAGACGTGGAATGTTCTTTATTAGGGCTCTTCCCGCACATATCTGGTGACACACAGAGCTTTGAAAAGGCCGTGGTGTGCTCCTGAGTGACAGTTAGCTTTGCTGCTGCCACTTGTCCCGTCCCTTACGTGGTGCAGGCTCTGACGGGAAGGTGCCTTCAGAGGGTGGGTGTGGCGGATGCCGTCCGCCGTTGCAGCACAGGCCCGGGCTCCTGCCATCTCCGCACACATTTCAGCGGGCAGAGCGCTGCCGGTCCAGCCTGCTTCGCCTCTGGCCTTGGTGTCGGTTTCTGTTTACCTGCCTTCCGAGTGCTCCGGAACCGCCGATAGCGTGGGGGCCCCTGGCTCCAACAGGAGCGCCTTTTGGCATTGGCCCGTCTCTGGTGGTTTCACTTACGCTGCAGCGTGATTCCCTCAGGCTTCTGTATCCCGGCTACAAGATCATGGGCTTAAATAACGTCACCAGTCAGAGTTGGCAGCCGCAGACGTACCAGATCTGCCTCGTCGACCCCGTGTCCGCGAGTGTGAAGACAGTTACCGTCCCCTTCCACCTGGCGCTGAGGTGAGACTGTCGCCCGTCTGCTCGCCGGCCTCCCTCCGCTCACCGTTCCGCGTCCCATGCTTCGTATTTGTCCTCTACTTGCTGCTTTCTTGTTTTGTCTTGCTTTTCTTTTCCTTACTAGAACGATACCTTTAAAATTAAGTAGGAAGACTACACAGGACAGAAAACAGCCGGGGTGTCAGAAGCAGAAGGAAAGCAGGTGCACGTTCTGTAAGAACTTGCTGTGCTTATTGTTTCAGCGACAAGAAGAGCGAGCGTGCCAAGGACATGCACCTAGTGAAGAAGCTGGCGGAGCTGCTGAAGACCAAGTCTCCCAGCCTCGGTAGGTGTCCTTTCGTGAGATAAGCAAGCTGCTGCCGCCGTTTGCAAACTCACCAGTGTGTTCTAAAGGAGCAGTCACCATGCTCAAGTGCCTTCGTGAGCGAGGGCAGCTCCTTCTCAGAACGAGGTGAGCTGCAGGCAGTGCTCTCCCACAGATTTGCTCTGTCCGCACAGACTCACTCTGTCCGCACGGACTCACGTCTGCACCAATGGCGGGAGAGAGCCCAGGGACCCTTCGGACTGACTGGTCGTGCAGATACATGCACTTCCCTTTCAGAATACAGCTGACCTGCAGTAAAAACAAAAATTTTACTTTGCTTGATTTTCTTTTTCTAGATGTGGTGGAAAGAGAAATAAAGGAAGTAATTCTTGACATTAAGTACCCCGCAACCAAAAAGCAGGTGAGTGCGCACGTGGACTTCCCGGCCGGGTGGCCGTCACACGCCCCTCCGAAGGACACTTCACTGTCTTACTCCCCTCCTCCTGTTGCAGTGCACAGGATGCACAGGTGTGTATCCTAAGGCATCTTAACAATGGAGCATCCCTCTTGGGGTAGGGGAAGTACAGATGTGTCAAATTTTAAACGAAATCCTTGCCTTCACATTACTGGAACTGCTCAATGTCTTTCTTCTAGGCTCTGGAAAGCATTCTGGCGAGTGAGCGCTTACCGTTCTCCTGCCTGAGAGACGTCACCCAGACTCTTGTGGACACTTTGAAAAATCAAGGTAATGGGTTTGTACCGACTGGTGGTCACGGACTCACTTCAGGTCGTGGAACTCTGATTGTGGAAAGCCGTCCACGGCTCACACGATCCCGTTCCTTTAATATGGGCACGATGTCCACGAGGCAAAGAGAAACTCGTTTCCTGCCTTCAGGGTTTGGACGCTTTTCTCGTCCCTGTCCATCGTATGCAGTGCTCTCTGCCTGAGCTTTCTCTGACTGCGGTGACTCAGTTTCTTACTGTAGATACTTACTTTTCATCCCACCGCCGTGAGGAAATACCAGCATGGAGTGACGGATGACTGTTCTGATACGGTCGTAGAACATTTGAGAGCTGTGGGCGAGAGGTGCAACTCACTGCATTGTGTTTTTTTTTTTAACTTCATGAGAGGAGAGAGGCTTCTGAGATGGGAATCCTTTCATGTCGTTTTGATCAGGATAATGATAAAAAACATGTATGATTTAGTGAAGGTTCTGTTAGGGTCTGGGAGCCACGTTTTCCCAGCCCTTCCCTCGTGAACAGAGTCAGCGCTCCGCACATCGCAGGCTCTGACTCAGCAGTTGGCTCTGGGGGTCCTGGTCGTTGACCCTTCGGAACTCATTTGTCTGGTGACGAGGTGGAGCTGCGGCCGTGGGGCTACAACTCCGTGCTCCGTCCAGCTCAGGTGGTGGAATCCAGCGTGTTCTGATTTGACACCAGTGAAACTGCAGTGTGTGGGGAGCTGACTCCTCTGGTCGTGCCTTTCTGCTTGTGTTCGTTACATGCAGCCAGCTTCAGAGGAATCGTGTTTAAGGCGACTTAGAGCGACTCACTCAAGAAATCGAGATCCACCCTTTTGGGACTTGAAGCATCCTTCTGTTGAGGTTCTTTTTTCAACACACACGTAAAACGGACTGGGTACATGGTGGCCTCTGTTCATGGCCCGAACTTGATAAAAATTCCTCTTTTTAAAAAACATAGTGCGCTTACAAAGCCCCCCTTCCCACCAAGCTTTAACAAAACATCCAAAATTTATTAAACCAACAATTACCTTGTACTGGGCTGGGAGTAAACCCAACACCATTGTTGGAGTTTCAGAAGATCATCACTATTTTCAAGTTCGACCCATAAATGAGAGTCCCAGAAATCTCAGGGATTGAGAATTCTAGGTTTCACTGTGGCTGTACCAACTTCGACAACATTCCAGGTCACTGGATACTGAATAAGAGTTTTTGGGGGTCTTCAGTGTCTGCCTTTTTAAGGAATAAATATTTGTTTTATATATAAACACTTAATTTATCATACAGGAATGTATTATATAGTGAGCATTTTTTCAGTATTAATCTTAGGAAAAAACCCTCCCTGATAGAGAACATGAACTAGGATTCTACTTGCGGTCTCGGCCACACTCTCTGGAGGACACGTCTGTCACCACAGGTGCACAGGGTTTGGCTGAAGTACAGTGTCTTTGACCAGCGTCACGGCAGAAGGAGCCAGGCAGCTGGAGCTTTGTCTTTGCTCCGTGTGCGAGCCCTATGCGTGGGCGGCCCAGAGTTAGGGGCTAAGAGGGAACATTTTTTTTTCCTTTTTACTGAAGTTATTGGGGTGACACTGGTGAACACAATCACACAGGTTCCGGGTGCACACGTCCACAGCCCGTCATCTGTACGCACCGTCCTGTGTGGTCACCACTGGAGTCAGGCCTCCCTCCGTCCCTGTTTCTGCTCCCGTGCCCCCCTCCCCCCGGCAGTCACCACACTCTTGTCCGTGCGCGGGAGTTTTTCCCTTGTTTTTCTGTTTTGCTCAATCCCTCCACCCCCTCGCTGTCCCCCCTCCTCCCTGACAGCTGTCAGCCTGCTCCTGTATCTGAGTCTGTCTCTTTTTTGCTTGTTAGTTGACATTTTTAAAACTGTTTCCAGATCATCTGCTTACATTTCAGTATTAGACTAAGATATTTCTACTTTCTTTTTTCTTGAGTTATTTTTTACCCCTATTAGAATACCTTATTTCATTTAAAAATGTAGATATTTTGCTATGATAGAAAAATCATCTTTGCCTTATTAACCCGCTATAGCTTAAACATCCCAGTATTTGATGAAATAGAACAGGGAATTATATAATACTAAGAGATTTAATGAAGAAAGGTCTCTTATGTATTTGTTTGATGTATCTCTTTTAATGTATTTTTTCTTCTGCCTTTCAGAACTGGAGTCTGTTGACGAGGGGCTGCTCCAGTTCTGTGCCAACAAACTGAAACTGCTCCATCTCTACGAGTCTGTCCGCCAGTTAAATTCCCTGGGTTTTCACTCGGACGCACCCTTCTCTGACCACGTGAGTCACCCCGTCTGTCACTCACTGGGCAGATCTATTTCCCATTTTTAAAGTGGTAGTAACGATGTAGAAGATTAAGAATTTTTCTAAAGCACAAAGGTATAGTTTCTTTATAAGACCCCCTGCTGGCTTACTCTGCCTTGCTGTTAAATTTATATGATTTACACTAGAAAATTAAATTTTATTTTTCACCCATTTTCACTATCCTAGAAGCACCTAGTTTTTCTCAACTAATTTTTTTCATTTAAGGTTACTGCATATAACACAACTTCTGGACAACCTTTGCCAGTTAAAGTACAGCAGTTGACTGAAGTAGCAAAACTTTAATTTCCTTTAGAGAACAACAACAACAAAAAGATTCTGCCAAGCAGATGAGAACACTTTCTCTGTGTTGCAGTTAACAAACTCATACACACTTCTCTGTGGCGTGCTGCACGGGAAATGCATTTTTAAACGATTCTGTCTTACATCCAAGTATTTACAATAATTATAGTGAATGTCCCATGCTGTTACTCTGTAACACATAAAGAAGGGAGAGCACCCTGTCATCGTTCCTCAGGTGCGCTCTCGTTCATTGCTGAGGGCTGTTTATAACAACTCTCCCTGTCCGCACGGAGAACTGACGTGTCTTTCACGGGGGGCAGAGAGAAACGCGCCCTCTCTCCCCCTCAGGTCGCCGCGCGACCCGGCCGGGTGCCTGGGCCTCCCGCTCACCTGCAGGAAGTGGTGCCGCCAGGCGCCAGGCCAGGTCGCTGGAGGTGCTCTTAAGAAAATCACCTGGTGTCTCCGGAAGTTAGTGGGAGCCTTTCATTCTCCAGCATAAATATCGGACAAGATTTTCTTTCTGTAACGGGAACAACCTACACATTTTAACATCTTGTCTATCTTTAGGATGACAGATGGATCTTATAAAGCATTTTAGCAATAACCCATTCATAGTAACCTGTGACGGCTACCATGATAAATGACAGAGCCCCCTTTTTTCTGGATCTTTTGTTTTGCCCTCTACTTCCTGAGTAATGTGGACTCATTTCAAGCAACAGGAAGGTTCAAGTTGATTGTTATGTCTGTAGGATTGCCTACGCATTTCACAGATTCCTCAATACCTAATGTTTTCATAAGAACCCACCCATCTGTCTCACACCCTGCCACAGAAAGTTAAATGTAGGGCTTTGCTAGTCCCCTGTGGAACTCATTTTCATTTGATAGCCCCAACCTAATGTGCAAAGATAAAAGAATGACAAAGTTTAAAAAATCAGTTTTCAGATTATTCTTTTTCTTCTTAAAGCACTTCTTTAAGAATGAAAACCGTATTTGCTATAGACTTGTTTGGATCCTTTACAAAACACACAGCTTCTATGCCAGATGGCTAATTTTGTACCTGCGAAACTACAGTTCAGCGCTGAGTGAACTCACTTTTGTCATCTCTGGGGCATAGTTCGTATGAGCTCGCGTAGAAATTCAGCAGCACACTGAAGTACTGGCCCGTGTTCAGTAGCATGTTGCAGTTTGCTACTTGGTTGTGAAAACGACAGCCTTCAGTGAGGAAATGGAGCTGCCCTTGTTGAAGGATGCGGCTTCCATCACGTTCATGTGGGGGGGAGAAAGTTTCGCTTGCTCGGTCAGGTTTATGATCTTTAAAGTGTGTGTGTGTGTGTGTGTGTGCGTGCGTGCACTTCTCTAACTCAGAAGCATCATCGGGCCAGGAGGTGCAGCCTTCTCCTGCACACACAGCAGGTGAGAGCAGTTGGAGAGGGCGGCGCGTGTGTGTCGGACTTCCCAGTGTCTGTCGCTGGGAGCCCCATGGAGGGTGTGCGTCGACGCCGCGAGGCCTGCGTCCCGGGGTCCGCATAGCGTTGCCGCTGCCTCACGAAGGAGCGTGCAGCTTCTCATGGGCTAGTTCCGTAGTGGCCTCAGAAGCTCGGGAGTGGCAGGTGACACCCTGTGAAATCTTTGTTTGATGACACAGGAACACGCTTAATAAAATTTGAACATTCTTAAAAGTCTCATCTCAAGGAACTTGGGTTTACTGTATTTAAAAACCTCCTCCTCCTGAACGTGAGTCGAGTTGCAAGCAGAGCAATGTGAGAGTTGGGTTTTAAGCAGAGGACGTTACAGCGGTCACATTCCTTAAATCCGTCTTTGGCCGATGGCCTTGCGTTCGTTTCAGATGCTGGGGTTGATGCATGCGGCAGATTTGGGGAAAGCGACCTGGTCTATTCAGAATTCCCCCTCCCCCTGTTTTTAAGGACCTGGCTGTCTTACTGAGGCTTGACGAGAACGAGCTCCTCAAGCTGCAGGCGTTGTTGGGGAAGTACAAGCGGGAGACCGCCAGGACTGCGGTGCGGTTTTCCGACGCGGACGACGGCGTGTGGCCCGTGAAGACGTTCCTGGAACACCTGGAGTGTGAGAAGGACACGGTCAGCGTGAAGAAGATGAGCGAAGAGGAGTACGTGGCCTTAGGTAGGTCGAGGGGTGAGCGGCCCCGGGAGTGCGTCCTCCTCCTCCTGCAGAACAGCGCCTGGGAGGAGCTGGTGGCGTGTCACAGATGCCGCCCGCTTTGAGATTAAATCCACCAGAGAGCCGAGTGTGTGTCTCTCAGCTAGCTGGAGATGCCCTGGACAGGCAGGCACCGTGTCGTGAAAGCCGTGTTGTTGGAACGGGTGCGCTCACAAGACGGTGCTGCTCTCCTGCTTTCCCAAGCGCGGCAATCGGAGCGGCGTGCCTCTCCTCCCTGGCTCTGCTGCTGTTGGGGGGCTTAGGGTGCAGCTCAGGGAGGGTGGCCACATGGCTCGCGGTCCCTGGGTGACGTGGTTGGGTTCTGTTTCCCAGGCAGTTTCTTCTTTTGGAAGTGTCTGCAAGGCGACAGCCCCCCAGAGGACCTGTGTCACACGTTGGAGTCGGCTGGACTGAGCCCCCAGCTGCTGTTGGTGAGGTCTCTCGTTGCTGGGTGCTGTCCTTCCTTGCTCTCGTCGGCCGGAACTATCCACTATCCTTTTTTTTCCCCATTGTCTGATGTATATCACAGAACATACACAAAAACCTTCCAAAAATGGCCTATTACCACTGTCTAATGTGTATCACAGAACATACATGAAAACCTTCCAAAAATGGTCAAAGAAATTTATAGTCCCCGTATTTAATTAACAGCATTTTCTTTCCCCGTCCCCTGTAGATTGTAACAAGCACGTCCCATGGTTGCCCTAAAACAGGTGTAGCATCTGACCATCAGTGAGAGTGTCCGTGTTAGAACGGAGAAAGACCCAGAGGGCACACTGAGCTTCCCTGCAGCAGTGCAGACTTGTCAGGCGTTCCCAAGCGTGGACCGTGTGCCGGAACTTAGTCTCCGTGGCGCCGGAAATGTAGATGCGAGGGCCACCCCGAGGACGAGCCACAGCACTCAACGTCTGCTCGGTCTGCTCGCTCTCAGACGAGCGAGGAGACCCCCCAGCCCATCACGAGTTCTCCCGCTGCCGCTCCCACCCGCACACGGACGCAGCCCTGGCACACAGGGACCAGTGAGGAAGGGTGAGGGGGGAGGGCCTTCTCTAAAAAAAAAAAGAGCCCAAGAATTAAAAAGAAATCGAGTCCGCATTAAGATAAACAGTTAAAAAAAAAGACCCTGCGTGGTCACTGTGGTCACCTCGGTCGGGGGAAATGGCAGCCCTTGCTGAGCCCTCGGGCCGAGGGAACGTGCTTTGTGGGGCGTGTGTCCTCGGAACGTTGTGATCTTACTGGAACCGTGTCCCTGAAGAAACGGGGCACTTACCACGTAGGTTGTACACATCTTTAAATTTGCAAAGGTTTCTAAATGCGCTGCGTCCGCTGAGTTTTCCGAGAGAGCTCCATTTGACTCAGTCACTCTTGTGCTGTAGCGCCTCATACTGGGGAGACGGGCAAGGTCCAAAGCCAGCGAGCGGCCTCCCCGGCCCGGCGGGCCCTCAGATCACCTCCTGCCGCTCAGACTTATCTCGTCTGTATGGGAGCCAGTCTGTGACCGAGCTGGTGCGGTTACCGCCCCAAGCCCCCGACCCCACTGATGACATTACATCGGGACTCACTGTGATACGCGCCTACATAGAGGCTCCGACTGGCAGGCGGTGCTTACACCAGAGAGGCGGGGGGCGGGGGAAGATCCTGGCAGGTGATGAGGAACCCCTTAGGTGGACAGGGGACCTTGTTCCGCCCTCACGCCACAGGACGTCCCAGCCAGCCACTCGCTTCCCAGCCCGAAAGACGGAGTCACTTGGACACGCACGAGTGCGCTCTAGAGAAGCGCAAGGGTTTGTTCACGTGAAGAGTTTGTGAGACTGAAAAGGATTTACCTTTGATTTCAGTCGCTGCTCCTGAGTGTCTGGCTTTCCAAGGAGAAGGACGTTCTGGAGAAGCCTCAGTGTGTCTGCTACCTTCACGCGATGCTGTCCCTCCTGAGCAGGATGAAAGGTGAGATGCTGGGAATGCTGGGACGCCGGGCTCCGGTATCCGTGGGAGAGGCCTTGGCTTCTGCGCTGGGAGGCAAAGCTTGGTGTTTGAAATGCCACTGAAGCGGCGAGGGGTGGGGTGGGGTGGGGGGATGGGTCCTAACGAAGGAGACGACAGCCCGCCCGGCATTTCACTCTGGAAGCTCTTGTATGTTTCCAGAGAAAGCTCTTAACACACGTCAGCTGTGCTCTATGGAAATGTATGAATATGTGCTCTCATCAACAGTCAAGTAATAATGAGTAATGCATTTGCTTAATTCAGGTAAATCAAGTGGTCTTGGGTGGAGGTTATTATTTTTCCCAGTTTTGTTCTGATGAGAACAGTCATCTGCTATGTTGAAACATTTCATAGTGGTTCTCTGCAACGATGAACTGTTATTCCAAGCAGAGATTTACAGTGGGCCGAGGAGAGTAAGGAAATGGAATACACGCGTTCTGGTTAAAATAGATGGAGGATTTTTCCCCAGTTCGCTCGGAAGTCGATGAGTACACCACTGGGGAGTTGAGTTTTAACACCGTGTTGAGTCTGAAAGATCGGGCCCCGAATTGGGAAGCTAAGGGGGTTCCTTGTGACCTTGGCAGTGGCCATGGACGACTCGTGGGACTCCCAGTCGGTGTCCCCGTGGTGGCAGCAGATGCGCACGGCGTGCGTCCAGTCCGAGAACAACGGGGCCGCGCTGCTCTCCGCACACGTGGGGCACTCCGTCGCTGCGCAGCTGTCCAACGGCGGTGCCGAGAGGAAGGTCGGTGGGGGCGCCGCCCAGCCTGTGTGTGTGGGGGGGGGGGGGGCGCTCCTCTGTGTGTGGGCCGCGCGGTCTTCCCGCTCTGCGGCATCGGGGGTCCGAGCCGTGTGTCTGCCGGTTCTTGTTTGCCTTTCTTGGGGGCAGGGGGCGGGGAGGGGTGCTGCCCTTAGTCTGTTTGTTCAGGCGGCACGCACACTTGAATTTGGCCGTCACCACATGGCACGGGGGGAGGAGGGGGTGTGTGTGCTGAACTTGACCCTGCTCTCTGCCAATGGCTGGGGATCGGTGGTGGGTCCCTTAAAACTGAGTTTCGTGGCCTCAGTTTTCTCATGTGAAAGGGGTCAGGGACAGGCTGCGTTAGTTCTCAGGTTTGTTGTGGTTTCTGAAAATCCAGCGATTGTGCTCACAGCCCCCTTTTGTGAACAGATTGTTTGGGCCACGTGGCAGGGCAGGACTCACAGAAAGGGGTCCTGTTGGCCCTTTGCCGTGTGGTTTTTCCTCGTCTCTTGGAGCTCTTTAAAAAAGAGTCTGACACCCCATAGAGTGCCAGGTGGCTCCGATACTTCCTGTGGGGGCTGCAGCACTAAACTGGACGAGACGCTTGGACGGGTCTGTGGGGGGTCACGTCACGTCATCAGTCAGTAGTTCATGGGCCCAGTTCAACGTTACCAGCTTGAAGTGTTCATGATCATGCAGAGAGAAGTGTGAAACACGCTTTTCACGTTGGTGTGTTCTGAAAAGAGACCAGTCTCCTAGTACCGTAGCCCTGACGACTCGGGGGTCACCGCAGGTCTCCTGGGGATGCCCAGACTCCATCCTCGTTGCCCCCGAGCCTCCCACCCACTCCTGACCCTCATGCCCCATCCAGGCGAGCCGCGGTATTCTCGGACCGACATCTGTGCGATGTGCCCTGACTGTCATCCATCTGCTTTCAAGTTCAAAGCTCATTCTCGGTCAGGGGGGTCAGAGGCTCTGCCAGGTTCTCACCGGGGCCTTTTCTGTCAGCTTTCCCAGGCGGCGGCGGGCGCGGACGCCGAGGCCCTCACGGACTCCTGGGAGGCCCTCTCCCTGGACACCGAGTACTGGAAGCTGCTGCTCAAGCAGCTGGAGGACTGCCTGGTGCTGCAGACGCTGCTGCACGGCAGGGCCGGCCCGCGCGCCTGCCGGGCGCCGGCGCTGCCCGCCGAGCCGCTGCCCAGGCTCTCCGTCAGGAAGCTGCTCGAGGGAGGCAGAGGTAACCCAGAGTCCCTTGTGCCGCACATGCCGTGTTTGGGGGCGTGCACTCCGTTTGTGTTTTTTCCGGAAATGACGGGAAGAATAAGGGAGAGAGATACGCTTGGGTTCTAAATGTACATGTAGCCCACCACATGCTGCTTCTCTAGCTCATCAGAGTCCGCTCCTGCCAGCTCCCTGCTCAGCAGGCCCCACCCGCATCCCCCCATGGCCTTGGCCTTACAATGGTCCGAGGGCCTCCACGGCCCCCCTTCCCACGCCGTGTCTGGGTGAGGCCACATTCCCCCGCTCCCGGCCGCACACCCCACCCACCTGGCACAGCGGAGCCCGGGGGACGACGGGGTGCAGGACAGGAGCGCATCGGGGCTCCAGATGGGCTGGGCGTGGGGGGGTTTGCGACATGTGGTGCCCCTTCTCCCCCAGCGCCTTGTTGGCTCTGGGGGTCACAGTTACTGTCAGGGAACACCAGCATGCAGTGGAGCTATGATTTTAATTTTAAAGTGAATATATGAAACTTTTTAAAAATTTCTCCATTTTAATTTCTCTTAACCATAAGTATTGATAAATATAGCTCATAAGGTAAAGTTCTTTGGGGCTGTCTATAGTTTTTAAGCATTTAAGGGATGAAAGCTGAGGCTAAGAAGTTCAGAAACTGGGGAACTCAGTGTAGATTCCCAAGCTTGCCCTCCAGGCACTGCTGACTCTGACTCCAGCCCATGTCTCCATTTCTTGCCTCTCACTAGACTGCCCTGCAAATCCCCGGCCCCGGGTCTGAGCCCGTGCTGCTCCTCCCCCGTGTCCCTGTGCTCACTCTCCTTCCTTCTCCCAAAGCCTGGGAGTCCCAAAGCCTGCTCGGCTGCAGGGCTGCCTCCCCCTTTCGGGGAAGGAACCCCTCTCAAGCCACGGACGGCAGCTCTTCCCCCTCTCCCCCCGCATTTCCACGGAGCTCAGTCCCTCTCGTCCAATGCGCGAGTCCCTGCCGTCCTGGTCACCAGGGGACCGTGGGCGTGTCACGCCTCGCGTGATCTCGGCGGCCGCCCTCTCCTTCCCAGCAGCTCTTTCCAGCGTGGAACGCTGCGCTGACAGTTTTTCCGGGTTTATAAACACCCAGAAGCTAGATTTTTACCTAGTTGACTCATTTTTGTATCCTTTGTAAGGTGTGAGGTTTTTCATGATAAACTCCCTGTGCCCCACGCTGCCACCCGGTGAAAGGAAGGGGACTCCGTTTTCATATCAGTGGGAGTAGCATCGTCAGGGCCTTGACTCTGGACTGAGAACCCGCCGGCGACGGGGAAGCCACACGTGAGACAGGAGGTTGCCCGGCACGTGGCTCCCCTGTGTTCCCGGTCACCGCGGCTTCCTGAGTCCTCGTCTTTGTGCAGACGTTTACGTTTGAGTCAAAAGAGGAGAAAGACCGAGAGAACCATCTGGGGAATGACAGAAAATGTATAATTTGTTGTAGGTAATAAACAGGACTCTTCACTTTGAAAGTGGTCCTGTTTGCATTTATAATTTTTTGGACTGTGTTGGTTGCAACATGGAATACAGCATCATGTTGTCGGTGAACTATGGCTAAATTTTGCCCCTAAATAGTCCAGATAGGCCGGTTAGTAAGCTGTGATTAAAGTAACACATTGCCCGGAGAAGCCTGAGCAGGTATGCCCATCCCTCTGCTTTCACTCCTATTTACTTGAAAGTGTCTTAAAGACACACCCGCCCTTCGTCTGTGCCGGGTGAAGTCTGTGCTGAGCTGTGAGTGCAGAAGGAACGTGAAACCCGGACGCATGTGTGTCTGTGTTTCCGTATGTTGGATGTTGTAGGCGAGGCGGAAGACGCCCTCGGGTAGCAGGTGGCTCACTGGCCCTCCCAGGTGAGCGGTAGGTAGGGGGTAACACGCTGTGAATCTCGTGGGTTTGGGGGTCACCTTCAGGCTGCAGACTGAACGTTGGCGCTTAGGTCTCGTCCTGGGAAAGGCTCCCTTCTGCGGTCACCACACGTGTTCCTTCTCTCTCTCGTCTCCGCACTGTAGGTGGCATTGCAGACAGCGTGGCCAAGTGGGTGTTTAAACAGGACTTGAGTCCCGAAGTGTTAACACGGGCAAGCAGAGAGAGAGACGCAGAAAACCTGGACGAACCCACAGAAGGCACTCACAGGGGCTCGCTGGAGGTGTCAGCAGCGGACGTGGACTTGGGAGCCATCCCAGGTAACGCTTCCAGGCGGAGACCCGGGAACTGAGGCTGGCTGGCGGGGCTTTGGAGGCGGGACTCAGGCGGCGCTGTCTCTGCCTTGCAGACCTGCTGCGGGCCGCCTACGAGCAGTTCCCGTGCAGCCTGGAGCCGGACACGCTGCACGCGCACTGCTGCTGGGAGTGCGTGGTCCAGTGGAACAAGGACCCGGAGGTGAGGCTGCGTGCCGCCTGGGGGCGGGGTCTGGGGGCGGGGCCTGGGGGCATCCGGTCTTCTTGCACACACTGCTGTTACATAACTCATCAGGGATGGGGGACCTACCCCTTGGGGCGTCTCTCTCCTTGAGCCGTGCTCGGCCTTTCCGTCCGCCCATCCATCATCCCTCACAGCCCGCACAGTCAACCCGAATGTGCAGGGGTCATCCGTGTCCTCGCTGTGGAACCAGGGCTCGGAGGAGCAGCGTTTGTGGCCTGAGGCCGCACCGCGGAGGCACTCATGGGGCTGGGACTGAGCCCGGGTTCCTCTGTGGGATCTGAGGCCAATGCGGTTTCCTGTTCCCGGCTGGGTCGTGATAAGTGTATCTTTTATTGCCTTTTCAATTTCTGCGTGGAAAAGCACCTACCTAACAGAACATCGTTAGTATGTTTGTTGTCATGGTAACAGCCAGAGCACCGCCTGGTGCCGGCCGAGGGCCTGAAGGTCAGGTGTGTTTGGGTCTGCTCATTGCGTCCATCTGTCTGTCTGTCTCAGGAGAAAAATCAGGGAGGCCAGACTGCAGAGTCGGCCCAGGGTCCTCTCAGCTTGGGCATAGTCTTCTACCACTGGTGGTGCCCACTCCCGGCCCCGCCCCCCTGCCCCTGCCCCTGCCCCTGCCCGCAGAGCCTGGAAGTGGTGTGGGCCTGGGTCGGCCGTCACTGGGTCTCTGAGCCTGCGTTTTCTCCCCCCGCCCCCTTCCAGCGATGGCGCCGACCCTTTAGGGTTGAGGGCAGGATGCACAGTAAGACAAAGAAACACACACACTGTCCATCCCTCCTGGCTGGCACTGGCCCTCACGCAGGCCCCCCACCCCAGGAGGCGCTGACCCGCCCCCCCAGGTTGGAATTCCTCCCTTTCCCGTCCTCGTCCTCGGAGCGGCTGCGCTGCCAAAGAAAGATCTCTCTGGTGAACTAACTCACGGCAGCACATGAAGGGCGATACGCCTCCTTCCTCAAGAAAGGTCTTTAAGATGCAATCACTTACTTATTCAAGGAAGACATTTAAAAAATAAGTGCTTTAAACGGAGGCATGGTCTATGAACAAAAAGTGATTTGGGGACAGGGGACCTCCAGATGCCCCCAAATCCCCCCTTCGGTTGACGCCACTACCTCCTCATCACAGGCCCGCCATTTACACGGGCTAGCTTTCCTCTGAAAAATGCATGTTAGGGCTTACACGAGGACATCATGATGTCAAAAATCCGAAGGACTCCCAAGGCTCTGGTCTAAGAAAGTGACATTTAAGGGAAACGCCTGGGTTACCAGCTCTCACTGACAAACCAGAGGCGGGTGCTGTGGCGGGCACAGCGGCCGAGTACAAGCCCCGGCACTGCCAGGGAGCAGCTGCGGGGCCTTCCGGAACCTCTGGGGCCCTTTGTCCCCGGTGTCCCCGGAAAGCAGACGAAGACCTGACAGGGGCCGTCTCAGAGGCTGTGGCAGTTTCTACAGGAGACTCACCTAGTGCCTGACGTGGTGACTGGTGTCGTCGTCCGTTAGTTATTATGACTGTGGAATGTGAAACGGAGTAAGTTGCCACTGTTGTTGCTCGCTCAGGTTTTTTCCTGCTGGCTGTTGATCTCCTCGCCCCCTCCAGCCCCATCCCAGTTCCACTTCACACACACGGCTTTGTGAGGCTCGGAAGGCTGGTTCACTCTTTAAGCAGGCACCAGGTTATTTCACAGAGGTCTGGAGAGCTTCTGGGTGGTTCTGCCTGCTGGACCTGAGTTTTAACGTGTGGACTACGTTGGTTGGAAAGGGTGGAGCTGCAGGCGTCCCCTCTGGCTTCCCAGTTTCCCCTCGCTCTTCAGTGTTCGCTCCTTGGCATTTATCGCCGACATCCCGCGGCGTTTACTGATGCTTATGACCCAGCCCCCTCCCTGGAATGTAACCCCAGGGCAAGGATTTAGGTCTGTTTTGTTCTCATTTTATTCCTGGTGCCTCAGCCCAGTGCGTAGTAGGTGCTCAACAAATACTTGTTCAGTAATGAATGAATGATACTTGCAAAGAAGTAAATCCATGGTTTTCATACCTGTGTGAAGTTCAAGTATTTGTTGGAAAGAACGCTGCCGTGATGCACAGGTCACAGCCAGCTTTGACTCGGATGTCAGCACAGGCGACCTGGAGGTTTCTGGAAATCAGTCATCTCCAGGTGCCGTGAATTTAAGGGAGACCGTGACATGGTCTTATGAAAAGTTACTTCTTGTCTAATGCTTCCATGTTCTTATTGCTGCGTTCTTATGTAGCTTTATATAGAAATGTATGTAAGAAGTCTCCATTTGTACTCGAAACACCTGCGAAATGATGTTTTGTTTCTCTCTTTCTCCCTTTATGTAAGGAAGCACGTTTCTTCGTGAGGTCTATAGAGCACCTGCAGCGCATCGGCAACGCGCATGTTCAGCACGGTAGGCCAGCAGGCGCTGAACACGCTCTGGTTCAGAGGGGGAAAGGACCTTCAAGCCCCTGTCCTCTTCCGCTTTCATTCGGTGGTCCTACCACACACGCGCGCACACACACACACACACACACAGAGTACTGGCTTTCTTCACTCCAGTGGTCCTACCACACACACACACACACGCGCGCACACACACACACACACACACACACAGTACTGGCTTTCTTCACTCCAGTGGTCCTACCACACACGCGCACACACACACACACACACACACAGTACTGGCTTTCTTCACTCCAGTGGTCCTACCACACACGCACACACACACGCACACACACAGTACTGGCTTTCTTCACTCCAGTGGTCCTACCACACACGCACACACACACACACACACAGTACTGGCTTTCTTCACTCCGGTGGTCCTACCACACATGCACACACACACACACACACACACGTACACAGTACTGGCTTCACTCCGGTGGTCCTACCACACACACACACACGCATGCACACACACACACAGAGTACTGGCTTCACTCCGGTGGTCCTACCACACACACACACACACACACACACACACACAGTACTGGCTTTCTTCACTCCGGTGGTCCTACCACACACATACGCGCGCACGCATGCACACACACTCACGCACACACACACACAGAGTACTGGCTTTCTTCACTGCGTGGAGGAACGCTGCCCAGCAAAGGGAGGGGGTGGCAGTAATGGTCACCTGTGTCCCCTGCCACCCTCCCCCAAGCTGACTGCCCTTCCTGGGTGGAAGTGAGGAGACTATTATGCGCCCATGGTTTACTCGTTCCATATTCAGTTCAAGGCAGGTAAGGGAATAAGGGAGGGCCGCTCAGGACTCTGGTTCCTGATTAAACAGTTAGTTGATTAATAAACGTGACTGTTCCCCATGGGCTGCTGTACCATGGGGACTGCGGGCGTTTCCCTGAAAAAAATGTGTGACAGATGTTGTGGAAAGTTGTAAACAGGTTGCCGGTTGCATGTAATAGCTGCATGAGTTCCCTGTGAGAATGAACGGAGGAGCTCAGCCCTGGGGGGTGAGTCATCATCCTACTAAGTTTTGAGGCTCGGCTTGGGGCTGGGTAGGCGGAAGCATCGCCTTTATGTCCGTGTGATAAATTCTGGGAAAGCTACTTATTTCTGCTCCTGGGCCACCTTCCTGTGGTGGCATGAAGTCAGATTGCAGAAATCCTAAAATGTCTCATTTTACGTGAAGAGAACTTGAACATTATTTTACTCATCTTTTTAGATTACACCTTCTTCCAAGGAAATAAGATTTTAAAGTGACTCATTAGGGAAATCTGGCCTCCAGAGTGTTCTGTCCTTACCTACCAAACTGAGTTACCTGCCGCCTTCTGGCCAGTGCTGTGCTCCCTCCCGTTCGGACTCGGTGCCTAGTTTGGACACTGGCTCCCAGCCCCTCCCGGCTCCTACCGGCCCCGCCGCTGGATGCAGGGGCAGCTGCATGGGTGACGCCAGCTGGGTGGGTGGCGCCAGCTGCAGGTGAAAGATCACGTGTGTGCTGCCTGGTTCACAGCTGCTTCAGAAGTTTTCGTCCATACGCCATAGTTTATTAAATGTGAAAGTATAATATAACCCCATTTTTTAAATATATTTTTTATGTTTTGTTTTTTCGTATCTTTTTTTACCTACCGCTTTATTGGATGGTTCTGTATGAGCTAAATCGGCTGAGGGACGTAGGGTTTGTTTCCAGTGTTTGGCCACTGTGGACGAAGCTGGTCGCCACACTCCTGCCCGTACCTCTGTATCCCTCTCCGCCGCGGGACCGCTGGGGCGTGTGGTGGGGGCGTGACCAGCTGTAGTTCATCCTGCCGGTTTTCCCAGTGGGTTCACTGGTTTGCTGCCCCGTCAGCACTGCAGGAGCGTGCTCGCCAGTTGTTTGCAAATCCTCGTCAGCACTTGGTATTGTCACCATTTACAACTTAGCCTTTCTGTGGGTTGTGGAATACCTTTGTCATTTTAATTCATCTCTCATGACAATGTGAGTCTTTTCTTATGACTATTGGCCATTTGGGTATCCTCTTGTGCAGACCAGTTCTGCTTTTTGTTACGGAATAAAGGTTTTTATTAGTTTTATAATCACTACTAAGCAGACAGCCGTAGAGTTTTATAAGCCCAGGGAGGACAGTGATTTGTTTGTGCCATGAAAGAGAAAGCACGCGAGCCTCCACCTCCCTCTCGTCCTTCTCCTGCTCCAGGCGTCGCGCTGATGATGTGGAACACCTTCTTGGTCAAGAGGTTCTCTGCGGCTACGTACTTGATGGAGAAGGTAATTTTACGTTTCACGTGCTGGCTTCTGGTTTGCTTCCCTTAACTGATATGATATTAGGAAGCTTGTGTACACTGGGCCTTGTTTGCCTGGTTTGCTTTTTTTTTTTTTTTTTTTGACACATTCGACTCCAGCTCAGTGAACTGTGGTTCCCGTGGCTGGCTTTCTGGCGACTTGAGCAGGAGCCCCACGCCCTCGACAGGGAGCCCGCCACTGTGAAGGCCTCTCCCCCCACGAGATTGGGACCGGAGGCTGGTCCCAGCAAGGACTGGCACTTTGTTTTTAATTAAAACCCACAACTGTACTCTTCCTCACTGAGCTTGGGGGGCAGGGCCAAGATCTTTTCTTGGAAAGGGGTCGATTGTAGCTCTGCTGTGGTTTTCCTACCTAAACCTCACCCACAGTGCATTGTCTGTGAGTTCTCAATCCTGTTTCTGTTTTTAAAGATTTCATTTATCTATTTTCAGAGAGTGAGGAAAGGAGGGACAAAGAGAGGGAGGGAAACTTCAGTGTGTGGTTGCCTCTCATGCGCCCCCTACTGGGGACCTTTTGAGTTTTAAGGCCGCCCAGTTAATTGATTATTCAAAGAACCAGAGTTTTGAGTTTTCTATTTTAGTTGTTCAAAAATATTTATTTTTGAGAAGGATTGTTTGTGAGCCCAGACTGATTTTTTTTTCATAATGTTTTTACATTCCACCACAAAATCATTTGCCTTACGTTATGGTTGGTTGCCACATTTATTTCTAGGTGTATTTATGTCTTTAGAATTTTGTTACTTTTTACTTCCTGTACCATCATGATGCCTTTTGATTTAAATTACTAACTAGATACACCGTTCCCTTTCTGTTTGCCTTAGGTTGGAAAATCACCCAAGGACAGGTTGTGCCGAAGGGTAAGTGAGTCTCCCTATCCAGGCCAGGCATAGCTTTTGAGCTTGCACTTGAACTAGAGCCTCATTAACCACAGCGGTGAACTTTGCCTTTTACCATTTTGATAACGTATCAGAAGATAAGAAAAATGGAAAGAGAATTCTGCATTAGGGAAACTGCTCAGGAACTGTGGCCAGTTTGCGTGACCTTTGCAGACGGTCAGACGGCCCGTTTCAGCCGGGTTCTCACCAGATGTCCCCCACTCAGGCCGTGGGCAGGAGGGCGACGCGGTGCTGTCACTCGGTATTTTTGCTGCCCTTCAAGTGAGAAACGTGTAGTGGGCCATCCAGCATCAAGCTGAAGCAGATGCATGGGTAGTGAACTTGATCTGCCTTTGTGTGATGACCCGTGTGGGGAGTCAGAAATAACAGTCTAGTTCACGCAGCTGGCTTCTGCTCAAAACTTTGACCTGTGCTCATGACAAATATGTTAATACTGGGACACACAAACCCGGCTGTTACAGACCCTCAGTCTTGAAACGTCTCCACGGTTGAAGACTTCTGGTGTGTGCCCGAGAGTGTCTCTGCCACAGTAGTCCATGTGTGTGCCCGTCACAGACACTCCGGCTGATCACTGAGGGATGTGAGGAGTTCACTGGCTGTTGGTTTAAAAAGATCGTAGGCGCACACGGCAGCCCCTGGGACAGGCCCTTTAAAGGGGAGTCAGTACGCGCTGTCTGCTGCCCACGGCAGCATCTGGGGTTCAGGGGGTTCAAGTTCTGGTCAGAGGGCTCAGTCCGGTCCTTGAAGGATGCTGTGAAGCCAGACCAGGTGGTTTTCCTGGAACTTTCCACATTGGACCATGATTGTGTGGGTACGCCAGCCTGTCCCCTGTGCGTTCTGGGACAGCGAGCGGCGGTGGCGTGCCGCAGCCTGTGATGAAGGATGACATGGTGTCTTACCAGTGCTCCCGGGACACTAATTTTTAAAAGTTGATAGTACCATGTTTTTTTATTTATTTTTATTTTTTTTTTTTAAGATTTTATTCATTTTTATTTTTAGAGAGGGAAGGGAGGGAGACAGAGAGAGAGAGAAACATCAATGTGCAGCTGCTGGGGGCCGTAGCCTGCAACCCAGGCATGTACCCTGACTGGGAATCGAACCTGCGATGCTTTGGTTCGCAGCCCGTGCTCAATCCACTGAGCTACGCCAGCCAGGGCCCATGTTTTTTTAAAGCTTAATTTTAAAGCCAGTTAAATCTGAAGAAAGGCATTAAAATATGCTAATGCCTTAACTGTCAAATTCTTGCTTTTCTATTACTCTGTGTAGAAAGTCAGGTTTTTGTCCCCCGCCCCCATGGCGATGGCAGAGTTCTGCCGCGGGAAGTAAAGCTGTTCCTTTCTGTAAGCAGGACGTGGGCATGAGCGACACGGCGCTGACCTCCTTCCTCGGCTCCTGCCTGGATCTCCTGCAGACGCTGATGGAGGTCAGTGGGGCGCTTGCCTTCTCAGCGCTCTGCGCTGTCACATGTTTGGAAAACTCCCTGGACTTGAGAACCACAGATGTACTTTCATTTATTCATTTCAGAGTTTTGACTTAAGCCTAGAAGTAGTGATGTTTCTTATTAGAATTTGATTTCTTAAAATTGTCACGGGAGGGCGGCAGGGACACGGAGAGGTCTGCCCTTTGCTGCCGGTGAGCTCCTTACTGCAGACGATGTCTGTCTGCAAGCCGTGGTTCCCCCGGTGCCGACCAGTCCTCCGTTCCCGCGTGCGCAGGCAGACGTGAGCAGGGACGAGATGCAGGCGCCCGTCCTGGACACCGAGGACGCTTGGCTCGCCGCCGAGGGCCCGGTCTCGATCGTGGAGCTGGCCCTGGAGCAGAAGCACGTGCACTACCCGCTGGTGGAGCACCACTCCGTCCTCTGCTCCATCCTGTACGCGGTGATGAGGTTTGCTCTGAAGGCTGTGAAGCCACTGTCGCTTTTTGACAGCAAGGCAAGTACCCGAGGGTTCCAAAGCCCCGTGGGAGCAGGGCGCTTAGCAGGCGTGCGCAGGGCAGCTGTCCCGGGGTGGGGGGTGGGGCTCCCTGTCCCCACCGGAGCCCCTGGGTGCTGGGGTGGACCTGGGACGAGCCGGGGCTTCCACCGCAGAGGCCGGTGCCGTGTGCTCCGTCTCCCATCTGCTTCCCAGGACCTCCGGCCCCATTTCCCGACACTCTGCTTTGGCTCCTCGGACACACACTTAGTCTCAGACGAGGTGGCTTTAGACCCTTCGGTATTTTAAAAAGGATCGAGTACATACTATTATCTTTTACTGCATACCACATTACCCCAAAACTGAGGGGCTGAAACAAGAGTTAGTACCCATGTTTGTGGGTGGAGAACCTGGGTGTCTCTCCTGAGTCCGGAGCGAGGGTGGGGGTCGGGTGCCCCACCTCCCCCTGGGCACAGGAGGGAGTGTGAGCAAGTGAGCGCACAGGGCAGAGGCCACCGTCCTTTTGTGACCTGGTCTTGAAAGTGGCTTGCTGTCACCTCGGCCTAATTCTTTGCCAGCAGGGAGCCACCAGCCCACACACGAGAGGAGGGGCTCCCTGGGGACCCCCTTAAAGGCTGCCTACCGAACTCCATGATGGTTAAATAAAACCCTAAAATGCTCTTGCTCAAGGAGGGGGAAAAATGAGCCATGAGATATTCTTAAGTGATTTTTAATCTCTCTATACCCCCTAGTAATAATCCATACTCATGTTTCCTTGGTCTCTTCTTTCTCTTTAGGGGAAAAATGCGTTTTTCAAAGACCTAACTTCAATACAGTTACTGCCTAGTGGAGAAATGGATCCCAACTTTATTTCTGTACGACAGCAGGTAAATTAGTTACTAGGTTTTGTTTCTTGGAAAAAAATTAGTAAAGTAAAATCTAGCTGTACTTCAAAGGATGACCATTCCAGAGTATTCTTGAGAGCTAGTTTGCCTGTAAAGTAGGTGTTCGTTGTGGATGATTATGCGGGGTTTTTTTTCATTTTTTAAAATATATTTTATTGATTATGCTATTACAGTTGTCCCATTTCCCCCCTTCACTCCCCTTCACCCTGTACACCCTCTCCCACCCACTTACCCCCCTTTAGTTCATGTCCATGTGTCATACTTATAAGTTCTTTAGCTTCTACATTTCCCATACTATTCTTGTCTTCCCTCTGTCTATTTTCTACCTACCATCTATGCTACTTATTCTCTGTATCTTTTCCCCCTCTTTCCTCCTCCCACTCCCCTGTTGCTAACCCTCCATGTGATCTCCATTTCTGTGGTTCTGTTCCTGTTCTAGTTGTTTGCTTAGTTTCTTTTGGTTTTGCTTTAGGTGTGGTTGTTAATAATTGTGAGTTTGCTGTCCTTTTACTATACATGTTTTTTTTTAATCTTCTTTTCTTAGATAAGTCCCTTTAACATTTCATAAAATAAGGGCTTGGTGATGATGAACTCCTTTAACTTGACCTTATCTGAGAAGCACTTTATCTGCCCTTCCATTCTAAATGAAAGCTTTGCTGGATAGAGTAATCTGGGATATAGGTCCTTGCCTTTCATGACTTGGAATACATCTTTCTAGCCCCTTCTTGCCTGTAAGGTCTCTTTTGAGAAATCAGCTGACAGCCTTATGGGAACTCCTTTGTAGGTTACTGTCCCCTTATCTCTTACTGCTTCTAGGATTCTCTCCTTCATTTTTACCTTGGCTAATGTAATTACGATGTGCCTTGGTGTGTTTCTTCTTGGGTCCAACTTCTTTGGGACTCTCTGAGCTTCCTGGACTTCCTGGAAGTCCATTTCCTTTGCCAGAATGGGGAAGGTCTCCTTTATTATTTGTTCAAATATGTTTTCAATCTGTTGCTCTACCTCTTCCCCTTCTGGTACCCCTATAATTCGGATGTTGGAACATTTAAAGATGTCCTGGAGGTTCCTAAGCTTCTCCTTGTTTTTCTGAATTCTTATTTCTCCATTCTTTCCTGTTTGGTTGTTTCTTTGTTCCTTCTGGTCCACTCTATTGTTTTGAGTCCCAGTTTCCTTCCCATCACTATTGGTTCTCTGTGCATCTTCCTTCATCTCTTTTATGGTAACCTGCATTTGTTCATCTAATTTGTGACCAAAATCAACCAGTTCTGTGAGCTTCCTGATCACCAGTGTTTTGAACTGTGCATCTGATAGGTTAGCTATCTCTTGGTCGCTCAATAGGATGAGTTCTGGGGCACTGATTTGTTCTTCTGTTTGAGCCATCTCTCTCTCTCTCTCTCTCTTTTTTTTTCCCCTGGTCTGGTCGCTCCTGTTAAGGTGAGGGGCGGAGCCTTAGGTGTTCACTGGGGCTGGGCACCCCAGTCACTAGATTGTGACGTTTACGTGGGGGCGGGGTCAGGAAGGAACAATGGCGGTAGCTCCCTTCTCCATGGGACTTCAGTCCCTTCTCTGGGACCCTGGGCTGCGCCCTCTGCCCTGGTCCACAATCGCCGCCTCACTGGGTCTGTCAGCTGCCGCTTGCGTACTCAGGGTCCACCCACTGCGATCTTGCGCGCCCCTGGTTGCCTTCTGCACCCAACTCTCCCTGTTCTCCGCGCGCCGCGACCCGCGCCCGGCTGCTCCTCTCCGCCCCTCCCACCGGTCTGGATGAACGGGTCTACTTCAACTCCTCGGCTGTCCGACTTCCATTCGGATAAATTTTCTGTCAGTTCTGGGTGTTACTCTGCCTCTAAATTGTTGTTGTTCCAATCTTGGTTGTGCGTGGAGGTACGGTGCGTCCACCTAGGCCTCCATCTTGGCTGGAAGTCTGATTACGCGTTTTTATCGGAAGAGCCCCCCGGCAGGAAAGCTGACAGCTCAGACCCGGTGTGAGGAGACAGACACGCTAGGGTGACACACATCAGACCCGGTGTGAGGAGACACGCTAACGTGACACTGCCGCGTCTCCCTCTGCCCTTTCCAGTTCCTGCTGAAGGTCGTCAGTGCGGCCGTGGAGGCTCAGCACGCGGGTGCGAAGGACAGAGGCGCCTCAGAGGAGGCACCAGCCACTCCTTCTGGGAAAGACCAAGACTGGCCCGCCCTGGCCGTGGCCTTGGCCCAGCACCTTCAAGTCAGTGAGGACGTCGTGAGAAGGCACCACGTGGAAGAGCTCTACAACTATGGGGCCGACCACCTGGGCGAAGAGGTAACCGCCGCCCGCGGGAGGGCAGCCGGGCCTGATCATTCCGGGCTCGGCAGCGGGAGTCGGGAGCCTGCGAAGCCGTTTGCTTTTCCTTCTGTTAGAACCTCTAGGCTCAAAGATAGAGGCATGCTGAAATATAAAACGTCCTGTTCAACCTTTAGTAAAGCTCCAGCGTGCCAGGCCTGTCCTCTGCAGAGGGGCCTAGCAGCCAGCAGAACAGACAGAAGCTTGGAGATGACTGGCACACTCACGCCGAGTTGTACAGTTAGTTGATGGCAGAAGCCTGGAATTTAAATGCTGTTTGACTCGGAGATATTTTGGTTGCACAGCGGACCCCTGAACACCGTGAGGGCTGGAGGAGCTGACCCCCACGCAGTTGAGAATCCATGTATAACTTCTGACTCCCCAGAACTTGACCACTGCTTGCCGACTGTTGATCGGGAGCCTTACTGGTACCAAGCAGTTGATCAGCGCCTTTTGTGTATTGCTTGTGCTCTGCGCTGCACTCTTACAGTACAGCAAGCTGGGGGAAAGGATGTTCCTAACCGTAAGAGAAAACACACGTACAGCATTTACTGGGAAATCCACGTGTAAGCACGTGGAGTCACGCAGGCCAGTGCCACGTCGTCGTTCAGGGGTCAGCTGTGCGCACGGCCCCGGGTCAGCGCTGACCCAGACCCTTCGTGGGGGTGCCTGTCCCGCGGTCTGTCGGCCTCTGAGCTCCCACCCCACAGTGGTCCTCTTCCTCCCCGCAGGCCATCCTCCAGGTCCAGGACAAGGAGGTCATGGCCTCCCAGCTGCTCATGGTGACGGGGCAGAGGCTGGCGCACGCGCTGCTCCGCGCGCAGACCAGAGAGGGCATGGAGCTGCTGGCCCGGCTGCCGCCCACGCTCTGCACGTGGCTGAAGGCGATGGTGAGTGCGGTGGCGTGAGGGACCCCGGAGGTCACTGCACGCTGCCCTACGTGCACGGTCGGAGGCAGTGAAGGAGGGCATTTTATTCATAGTTTAATTTACTTCATTCTGGTTAACAGTTACTGTTTCGGTGCGTGTGACTGATGGGTCGTTTTTGTGGCCCGCTTCTAGGACCCCCAGGATCTTCCGAACACGGAGGTGCCCATTGCAACAACAGCCAGACTGGTCCACAAAGTCATCGAGCTTCTGCCCGAAAACCACGGGCAGTACAGTTTAGCCTTACACCTCGTCGAGGCCGTGGAAGCCATACCCTTCGCCCCCCTCGGGCCCCGCCTATGACCCCGCCCCCCCGTGGGCCTGGCACACCGGTCAGCGCGTGGTGGTCACACAGCGGCGGCTGGGCTTCATGGAGGGGGATGCCTTTCTGTTCCTTTTGTAAAATGAATTAAAAAAAAATATATATATATAACTTTTAAAACATACAGTCCTGGTTAAATTCCACTCCTTTGGTAAAATATAAACAGATATCAATTATACTATTAACTAGTCATACAGATGTTTTACTGTCCATTTCTAACTCAAACACTTAAGTAGCTTTATTGTTGAATTTTGCTATTTAAAATTGGTTATGATTTACGGATTACATTCTTGTTATCAGATTCTATATTTCCTACTCAAGTGTTACTGTTCTAAGGAAGTTTCAGTGTGGTCCTGTAAACACAGTCCCATCAGTCACGTCAGAGGAACACCCCACTCCCCTGGCACAACAGTCAGGAAGAGGCTTCTCCCGGCCCGCCCCCTCCCCTGCCGGACGGCCCCCCGGAGTGCTGGGGGCTGGCGGGTCCTTCCCCAGAGGGTGTTCGGCTGCCGTCAGAGGACAGTGACCTTGTGAAGGAACATGCTCAAGATCACCAGGCCTCAGAAGGGACGTGCACTAGGACCCTGGACCTGGTTCCCGAGCACCTGTCTGTACTTGCCAAAACTGTGAATCTGAGGTGCAGGCGACACACCCAAATCAGTTATAACACAAGGTAAGACTTGTTTCCTGCCAAGGCTCAAAGCTGTATCCACATCAGGTAATGAACTGTAAAAATGTATTATCTTGTAAAACTTATGTTTTAAAAAAAGGAGCAAAGATGCTAAAAGTTTAAGTCTAACTTTACTTTTCCTACAAGCGTTTCGAAACGTCTGCTTCTGAGACTTGGCAGGGTCGCGTCTGTGCTCGTGGGAGCAGCCCGACCAAACCTGCCCACAGCCCGGTGGTGAGGGCGGGCTGCAGCCGCTGTCACAGCCCAGGGCGCCTAGAGCGGTCCGCGTGCTGGACGGTGATTCGATTAAACCCGAACTAACCAGGACTCTGCAAAGTGCTCTGAGCTCCACAGATACCAACTACTCACTACGCCCATCTGTGGAATGCACCCACGCAGTGCAGTTACTGCCACCTGTCCAGGACGGCAGGTGTCTCTCCTTGGGACACAGAAGCCAGTGTCTGCGACCCCTCAGGAGAAGCCGACTCCAGCAGTCGTACAGAGTTGAGGAGACAGACAGGAAAAAATGAGGAGATCCCAGTGTAAATTCTTTTTAGCTAAAAGGTCACATCCGAATAAGGACTTCCCTGTCTAAAACCGAGTTGCTGTTTAGCATAAAATAAACGTGTAGGATGTCCTGGGTCTTTGGGCTGCGGGCCCGTATGTCCTGCGGAGGCAAACACAGCGCAGGGCCCGCTGCCAGGCCTCCGCCCCGAGCCACTGCCCCGGGTCCCCCCCCCCCACCCCCAGAGACGCTCGTGTGGTTTTCTGTGAACGTATTTGGCTTCAGACAGTCACTCGCCACAGACATTCTAAAAGGTTGGTTCTTTCTGTGATTTTTCTCCTCACTCTGAAAGTAATTATAAATTTTGGACGGTGGTTCAAAAGCATGGAAGTATAGGCATTTTTAAAGATTAAATCCTACTTTGATTCCATGTCATTTTGGGGGGTACCTAATCAGTGTTTTAGCTAATAAAACTGGTTTCATGCACAATCAGATCTGAGGATTGTGGAGAGTAAGCGGACACAGGGCAGAGAACTGGGACAAGTCCCTGAGTCTCCATTGAGCAGATCGGTAATCCTAAAAAGTTTACCACTCATTCAATTTTAAATTTGAATTCTGAGTCTTAGGATTAAGAAACAGCTAAATATTTTACTATTCCACTAAGGGCTTTAACACATAACCCTAGAAATCCAGCAGAAGGCACGTAAGCAGCTCTGTGCAGGCAGACCTGACCGTACTGCACGCCGGATGCAAGTGTTTACACACGGAAGGCAAGGCCATCAGTGGAATGATGGAGACCAACCTCAGTGGGCCCCCTCGCTCTGCTGCGGGGGTCTGCCCGCCTGTGGCCTGTAACAAGGAAGGGCCGCAGGTGCGGGGGTCAGATGTGATGTCCAGTGGCTCGTTCTGAAACAAAGGGCCTGCTTGCCACCCTTTGCTGCAGCTGCTGCTGGGAGGCCAGCCACCAGGAGTGAGTCCCCAGATCCGCACCCCACCCCCCACCCCCGTCCCTCACTGGCAGCGGAGAGGCGTGGGCCGCCCCTTACACGCCGCTGTCTAATGCGGAACGCAGACAAGTGTCCCACAGTTGTAACCGCCACGTCACAGGCTGGGCTCAGTCGTGGACTCCCACGCGTCAGCACAAATGCAGATGAAGGGGAACAGCGCCAGGCTTCTGAACGCTTCCTGCCTTTTCACAGAGAAAAGTAAATGGAGAAAAGTCTTATTTCACCTCAGTTACAAAAATTCATCTTAGGTCACAGTAAACAATGTTACATTTTAAATTGCATTCTTTAAGGAAAAGTGATTACTTGCAATTTAAAATCTCAGAAATCTCAGACTTAATACTAAGCTTACATGGATTGTAACATTCAGTTAGCAGTTGCTGTGATTCATTTAATTTTTAAGAGAGAAGCACTTCTAAAGTGCCGACAGCAACAGGGAAAAAGCCCTCTCACCCCGGCAGGAACGGATTTGTCGGACTTATAAAAGTTTGATTTCTGCTGAGGAGAATTAGCTATCCCTAGAGAGATTTTCATCCAATACCAAGTTGTTTATAAATCCTCTATTACCTAATGTAATGTACTGTAAGTAGTGAAATTCTGTATATACTGTTGTTCTGTGTCTGTTCATTGTTGTGAATTTATGTATATTAGTGAAATAAATTTTCAGCTTTCATCTTGTTTCCTTAACATTCATTAACGTAAGTACATACATTTAATGTTTTTTTTCCCCTTGTTTGAGAACGGCAGGTTTAGTGGTATTTTCATTCTGATTCAACCAAACGAACTAGCTGCTCTGAAGGGGCGGCTGGTGTTCACTGGTGGGCGAACGCGGCTCCCCCCCCTCCCCCCCCTCCCCCCGTCACCCCCTTGATGCACCGTTCCCGCAGAACCACACTTCACAGCCGCACCACCAGCACGCATGATTTTCCAAAACGCCTTTATTCCTCGACATAGCAGAACGTAACTACCGCGTCAGAAGGGCTTATGAAATACAAAACACTTTGTGCTCAGCCACAGCCGACGGCCAGCGCGTTCCGTGTTTGCGCGGGCCCGTCGTGGACAGAGCAGCATCCGTCCGCACGTGTGCATGTCTGCACGTGTGCGCGTCTGTACATGTATGTGCACGCTGCATTCATCTAGTCACAGGAAAGCCTTAGCATTCTTACTCGGACTCCCACCCTCCACCACTCCCCCTCCCGCTCCTGGCCCGAGTCTGGGTTTCCTCCCAGCGTGGTGAACAGTCCCCCAGACCGAGTCAGCACCGCCGGGTCTGCCCGGAGCCGTGGTCGGCGCCAGGGGGCGGTGCTACGTCCCACCCACCACTTCCGCACAGCGGGGGCAGAGCGTGTCCGAAGACTTGGCCGTGTACTTCCAACAACGAGGGCACTTTTCTTTGGTGGTTGGCGTGACAATCACTTTATATGAAGACTCTTCACGGATATCACCACCTGTGGGTGAAAAACACACACGAGTTTGCAGGTGCGTCTCCAGACTTTCTCCTCCCTGCCGCGGCGAAGCTGGTTACATTACCGATGTCACCGTGGAACCACACGACTCGGTGGACAGCTGGGGAAGCCGAGGCCCTGAGAGAGGCCCTGACTTCTCCCCGACTGGGTTCTACGCCTAACTCCGCACAACGGGCCTTCCAGCCCACGATCCGAGCCCCGTTCTGATGAGAGGGGAGCTGGAGAGGCAGCGGAACTTACGAGCTTTGAAAAGAGCCGAATTATAGGACAGCGGCAGTGCCTCCCCTTAAAACGTCTCGGTGTGTGCACAAGGAAACAAGACTCTCTCCACTGTTCGCACTCCTAGACCTCAGACTGGTAACACATGGTAAAGAACGTGAATTCTTTTCTAGTCCCTGCGCAAAGATGTTACGTTCACATTTCGAGGGCACGTTAAGCCAGGGTGGTTACCACATGGTCAAGCGGCCAGGCCTGCCCCTCCCACCGGGACCTGAGGCTGTGCTGACAGGCACAGGCGGCAGCGTCCCTCTCCCCGGGACCTCGGCCTGCCCCCCTCTCCGGTCCAGCGGTGAGAATGAGTGAGGGCGACAGAGACGCCTGCGAGAGGTGTGCTCACGAGAGGCCGCTGCAGGGACTGAGTCCGTGCCCCGTCGTCCGGGACTCCTTCCCCGGAGTGGCTAAATCGTATTTCAATTCGGGGTCTACACAAGACGTTTCAGAGTCAGAGCGGGGGAGGGCGGGTAGGCCTGGGCAGTACTAGGAAAGGGTGTCCCGGGAGAGGGCCACGGAAGTCAAACAGGAGTGAGGGCGGCTGGCACCACACGCAATGACAACCACTTTGTCACAGCACAGGACGGAACCCCCCCTTCCAGCCCTGGCACCGTGTCCCCAAGATCACTGGGTGGGACGCTTTTGGGAGCCGTCTCCACAGAAAGCTGCCTTCAGAGACGGCCCGCTGTCCTCACTCGGCTCTCCAGCTCGGCCCCACCTCCTCGCCTCCTCCCTGCTCACCTTCCAGGTTGATGAGGAAGGTCCCCGTGTGCTCGGTGGCATCCCCAGGCGTCACCTGTGGCTCCTGGGAGAGGAGCGTGGTCCGGGAAGCCATCATGAGCTCGCTCAGCTGGGAGGTGCTGGAAGTCTCCTCAGCCTGCAGCATCTGGAAGCAGCGAGCACGTGCACGTTACCACCTGAGCTAGATTTTCACCGTAAATTGAGGTTATCAACGCTAGATTCTCGTATCCAGTGAGAAACCCTTTGTACCATTCCCTCCTGATATAAAATTATTAAAACACATCAGTTCTTCCTAGTTCGCAAGGTTTGAACTGAGAATTTCCAGTCGGTGGTGTTTACTGAGACGACTCAGGCAGCTCTTCGCTTTGCTGGATGCTAAACACCCATAATTTCTAGTTGCTACGAAACACCTGCACAGTGTTTACTGCCCCCCTTTATAAAGGGAGAACCAGGAGCAGGTTAGCCTGCCCGACTTTCTCAGCCACTCCGTGGTGCAGCCGCCACCCAGCCCAGGGCTGTCGGCCCCGAGGCCCGAACTCTCCCCGGATCACGCCGCTGACACTCGGCGAGCAGCTGAGACGCCACCTCACGAGGACGGCTGTCTGAGCAAGGCATGGACACGTCTGAAGGACGGCGAGCTGGGGTGTTTGATAGGCGCTTCCACATTTTCCGTTGTAATTCTGATCTTTAAAATGAGTGTGAGCTCACATAGACATTTCTTTAAAAAAGAACTCACGAGAAAGATTCACAGAGATTAATTTGGTTTTAACAAATCATACAATTCCTAAGTGTTCGAACCAGGGCTCCATTTGACAGCTACTTAGTGTGACTCCTAAGGAAAAGGTATTCCATTTTTAAGGCAGTATTTTTTCCGACACAAGCTGCATTCTTTCCAGCTTGTTGCTCAGAGCTCGTGAGGTCACAGGACTCGCAGGGGAACCCGGAGCTGGGCTGCTTGGCCTCAGCGAGGTCGCAGCCCCCGAGGTGCTATCTCCCGGCTCCTAAAATGAAGGAGCTGGAACTTCCCAAGTGCAAATTTGAAAATGTTAACATAGGATCGACATTCTCTTGTCTGATTAACAGTCTCATACCTACTAGCTATTTCAAACCTCCAATCTTGACCAATTACATAGAGCTTACCCACCAAATAAGAAGGTCATTTTTGTAGGGGGGAGGGGAACGATACCAGTAAAACGTAAAATAAGTTCATGGCCAATTCTTAGCATTAAAATTGCAGAAAAATCTTGAGTCACTAAGTTAAGCTCTAAGCCCATCTGGCCAATCAACCTCTAAATCCCAAGGAGAAATAGTCGATGGAACTGTAGGAAAAAAAAAAAAAACTGAATAGTTTGAGATCACATGGTAATCTGCCGGAGCAAATGAATTTTTCCAGAATTCGAGAAAAGAAATGGAAATCTTGTTTTGGATTTGTTTAGAATCTGGTACAGACAAAATTGGCAGAAAACTACACCCTTAACACAAAACTCCCGACTTTCATGTATCCTAACACCGTTCCCACGGACCCACATGTCATCCAAACAGCCCTGAGGCCTTGCCTTCAGTTAGAACCTAATTATGCCTTCCCTGCCCCCACACGAAGGTTTCTAGACAATTTCCAGTGAGACTGTGGATACGAACGCCCTTTCGAAAGGTGCGAACAGCCGCCGACCTCTATGATCTCGAAGAGCAGCCCAGGCTCAATGACGATGGTGACCTCGTACTCGGCGGCGTTCCGGCCGGGGATGCTGCCCAGAAACTTGTCCCTCATGGCGCAGGCGCTCTCCACTGCCTCCTCTAGCCCGGGCTTCTTCCAGATGGAGCTCGTGTTAATCCACCCGGTACGGAAAACACTCCTGGGCTCTTAAAGATAAAGATAACAAGCCCCAGTAGTTCACATGCATTCTAAACTACGTGCAAAGCTCTAACCACAAAATATTCACTGTGCCTGGGAAGGCAGAACTGTCATTGCAGGTAATCCCGGGATGAAATACCGCGGAGCCGCCCTAAGTGCTCCCAGACACGCACGTGAGCACTGGAAAGTGATGCTAATAAGTGACTCTTCCTCCTCTTTCTAAACTGATGTAGTGTCTGATTTTCTAGAAGTTCGGTACAACTAGAGGGAAAAAACTACCATAAAGATACTAAAAAGCACTATACTTTGTTTTAATAAAAGTTAATGTACTTCTGACACTTAAAAACACTTAAGAAAAAGTGCTTTCTCAATACGGCCCAGCTGCTAGCATCTCAGAAAGCACGTGAAGGCCCCTGAGACCCACCCTCTGCAAGCAGGTGCCGCAGGGACCGAGGGGCAGCCCCATAAGCCATTCACTGCAGGTGAGTAAGTGCCCCTTATATGAAGAGCATACAATCAGAAGCTGCACCCTCACTGTCACCTTCCCACTCAGAGAAAAACCAGCCTTCTTACCTTTAGCGTAAGGTATGTGCTGGAACACCTCCTCAGCCAGGTGCGGGAGAATGGGCGCGAAAGCACGAACCATCACATCCAGAATCTCCGCCAGCGCGGTCTGACAGGAGCGCCGCTTGGGGTCACCTGCGCTTTCACAGTAGAGCCTGAACGAGAGCACCTGCCTCAGCGGCTGACGGACATCACCGTGTACTGACTGCCAAGGTGGCCCCGTCTGAGGTCGCGCTTATTCATTCTTACATTACAGCGGCTCACTGAATGGGCCTAATCGTCTCCAACTAAATAAGATATTCTATCACAGACCCTCCATTGTCCTTTCCCCTTTCCAGATGTACCCCCTGGTGCCCCACCCCCACCTCAAAACCCTCTCGGCGGCTGAAATTCCACCCTCCAGCTAATGGAGTCCAACTCCTGGGTCAAAGGACAACCAAGTTAGTTGACCTTCAAATGTGCCCCCCCTCAAGCCCTACAAACTCCCCAAACAAGATGCTCTGTTCATGCCTCGTTAGCCGCCACTACTGGGCACTTCATCCCACACAGCACAGAGCATGTTACTGGTACCCCTTTGCTTCTCATAACCACACCGGGGTGGGGTTAGCTGTACCGCGTCACGGGTAAAGAAACAGACTGGAGGATGAGCTGCCCCAACTCGTCCAGCCAGGAAGAGGCAGGGCAAAAACAATCAGCCTCCACTCTAGAACCCACCCCTGGCTCACGGCGGGACGCCCGACGTGTGCCCAGCAGAGCAGACACTCAGGAAAGGTGTGTTGAGTGCCTCCCTATGCAGCCACACGCACCTGTCTTTGATTATGCTGAAATAGAAGTTGGAGAGTTCTCGGGTGTAAAAGGCTCGCAGCAGCCGGACAACTTTTCCAAAATCGTACTGCTTGTACGAGTCGGTTATCTAGGGAACAGAGACAAACAGGTTTGGAAGCTGGGATGCGCAAGCGGGAAGGCAAGCTGTCATCAGCAAAACACGTTCCTTCTGGAAACACGGGTCCAAGGCAGACAGACACGAAACAGGTGAGACAGGCAGAGCTCTTGGGCCGGGGCGGGGGGTGGCGTGGGGGGCACGTTTCCCAAACTTGACTTGGGGTTCAGGTTCGACTGCCTCGAGGAAACACTGAACATTCTGCTCGGGAAACTACAGGAGAACACTCGTCAAAGGAGAGGGTCTGTTGTCAGTGGTGACACCACCCTGTTTAAAAGCAGCAGAGAGGGCAGGTCACCACTGTCGCCTCACTTATGCGCGGGAAGTAAAACTGGCTGAAAACCTGCAGGCCCACCTCTGGCTCAAGGGTACACGGAAGCAACCACAGTCCTAATTTCTGAGTAACACAAGTGATCTGTGTTTACACGTAAGTGATCAGATACCTTACAAGACACAGAAATACTCATTTCAGTTACTTCTAGACCTTGCGGGGTATATCTGCTGGTAAGTAAAGTACACCTCGACTCCTTCCGGGTTGGAGAAATACTCAGTAATGGAGCTGATCTTGAGAGAAACCGTGGTCCGAAAAGGCTGGGCCTACTGTGTCCACGTGGTAATTCTCTCGTCGTCTGAGGCTCTGGGAAAGAAAGCTCAGCCCAACCTCAGAACATGTGGAATTTATCAAGTAGGGCTCTATCAAGTAGAGTTAAATGTGCTCCTAACCCAGTACGGTTGTCCCACTTGCGCGCACATCACATTTCAGCGTGGGGCAGTGCCGGCCTCTCCCTTTCCCGAAAGCCCGCTGGCCCCCACGTACCTTGCCTGCTAAGTCCTGCAGTAAATGCAGCATGTACTGGTCTATGACGTACATTTTGTCCACAGGGATGGAGTCTGTCTCTGGGTTGAAACCAGCCACATTTCCCAAAAGAAAGCGGAGTGTATTCCTAAGCTATTGGGGAAAAAACAAAACAAAACAAAACAAAAAAAGAGGCAGTTAAAAAAAATTTACGATGTAAGTTCTGCAGAGTTATTTTATTTCTCTACAATTAGGTTTTATCCAACTCATGTTACTTTCTTAATGGGATACTTTTAAAATAACATTCCTAAAGGAGACTACAAATGCAAAACAAGGAAACAAAACGCAATTCATTTTAATAGCCCAGGTGAAGAAACAACCCCTGGACTTTGCATGTAAAGAGGGCATTTTCATTCCATTTCTTTCTAACCGTAGGGCGGTCACCTTTCAGCCACCCAATTTGCTCACCTGTGTAGATGCAAAGGCTAAATGGAATAAATGTGAGAGGTCGCTGAGTACATAAAAAGTATATAAAACTGTCAAATGCAATAGCATAAACAATAAAAAATAAAGAAAAAATCTTAAAAGTATAGAAAATCAGTATTTCACATATTATATGCTTAATTACGCAGTGTTTTTCTTCTCTTCAGTCCTCACAGATACAGAACAGTAACTAAAGATAACTTTAAAAAAAAATCGACAGTGCCGTAGACGTTTCTTAAGTATTTGCATTTCTCTATAATTACTGACACGTAACATTAATATTGTATCAAAGCCTCCTTATGAAAGTGAGGGTCGGTGCATAGGGTATGTTTGATTTTTATGCACAGAATGAGTCCGATTCAGAATGCTTTTCAGCCGACACAGAGAGCGCCACACTCTTGAAGGCAAGGCCATGGGTCGGAATCACTGAAGAGCTCTGTCTCTATGGGAAACCCTATTAATGCGTTAATGCTCGTAGTCAATTCCGTGCCCAGGATTTGCAAGGGAGCAAGGGAGGAGCTCCCTGACTCGGAGAAGCACCGCATCGCACAGTCAGCCCTAGTACCCTGGGAAGGGACCTGGCTGCTTTGCGCCTGGAAGGTCATCGTTTTCCGTTTGACGTGAGGCCTGTCCAGGTGAAAGTGAGGAGCTGCTGGCACTTCGAGACTTTCCTTCTTTTCCGTAGAACCCTGGGAGGTGTTATGGGGGCAGGGAAGGGCACAAAATCTCTGAACCATTTGCTTGGCTCATGTTATGACCACGTATTTTTTACATAAGGGGAAATAACACCTTTAAAGTTCATGTCTAGCCAAGAGTCCAGTTAGCAAAGACAGAAACTGGACTGCTGACCAGTGCCATGTGTGAACACGCCTTAACAGGGAGGAGCACCGTTCTGTGTGGGTACAGTCCTTCCCTGTCGCATTGTCTCAGTGGACCCTGTGTTTGTTTGCAATATTAGAATGTCCATTAGCAAAACCTGGGTGGACTTTCAAATAAAATGTAGCGTCCACAGAGTGTGTGTAATTCCATGTATGCTCTTTATATACTTTCTTTTTATATTTTATTAAATAAAGTTATTACTACTGATTTTTACACACATAGTATGGGATATTTTTAAATGCACACGCGTGTGGAACTCATTTTCATTCAGTTTTGTGGTGCCGAACAAAACGTGCCCCTTCTTTACAAACGGTGGGTCAGTGACCTCTCCACCTGACGCGGGAAGGACGAGGACTGACCTTGCTGATGTCGTCTCTGGCCGCACTGAGCACGGATGGGCTGATCGTCACTTCGGTGAAGATGTTGGACTCAGCCACCCACCAGCGAAGGACGTCCGCACCATAAGGAGGCTCTTTGCTTTGATCCTTTTCGATGAGGGAAAAAACAAACAAACATATACACGAATGAATGGCTTTCAGTTCCAGTGAGGAGAACAACTCTTTCAGGAAGTCCTACTCAAAAACGTGCGAGCACAAAAAAACACCCGCCTGGTAGTGAGATAGGGGCTACAGTCTCAGCGTTCGGGCTGCACCTGAAAAAACAACGCTGAAGAAAGGGCATGCGCTGCAATCCTGCACAGCACCCCCCCTCACCCTGGCCACGTCTGCATGTCTCTCGCAGCAGCTGCTCAGACACACAGCGGTGCTCTGACGTCTGGCGGGGGTGGGGAGGGGGCTGCTCTTCCCTTCCAGCAGCCCCAGATCTGACGTTCATTAAGGACATGCTTTGAAGTGCACGATTTCCAAGAATGACGAAACGTGCATTTAGACGCTGCAATCTCATTTTTTTTTCTCATGCCATTTCCATTTAAATGTAAAAGGAGAGTTTAAAGTTCCAGTGGGGGGGGGGGGCAGTGTGGTTCAGGACCCACCTGGAGACGCAGACCTGTAACGAGCCACCCCCAAGCCCAGCCCTTCCCTTTCCGTCCAAACCAGGCATCGTCGAAGAGTCCAGTTTAAGACATGGCAAGGCACCTGCTGTTCATGTGAGAGATGTTTGGTTTTTTTAAACACAGAAGTAATTATATTAGGGGTTCTGGCTGCCAACGTAAAGAGCCTTAAAACCAAAACAGGCTGAGTTTCAGAGAGCCACCTACTTGTCCTCCATTGACGACGACGTCGGGGTCGACGACGTTCCCCAGGGACTTGGACATCTTCTCTCCCTTTTCCCCGAGGGTGAACCCGTGAACGACCACCGTCCTAGGGAGGCAAGTCGGTGAGTACAGTGACACGGTCGCGACGGGCTTCCCGAAGCCGGCTTCCAGCTTAGAGGGGGTATCTCGGTTTGACGCAAAAATAGGAGTTTTTTTGACCGATTGTGTACGAAAGCTTTTCTCGAAAGTCTAATTTTAGCAGCTTTCTACTTAAAAACAGAAAAAATTTTGATGTTTGCAATCACTAAACAAGTGTTTCCTGAACATCTATTATATGTTGGTTTTGATGATCAAAACTAACCAGGAAAGTGTATGTCTTTTTCTTTTAAAGATTTTATTTATTTATTTTTAGAGAGGGAAGGGAGGGAGAAAGAGAGAGAGAGAGGAACATCAATGTGCGGTTGCTGGGGGCTGTGGCCTGCAACTCAGGCATGTGCCCTGACTGGGAATCGAACCTGTGACACTTTGGTTCACAGGAAAGTGTATGTCTTAAAAAAAAAAAAAAGCAGATTATCACCTCAAATGATCTTCAAAATGATAATTCAAGGGAAAAGCATCTGCTGTCCTATTGGCTTATAAAAAAGCACATTATACAAGAAACAAACATTTATATTGTTCTGGAGTGGGTTTTCGTTGTAAGACAGCAAAAATCTTGAGCTCTTTTAAGAATCTTTCGGATTAGAACCTCTATGCACACATGTGCATAAGGAAAAGCAATCACCTACGACTGACCGAGAGCCCCAAATGTAACAAAATTCTCTGAGGGGATGTTCCAGTTCCCTCGCCACCTCAGGGCACTCCGAATGCAAGGACCCCGAGCCCGCAGGCTGTCTCCAGCTGACCCGAAAGCCCCCGTCTGCGCCCCTCCGAGCCGAGTCCGGCCGGGACTGCGGACCGGGCGCTCCGCAGGTTCCCCACTTGCGCGGTCCGTGTTGGCCCCAGCCACTCGGGGTCACGACCCGACTCAGCTAGGACGAGCCTATTCTGCACGGTTACCTCCGTTCCCATTCCGTGTCTCTCTCTCTCTCACACACTTCAAACTCTCGTGAGACCGACTGCAGGCTAGCAAAGGGTGGTGATGGCCCGTACGCACTACTCAGCCCAGGGGCCCCCGCACTGGCAAGTGCCCCGCGGACACACTCAGGGTGTGTGCTGACCGGTGCAGCTCAGGCACGGTACTCACTTAAAAGGGGCTTTTTTCCTCGCTGCCACGCTTGTTAACAAGGAAGACTGAAACCAACCACCCAGCTGGTCTTTTCCTTCCAGGTACAAGTCTGCTGTTTGGTCCGTACCTTGAAAGTAAGCGTTGACAAAGGCAGACATGTAATTAAACTCGGAAAACAGAAAGGAACAGTTATTAAAGTACAAAAAGGGTAAAAGCGATTATATTATTTCACGCGTCAGGCTACACCCAGTGGGTAGATGGCACTCGCCAGAGCTGTTACTCTCACTGCCAACTTATCAATCAAGATAAAGAGAATAAACCTTGGAGTATGAACTTCCAAACCATAAGTAGTTATAATACTATCTAAATTAGGGTCCAATTCATAATGATCAGTATCAATATTACCAGTTAAATAATTTTACAAGAACAAACTACTATTTTTTATCAATTTAGCAAATACTTGCTGAGGGCCCAATAACTTTATATGTTAATTCACGGGGTTCGCAGAGTCTTCTCCGTAAGGCAGGCGCTATCACTTCCCCATCTTACAGACGAGGGGCGTGGGCCACGGAGGGTTTATTGCTTGTCCAAGGTTGCGCAGATAAGAAGCAACAGTAGGTGTGGACCGTGAACCTAGACAGTCTGGAGGGCATGTGCTTAACCAAGAAACGAAATCAGGACAAAATGTCTTCATAAACGGCTAGTTACTAATTTCTAATTTGACAAGGGCCCAGTCAAAAGATGGGCAAATTATAAAAAAGCCACGTGAGCCAGGGGTTGGGGCGGGAGGTGGCTGGGATGAACGGCGTAGCACAGAGGTCTTTAGGGCACGGAGAATGCTCTGTGATGCTGTAATGAAGGATGCTTGTCACTAAACATCCATCCAAACCCCCAGAATGCACAACACCGAAAGCGGCCCTCATGTCAACTGTGGGCTTTGAGTGATTATATGATGAGTCCGTGTAGGTTCAGCAGCCATCACAGATGGACCCTCAGGTGCGGGACGTTGACCAGAGGCTGTGGGGGCGGGGGGGGGGGGCAGAGGGTATGGGGACTCTGCCTGCCACTCTACTTTGTGACGTACCTAAAACTACTCTACAAAATAAAGTCTATCTAAAATATAAAAGTAATTCATGGCTTTGCTTAGAAATCACTGCAATAATTAATACCTTTGCTCAATGTTTAAAGAACGTTTCAGAAATACAGGTATGACATATTTACCTATATGTGATTCACTTAAAAATGCTGCTCCCTTTCAGAAATTTTCAAGTTTCAATTCCTTAAGTTCTATTGACCTTGAACAATGAAACATGTACTTGACCTGGCATTAAAATTCATAAGCCAAGTCTCTTTCCCTGCGATAAAGTCTGTCAGCAAAAATCAAGCCAAATTCATCTCATTAAATAATCACCAAATCCATCTCATTAAGTAATAGTAGATACTGATGAAGTCTGGTAGCTAAAATTAAGCTCAAAATCAAGCTGCTTGTATTTTTCAATAAATATTCTCAAGGAAGTAGACAGACATTGACATTAAACCATCATACTGGACTTGATACAAACCATCTGAGAAAGAGAAAGAAGGACAATAAACCTCAGGAAAGTAGGTGACTTCTTGTTTTTGTTTTTTTTAAGGCAAGTCACCTCCACTTTATGGCTTTTTAAACTATGAATTCATCTAGTGTCTTAACTACCACTTGCTACTGCCTATCTTTTGAAGCTTTTTTTTTTAAAAAATCACGAAAGAATCACAGGGAGATAAATAGGATAAAATATTAGCCAATGAATCGAATTTTTATTGATAGCTTACTTTTTTGAGGGGGAAGATGAGATCTGAGTGAAGAGCAGAAACTACAGTCTAAAATCTGGCTCATGCACTATCTATAAAGGTAGTTTACGTTCTGACAGCCCCTACGCGTGCAATGTGCTTCTTTAACAGTTAACTAACTTTCTTTGAATTAATCACCTAAACGTGACAGTAAAGGAAAGGAGGGTTTGCTGACCAGGGGCACTCTTATCACTAACTTCATCTAATAAATATTTCTGCCAGAAATGGTCGGTTGAGAACGCCACAAACTAGGCAGAGAAGACGTGACCGCTCTCAGCACCACGGACAGCGGCACAGGGGGCCTTAAAGGCCCTTTCCGGTCTTCAACCCTGTCTGTGGCTCCAACTTGCATGCGCTGCACTTGGTACTGCAAAGCGGCTCCAGAAATTAAAAAGCAGCAATGCTAGTAGCAGCAATTCCCACCGAGGCTGAAGCAGTTAACGAGCTCTGAAATATCCTATACACGCACATTTCACAAAACGGCATGCTCCTGAAATTCAGAATGATGTCCCAAATGCGGTAGTAGGTAACCCTTTTTCCTGTTTATATTACAACTCTATGTAACTTACCTACCTTGTGCAATGCTGTTTACCTACATTTTCAAAGTAATTTAGGAAAACAAAGTACCTAAACTGGCAATATTTTCTCTTAAATACGGTGAAACTTATGAAATAATAATTCTGAAATTTACTACATTGAAATTATGAAAATTTTATTAACATGTAACTTGCCTTTGGACATTACTATGTGTAGTTCAGCTATAATATAAAGTCAACATGGATTGACTTGCATTCTACTTTTCCAACTTCCTAAGCCGAAACAAAGGCCTGAATGAAGGAATGCGTGTACCTGTAGCAGCCACGCCGCCCTCCTCTCCAGAGTGAGGTGCGGGGCCCGTACACCCCAGCTCAAACTTGAGGACGGTCCCTTTCAATCCCGCCCACCACGGCCTCCGCACACACAAGCTACTTTCCCACGCCCCCTTGCTCCAGAAAGCAAACGGGATCTCTTGGGCTGAAGCTGGCCCTCGGGAGCAGTGCAGGACGGGTCGGAGCGACAGCGACTTCCCCAGCGCCTTGTCCCCGACTTGAACCGCACGGTGAGGAGCAGCCACAGGCTTCACGCTAACCTTCTGCTCAGTATCTGCAAGGGCGTTTCTTCCCAAGACTCACCCTAACTGTGAGTAGGTGGAAAATTGGGCAGTGGCTTGTATGGGGGGGGCAGGGGGGGGCAGAGGGGGCAGAGGGAGGGGAGTGGCAGAAAAGCCAAGTAGTGAAGAATGAGAACTAACTGAAAGTCAGGGTGCTTGAGCCCTCGGGTCTGACCTAGGTTCTGTGACCTTCACCTCGTTCGCCCCTAATGCAGTCTCAGTCCCTCCTCTGAAAAACAAACGATGGGGTCGGGCCGCTGGGGTGACGTCCCAACTCTGTTCATAGAACTGGTGCCTCGGGGCTGCCTGGAGGGCCGGGGGTGGGAGGGAGGGAGAAAATCCCCAGTTTTATCTATCTTATTTGGAAATTTCACCGGGAAAAACAAAAAGTATACAAATCTTTACATTAAATGATCTCCAAGGATCTTTCCAGATCTAAAATTGCATGAGAGCAGATCTTCCAAATAAAGCAAAAAGAACTGTTACAGATTTCTTCTAAGCAGTGTTTCCATGTTCTCAAAACTGCCTGACTGGCACATAAACCGTTCGTTGCTTACAATTACCTGGGAGGACACAAGACCACGAAGTGCCGCTATCGAACCAGATGTCCAGAATGTCCCGGCCCGGCGTGAACTCCAAGGCATTGGCGCCACCAGCCTAGTAAGATAATGGAAAAGGATTTCTGTTGTACTAAAAAATGTAGATAATAAATACCCAAAATTGCCAAAAGAAGGTGAAACACTTAGAACCATTAAACTCACATTTTAACATAAATTTAAAACATTTAAAAATATTTCACAATTTCGTAACAACGGACTCATTTGCACGTAAAAATGACTATGGCCACTTAATTTATACATTCATTATTTTCTTGCAATTTATCCCCCAGTTTGGATTTTTGGTGTGTGATGCAATCGGTCACCTCTAATTTGGGTCCTGCAAAGTCCTGATGTTCCCGTGTTGGGCACTGTTCTCACAGTTACAGCTACTTAACCACACCAGTTAACACTTGGGCCCTTGATGAGATAAATAACCCTCACACGCTACTGCGACATTAAGTACTCAGCTTCTCTAGCTAACCAAAAACAACTACTCTGAAAGGGCACTGAATTCTCATTTTAAGTGCATGAACTCAGTCAGTTTACGTGATAACGTGCCGACTTTTTTAGCTCCCAAGGACCCCTTCTGTGGTTGGTCAGCCCTGCAGTGCGCAGGAGGCACCACAGACAGGAACCACAAGCAGAGCCTCACCTGAGCGAGGACTTCCGCAGGAAGCAGCTGCTCCGGGGGCAGGGTCCACCAGACGTCACTGCCACGCTGCTCCACGAGCTGAGCGACGTGCTCCACGGTTTGGCTGTGTTGGGGGGACAGGGCAGAGTTGTCTCACTTAACTACTGCGATCAATGCCAGACATTTTAAAATTCAAAAAGAGTAACATCTCTTCCTATCTGCAGGAGATTTTCCTATCTTGCCCCCCACACTTCAGTGGCACTCTCTTCAGCTACTTGCTCCTTGGCTGTCATCTGAATTCAACGTAAAATATGATCAGTATTAACAGTATCTATGAAATAAAATTAAGTCACATGTATCCCTTACAAGAAGAAAAAAGACTTCTCCCAGTATCTCTATTTCAGTTACTCATTTCCCTACTTCTATCCAGCCATTTTCTATCCAAGTACCTTGATTCAAAACCTCGTAATTACCGCCCCCCAATTTCTGCCCCAAATAAAGCAGCACACTGTGCCACTCCCACCTGTGAAATACTACTCAGGCTCGTCCTCTGACCTCAATAATACTGAATCAGTCAGCCTCACAGGCTCAATTCTACTACAGCTTGATGAAATGGTCAGACTTTTCCCCCAATTCTCATCCCTTTGATTTCACGGTCCATCTTTGAGAAAAATGCACTCCCGAAACTGCTTTCATCACACCAGTTATCCCCTCCTGAAATCGTCCAGTGCCCCGCTCGCAGCCTGCAGGACCGAGTCCACACCCACGCGCACAGGAGCCACGCCACGCCAGAACGTGCTTCCCTCTGACGACAGATCGCCAGGCTCATGTCCCGACTCTGCCACTTTGTATGCGTATGACCGTGTGCAAGGACTAAGACCTCTCCAAGTCTCTGTTGAGAGTAATAAAATGCACTTAGTCAAAAACACTTACTGAGCACCTCCACTGCCTTAGACAGGGATCTAGGCCCTGGAGAACACAGCTAAGAAGGCAGGTGAGATCCCTGCCCGAATGCACTTGCATTTCAGTGACCCTATATACTTCCTGTAGACTGACTGCAAATTGGATGCGTGGGTCCACGCAAAACTGAGCACAGCGCTGAACACACCATCGAGAGCCAAGAAATGCACATTAGTGACCACTGAAGCTGACCCTATGCTGGGGAAGATACAGAGTTATAAATTATTTGAAAATTAAACTCGGGGGGGAATTTATACTAAATTCTCTCACAGGAACAACATGCTTTTTAATTTGTTATCACAGCTTTATGGGCTTTACGACTTCCTCTAGCGCTTTCTGCGGGACAGCAGTGCATTTCAGGGCCGGGAGCCTGGACCTTGGACCCAGCAGGCGCCGGTGCCCTGGCCCTTTCGGTTTCCACTTGGGTGACGCTGGCGAAAGCACCTCACATTTCTGCACCTCCGTTTGTAAAATGCAGATAAAACAGTGTCGTTAAGCCAGCGATTCTGGACATTAATCAAGCTGATATGTAAAATGCCTGGAAGGATGTCTGGTGCCCATTAGTAAGAATTATATAAGCATTAGCTATTATCAAAATGAATTCTCTGAAGTTCAGTAAATTTAGACAGTTAATGTTGTTAACCCACTCCTAGCACATATACCATAATAATATTTAATTAATTAAAATAGACATACTAAAGCCAACTTTTCTACTATCCTCCTTTCTACCACAGTCTACCAACGCAAGTAACTGAGGATTAGCGGTAGGTCCGCAAGAGCGGATGGAATGGGAAGAGTGGGTAAGAGAAAGCTCTAAGTTCTCAATCTGGATCTGCTGCTCACTAGTCATGACTGTGCAGGGCAAACCATTTAACTCGCTGGGTCTCATAATTCACTGATACATGAAGTGATTGTTTAAAAAATTATGGGAAGCAAAACCAAATGGGTAATGTAAATTAAGTATGTTCTACACATTGAAATGTGAAAGACCTTACGATAGCAAAATACCACTAGGAAGCAAAATGAGCCATTAAAAGATTGAAAAGTGTAATGCTACCAGCATCCGTTCTGAAGAAATTATAAATAACAAGAGTGTTAAAATGGGCACAAGTCCATCACCCATTGTAGATGGACTTTTAACAGCAAAGATAAACTTTTGTGATGAGACCATAAAAACTTTGTGCAATAACTATCTAATTACTACATGATGATATTTAGTTACTTATTACTATTATATGCAGCTTGCACAGAACATTTTATCAGTTAAGAAAATATGAACACACTATCATAAAAAATCTGAATAAACCTGACAAAAAAGAAATACTAGCAAAGTACACTTACACATCTAAAAGTATAGCAGTTACACTGTAAAAACGAGTTGCAATTTCAGGTGAACAGTAAAATAAAATAGAAAACCAGTATTGCAGGTGTTGGCAATACACAGATTGAAAAGTAAAGCCAATGGTTCGAATTTCATATGCATTTAGAAAATAAGGTGGAAATGTTGGGGACCAAGGTTATTATCAATCCAATAAACGAGTACGTGCACGCCACACATTATACTTTCCAAGGCCCCATTTCAGCACGCCCTCGCTGGGGTGACAGAGAAACACTGAGCAGCTCTGTCTCTGGCTGTGTCACAGTCACGAGCCCATGCAGGCGACAGAGCTAAAGCCAGGCCTCCACAGCCTGTCTCCTAAATCCCGGTCCAGCCGGCTGCACTTCTCCAGTTAGCCTCGGGAGCTCGTCTAGAAAGACAACCACTGTCTCCCGGGCTTGCTGAGCAAAGGCAGAAAGACTCTTATCAGCCAGGCGGAAGGAAACCGGGGCGAGGTGGAGGCACGGCCCCAGGAAGTCTCCCGAGACGACGTGTGTTTGCAGAACCAGAGTCCAAAGACCAGGCTCCACCTGTGACTCCGAGACACTGCCAGGACAGATCAGACTCTCCTTCTGAGCTTCATTCTCCGTGAACGCTGGGGAAAGCTGTGTAAGGCATTTTAATCTTTAGAAAAGAAGAGGCCTAATACTTTAGTAACTTCCAACCACAGATTCTTCCAGCTCCAGAATATGTACAGACTCATTTTAGAATCTCAAAGTCAACTCGGATGGACTGAGTTCTTTTTTGTACCCCTAAAGAGCAGATAATTCAATGAAGACTTAATATTATATTTTAAGTAGTACTGCATTATATGCAAGTATCTACTGAGTCTGTAAATAAAAATACCAAACAAAAGTTCCAATTTTGCGGCTCGCATGTTATGAAGAAACTGTAAAACCCCGCCACCTCTGGTCAAAATAAAATTTGTGTTTTAATTCCTACATTTTCTCAGGTATATTTTGAGATCTTAGACAACTATCTTACTTATTTATTTTTAAAACAAAAACAAATTATAGACAATTCTGGAATCAGAGGATAAAAACTGAACAAAATGTCTGATATGTAAAAGAATGCCAATTTCAAGGACAAAAACACCCTCGCATTCCAAACAAATCAAAATTTAAGTGGACAGAATTGGAATCACAAAGTGAAAGCTTTGTCTGGATTTGTACTCTCGTGGTCTGAATGATCTTAAGAAATTCTGGCACTCGGTTTTAAAAACAAAGCTTGGAATCAAAATGAACACACACATACAGTCTGCAAACAAAGTTGGCTGGATTGCAAAACAAAAATAAATTTAATGTTCAAACTAAATCTGAAAAGATGGTTTGGGAAGAGAAATACAAGCCAAGCCTGCACAAGTACCCCAAAGACACTCATTAAAGCTCTGCAGCGAAAACCCAGAAACAGCCACATGTTGGATGGGCTAAGTTTACACGCTTTCCCTAGACAGGGAACAAAGCAGCCAGTAAGCACCGAACTGCCATTTTTAATGGCTGTGAATTCATGCTTCTGAAATTGACCTGCGTGATCTCTTTTTTTATATCCTCGTGTTCCTTTGTAAACTGCTGTCCTTATACTGTCTTCGTGCAAGCCATGAGTCCTCTCATTTCCCTAGGATGCTTGGAAGGGCACGCTTTTATAACAAAACGGAGATCACGCTTTAAAATTTTTTAGAACATTTTATCGGTGTTTCTTAGTGATAATAAATATTCTTCACAAAAGTACAAGGAAGAAGTCAAAATTTCTGTTTGAAAATTTAAGAATTTCCTCACTCTGTTAATATCCTATCCTATCCTATAGCCTATACCTATATTATTAGTATATCCTATACTAATAATATTGTATACTATCCAATACAGCTGACTTATAACCCGCGGACCCGTGTCAATTGCTGCTGACGAGAGTGGGTGAAACGGCTTATCAGTACATAACCTATATGCTTCCATTTTCATGCTGTATTTCATTAAGCAATGAGCCCATCATCATAAAACTTTGTACTTTACTCAAGAGCTTTATCTAAACACCCACAGGACATGTCGCCAGGTTAATCAGCGAAAATCCCTCGGTAGTATGAGCAACTGCAACAGCAGCCAATCACCCTGCAGTCTGATATCGAGCAGGCCGAAAGCTTATTTAGCCTGTTCCTGGACATCCAGCAGCACTGGGGCCGGTCACTCGGCAGTGGAGACACGGGTGCTGTCTCCCGGCACTCCCTGAGCTCGGTCTTCACACAGGCAGAACCATGCGCCCTCCACACCTCCTTCTCCTGCAGGCTACCAGACTAACGAGGTAAGAGGCTAACTGCTTCGTATACACTTACTAAACTTCATTCTACACCAACAGTGAAATTTGAGAAGGAAACTATTTTTAACTTAATGCTACACTTATGTTTGAAAGGTTAACAGGAAACAATTTGGGGGAGACTTTTCTTTATTTATTAAACATTGCACTTTACTTCTCACCAAAAGAGCATTAACATGAGCAAAAATCTGAGGTAGCTAAAGCTTACACTCAAATTAAACTAGAAATTCCCTGCCTGCTTCTAGGCAATTTTTTATGATTTCCAGTAATGAGAGCAAAGTTCCTTCAATGCGTGTTAACGATAGCATTAATATTGTTAAATTAATTATAATCACCTGAAATGGTGAAAGAAATTTAACAACTTCTTTTCCTTTCTAGGTAGCCAGTATTTCTCTATTTTATCTCTTTTTTATGTTAAAATGTATTTGTTTTGTCTTTATTAACTAGAAATAGATTTCTACCTAAATTATGGCAGCATCAGACTACAGATTAAGGAAATGACCAGTGATGTTAGGGACAGAAATGGAATTACTTGAGAAAATACAAATGTGAATATAAAGTACCGATGAGAACATTAATTCAAATCAAAATTAAACATCAGAGTTTCAAATTCGCCAGTTGCTAAGTTTGTTTAGAATGGGAATGCATGAAGGCTTTCTTCTGTGAGGTAGGCATACTGCAGGGATTATTACGGACCTACATCAGGAAAAGCTGAAGGAACCTTGTGACAGACGTCATGGAGCCATCGAGTGTAACAGCAACTCCATGTGGACTGCGTACCGATTTCCAGTGGAGATGCTGTTACTTTTGATGGTGTCCAACTCGCTACAGCATGAAGGCACATCCGAGAAGACAGAAAGTCATGGTCACTGTGACTCTCACCCAAGTCGAGTCCCCTTGCTCATTCAACCTGCCACCCCCGCATCCGGAGTGGTCTGCCCCTCCCTCCCGGCTCGCCCTGCCCTCTGTGCGTCGGGACGAGTCGTGGACTAACAGACGGTGCACAGGAAAATGACCTATGAATTGACAGACTGTGGCTACGCGTGTCTGTCACTTCTGAGGCCAATATTCTGTATGCCTCTACTGCTTCGGTATCAGAAACCGAGACCGTGCAAGCCACACAGGAAAGAATCTGTAACACAACCATGTGACTGTATTGACTATAAATAAAACATAAATGCTATTTAAGGAATATTTGTTTTGAGTTTTTCTGATGAAGCTCACATTTATTTCCCTCAGCTTGCTGATGCACCCTTTTACTGTCATGATCAAATAGTGATCAAACAAACCAGTGTGCCCTACTTCATACCGTCTGCCCCCGTCAATCCACGGAAGTTCCTTTAAACACTTGCTCTGTAAATACTGAAAAGAGTGAGAAACAATGACAGTGGCTTATAACCATTCCTTAAAAGAAAACACTCCAGTGTGGAATTTTAAACGCTTGTATACATTTATCTCAACTTTAATCCCTAATAGAGGTAATAAGATATTATCAGTTTATATCTGATCAAGCTCTCAATTAAAAAAAAAAACATAAGCAACAAATTAGGCGAAAGGGCCTTAGCTCCAAATTTTCATCAAGTTACAACTATAATAAACTTATAGGAAAAAGCCTTACCGTGACTCCCTGCTCTCTAGAATCTGGTGTCCTTTCCTAAAACACACTCTCACTCCTGAAGCCTACTTAAGCGTTTCAGTTCCTTAACCTCTTACTCAGGGTTCACTCCCGTCAGCCCCGGCCAACCCCTCCCCGTGTTTGTTCCTGAAATGCCCCACGAACACTGCCGTCCACTATGGTTCCTGCACGTGCTACGCTCTCGCCCTGCAGCTCCTCGGCTCCTGCCGACCCCAGCTCATCCCCACACTCCCCACTGAGTCCACAAGGCCCCACCCAGGCGCCACACCCTCTGGGAACGGAGCGGAGGAGCCGCTCTGTGGCTCCACGTGCACCCCGGGGTCAGCCTCCAGTCCCGCCCCGGGCCACGCTGCCTGGGGTGCTGGACCCCTAGGGTCACAGGCAGAAGTGGTGCGGTGTCTATTTCAAACGGACAAAAGCTTTCACACCTACCGTGGCTATAAGCAGTTAAAACAAACCAAAAAAAAAAAAAATGCTTTAAATAACATTTTAAAAAACCAAAATACATGTTTTCAAAAAAGTGCTACTTAAAGAAACACTGTTAGTGTTGACGATGAAAAGGAGAACCTTTTCACGAAGACAGTGATGAACCCCCACGCAGGGCCGCTCAGCTCAGCGCCCACAGTCCTCTGAACCCCCAGGCATCCGAGGGCCTGCGTAACCTTAGCAACCCCCTCGACGCTCAGGGAACATGGACGTATTTACCGAAACAAGCTCCAATGTTTCACTCGCCTTGCAGAATAATTTAGTAAAAATTCCAGCAACCAAATTAAATCCAAATTACTCAAAAAAAAAAAAAAAGTAAACACCTACCCCCAAAAGGAGTGATTAACATTGCCCTTCCCACTTCCGCTGGCAACGGCACAGTGCTGCAAGCCCCCTGAATCTGCCAGAAGGAAAACGGGCCAGGCCCCCCTCTCCTCACTCGGGGGACGCGGGCAGTCTTGGGCGCTGCCTCCCGGGGTCTCGTGTCTGCACTGGGAAACCTCTCCTCACTGCACAAGCTTTTCTGCTCTGAATCGTTAACTATGTCCCTGGGTTACCTTTCCAAATTAAAAAAAAAACAAAACTGGGAATGTAATCACTGAAATAAAAGTCATTCTGCACCTTAAACCTGAAAGCACCGGAGCAAGGCCACGACGCCACGTCCGCTGAAGGGGAGGGTGGACTCAGTCAGGGAGCGACTCTCATTCATAAAGAAAATCACACCCCAGGATGCCCCCCAGGAGTGCCCATCTCTGGGTTCCCGACAGCTTGTTCCAGCACAAGCCCTGGCACACAGGAACAAGGAATTCCCACAGCAGAAAGACTCAGAGCCCCTGCTTCTCATGTAAACAGTGAGAAACCATAGTTGTTAAAAGTGCTGTCGTATGAAAGGACCTTTCTTTCTGATGTTTGTGTTTCATCCTCCCCAAAAGATCATTATTTTAGAACATTTTATTCAATATGTATCAGGAGTTCTCCACAATCCACTATTTTTCCATTTCCGAAGCAAATACTTCTCACTTTAGAACAGTGAGAAATTTTAGGAAGTTCTTACCTGTTGATCAAGAATTCATCCTTCGTCTTGTGATGGAACACAGGGATGGGAACCCCCCACGCTCGCTGCCTGGAGATGCACCAATACGGCCGCCGGTCCATCGTGTCCACCATGGCGTTCAGTGCTGATGCGGGGATAAATTTCACCTTTTTCAGCAGTTCCTGCAATCGATTCGCAAGCCAAGTCCAGTGAGAGAGAGTGGAAGAAGCTTCCTAGAAACTGTCACTATTTATCCTAATTCAGTTTTTTACTTTAGATATTTATACTCATTCACATGGCCCCCTCAAATCCCCCCCACCATCAAAAAAATAAACAAAAACAAACCTAAGCTAAAACACTACGGATTTCAGAGCAAATGAGGCAAGGTTAAAACAAAGCCACAAAGTCCTAGTAAATAACATCAAGAGCTGACGTGACCTCCAGAGCATGTGATAAAAGTTGGTCCCAACTTTCAGGACCCTAGGTCAAAACTAGTAATAGCAGGTTTAGTAGAAGTACTGTATACTTCATTAAACTACAGTTCAAATCAATCCAAACTTGAATTCAACCATTTTTTAAAGGCTTAAAATAAAGCTACTGCCATAAGTTGACAAGGACAGCAATAGGACCTATATTTACATAGAGTATGGTGCAAAACACAAAAACACTTTCTCAAAAGAACTCCCTCTGGACTCACTGTGTCTCAGGAACCCTCCCTCCTTCTGTCTTGCAAGAGCTACAAATCACTAGCATTGCATTTCATTTCATTTGTCAATCATCAAAAGATAAATTTATGTAGAAAAAGTGTTTGGTAATAAGCTCCAAAAGGCCCAAAATACATTAACTTCATTTTTAAAATCTTTCTATGCAAGAATAAAAGCATCTTTATAGTTTCAGTTTCACGGTCACAGTTTCCTCACTCACCTGAACTGCCCCCCACCAAAGCCATTTGCAGCACCCCCTACTGGCAGTGGTGGTATCTGCAACTCAATTTGATTAATACCTGGTTTAAAAATCCAAGAAATGGGAATACTGACGGATATTTCATTTTGTTAAGGAATAACTAATATTTTTTACAGTGGTGAAAATGGCACTGGAATGATGTTTTAAAGAGTCTGTATCTTTTCAGACTCCCGTGCTGAAATGTTTACGGAAGAAAGAGTGCCTGAAGCGGGCCTGAAAGTAGTCCAGGGGGCGGGGAGTATAAAGTGAGCGGGAGGAGGCGTGCAGGAGCAAACAAAACCGGCCCTAAGTTGATACTTATTGAACTTGGGTGAGACAAACATGACTGTATCACGCTATTCTATTTCTGCAAAGAGTGACCGGAAATTGCACACAAAGACATCTGTTTAAAAACCTGGCTTCAGGGTACTGCAGCAGACTGAGACGTCCTGCCACCCAAATCTGTACGGAGCTGGAAGTCACAAATTTTAACATTCACAAGTGAGGGCTTTGATGGAGAGCACATTAAAAAGGCCCAGTCCGCGTCACATGGTCCACTGAATACAGACACAGACAACGCACACTGCTCCGCGGAGCTTTGCCAAGGGCCCCCACTGCCACACCAGCAGATGAACCAGTAACACACAGTAATATCTTGGATGCAAGTATAAACCAAAATGTCCAATGTTCAGCCTGGTTAACAAATACGTATTTGAGCTCTTTCGTTCAGGAGAATCAAGTTGTTTGTGAGAGACACACACACACACACACGTGTGATTGAATGAAAGAGCTCAAATACATATTAATATTTAGATGATCTGTTCTGAAGTATTTACGCAAAGCAACAACTTTTCAAATGGACTGAATTTCCATCTGAAGGAAGCGAAGGGCTCCATGAGCATTTTATCGAATCCACAAGCCTGTCTTCACTTGCTCCCTGAGGCAGGCCTCACTCTCGCCTGCAGGTAGATGATGAGGAAACCAGGGTTTTGAGAGGTGAAACAACTTGCCAAATCCCCTTCTGTCCTAATTCTGGGCTACTTTTACCACCCTGGGCAGAAAACGCGGCACAGCCCCTGACCCCTTTCGGCCTGATGCCCCTCACGTGGTTAACGAAGGAATGGAAATCTCAGGTCCTTCCAGATCTCAAATTCTACAATTTTACGAATCCAAGGGCAGCGATTCCCTCCGCTCCCAAAACCCTCCCTAACTCCCACGCAGCCCTTCCTGTCTGAGAACTTGAAAACCCAGCCCTCATGGCAAGGAGCCTTCCCTACCTTGGCCGTGGTCTTAAGGTCCGTGATGTCGACAAACCACTGCTTGCTGGCACGAATAACCACCGGCTTCTTAGTCCTCCAGTCGTAGGGGTAACTGTGTACCAGCGTTTCCTCCTTCAACAAATTCTTTGAAGCCTGAAGCATCTTTATAACTTAAAAAAAATCAGTAAAAAATCAGTTTGCATGAGACATCATTTCAAAGTGCTACGAAAATCCTAGCAACTCTCTAAACTCCCTGGGAGTTCTAAACTCTGGACCAACGGGGGTCGGGAAGAGGGGCCACCCACCAGGGGTCAGAGGCACAACCTGGGATTCTCCTGGCAGAAAACGCAGGGACCGCAAAACCTTAACCAGAACCCAAAGTACGCCATTCCCTTCACTTCAAAGGAAAGATGAACAAGATGCACTTAGAATTCTACATCTGACATTCAGAGTCCCAGTCTTTCACACCTAGGCTGTTACTTGGCGCCCATGTCTTCCAGAAGAAACCAGGTAGAGTGAGTGAATTTTGTTCCCACAACAGATACGCTCAAGTCCTCACTCCTAGTACACGTGAATGGGGCCTCGTTTGGGAATGGGGTCTCGGAAGATGTACGCTGGATTCGAGTGAGCCCCAGACCCAATGACCGGAGTCCTCAGGAGAGCAGAGGGCACGCAGACGCACGAGAGCAGAGAAGGACGTGTGACAAGGGAGGCAGTGGCTGGGGGAACGCGGAGTGGTTTACCTCCTGGGGTTACCAGGAGCCCCCAGAAACTAGGGAGCGGCAAGGAAGGAAGGAAGGGGTCTTCACAGGGCCCTCGGAGGGAGCACGGCCCCTGACTCTTGACTTCAGACCTCCCGCCTCCGTAACTGTGAGGGGTCACCCTTGTTGGGAGCCACTAACTGTAGGGTCGTACGTTGCAGCAGACCCGGGAGACGAACACACCCCGTCTAATTAGCTCTAGTCTTTAGTGTGGGCAGAGGAGGGTGTCACAGCGCCTGGTCCCTGGACCCAGAATTCCAGAAAGGCAGAATGGTAGCTTATGACGGGAGGGCCCCCCAAGATCAGAATACATAAACCGTGCCGGACGGGTCAGTGACCCAACCAAGGTCACCGAAGGAGTGGCACGCGCCCGGCTCACAGTCAGCATCGGCCCCAACCTCGCCGCCTGCCCTCCACGAAACCGAGACTGCCGCCGCGCACCCGTGGAGCCCTAAGGCAACGCCACTCCCCGCTGGCTGCCCGGATTTGCTCAAACAGAGCCACGCCCAGGCCAGGGAGGAGATGCTCCCCAGCTCCGTCCGTTGTAAACCACATGGAGAAATAAGACATAATTTTAGCTTTGGTTATACTGAAGGTATAAGACGCAAGCCTAAGTCGAGGTGACTGCGGGCTACTTCCCAGAAAACGCCGACCTACGGTATCGACGCACACACGGCACTCACCTGCATCTGTCCCCTCTTCGAGGACAGCCTTCCTCCGAAGTTCGGGGCCCGCGGCGTCCGTGAAAACCCCGTCTTCATCCACTACACAGTCCTGCAGCGTCATTGTGAACAGTTAAAGTATCAAGACACTTTACCTTATGACAGTAGTAATCTGGCAACACAGTCGGTACAAAACAGCTTTCACTACACTGAAAATCTGGGGACTCAGTTACTAGGAAATGTAGATTTACACACTTACATGGCCAAAGGCAAGATATCGCACTAAAGCAGAGCCCTACAGTTTAGTAACAAAAATACACACTAAATATCATTTTTAACTTGGTCTCCATTACTTCATGGATCTATGGGAATGTACATACCCAGTGATGACTTTGAGACTTGCCTTTCAATGGGAAACTAGCTAAGTAATTGATGTGTGCAAAATAAATTTATATAGGACTGTTTAATTCAAAAAACAAAACAAAACAAAAACAGGTTCTTTTCAACTGGTAAAGCTCATAAAATCCACTTGCCATTTTTCAGGGACTGAAAGTAATTTGTCTATGTGACTTTATATTTAATATAATTCTTCAATTTTAACTTTGCGCTGATGTTGTGTGAAGTCTAGGAAATCTTTCTCAATTAAGTACGAATTAGTGAAGCTTTAGTGCATGGCACCAATCTCAGCATTTCACAATTAGGATGGCAAAAATGACTGTTTCCAATCAAAAGATAAAGGGGTTAGCTAGATGTGTCACTTTAATTACACAGAAGCAGCGATTAAAAAGGAAGAAAGAGGCCCGGTACCATGGACAGGTCGTGCTGCGAGGCCACACTGTAATCTTCCATTCCGTGGGCGGGGGCTGTGTGCACCAGCCCCGTGCCTTTGGCCATGGTCACGTGATTCGCAGGTAGGAGAGGAGAGGCTTTATCGGGAATTAAGGGGTGAGTACAAGTACCGTTTTCCAAGTCAGCACCTGTGGGCAAAGAGAACCACAAGTAAGAACCACTGTTTAGACCTCTAACAGGCTTGGAGCTGCACTGATGCATTCAGGATGCTTCCCTATTAGGCAGCCTTTCCATTTCGGGGTATCTCACTCACGTGAAAACTAATTTTTTTTTAATGTAAGAAACTCACAGATGTATCATCCGTAAGGATCGAAGGTAATTCTAAACTTCCCTAGACCTCCATAGCTATATTTCAAAACCAGTCCCGCCCTGTAGCCTACTAAAGGTGCTTTTGACCGAAGGAACACCTTTGGACTGATTTTCAGAATTTATTTGATTTCCTTAGTGAAATCATATACCAAAAATAAGCATAGTTACTTCCTTCTTTGCTCTTTTGATTACCTAAGATAAAAATAATTTTAGCAATTTAATTTTAGATATCTATACCATCTACAACCCATTACGAATATTTGTTTAATTTCACGTTGGATATTTGCCAGGAACTTTTTCTAATCTGTTGTACCTTTGGCAATGTTCATATTTTTCTACGCTCCAGTCACATTTAATATATATTCTCCCTCTGCAGAATCACTGTAAAATACATTCTAGAGAGGTAGAGACCATTATCTGCTTTGATTCAGAATGAGCAGTGTTCAGCGAAGTACTTCACTCAACCAGTATTCTAATGACCACGATGGTCAGAATGTCCACAGATCTTCACCTGAACATGTTGAAATAACCTCAAACGTTGTTTTCAAAGCAGAAGCCACAGGTGTTACTTTATCTGCCGCCAGTACGTACAGCTCTCCGGATGTGGAACATTTCACAATGGCGTACCTGAAATAAAATTTTAGGATAAAATTACTAACAATGAGCGAAGAAAAGCCACATTCAAAATGTTTTATATCATTTCAGAAAAACCAACTTCCATATCAAAAAGGTACTATTTTCTTTTTTTTTAAAGATTTTATTTATTTATTTTTTAGAGAAGGGAAGGGAGAGAGAAAGAGAGGGAGAGAGACATCAATGTGTGGTTGCCTCTCACACACCCCACACTGGGGACCTGGACTGCAACCCAGGCATGTGCCCTGACTGGGAATTGAACAGGCAACCCTTTGGTTCACAGCCCATGCTCAATCCACTGAGCTATACCAGCCAGGGCAAAAGGTACTATTTTCAAAGGACTTCATCCCTTACATCTGTTTTCCCGAAAAGCTGAAATAAGACCTTAAAATCTGTATGAGCACAGGTAAGTTATAACTCATTACCTTTTAAGAGGGTAATAGGGATAAAATACAAAACAGTGATTAAGATAGAACAGACCCTTTTTGTGGATGAAACAAGAAAACCTGCAGCACTATACCTACTTTGCATCTGGCATATAACACACAGCCTGATTGGCCGGGATTGTCCAGGGCTGTGTGGTCCAGACTAGACAACTAGCAGGCGCCGAACCATCTGTGGAAATAAAGTTTCAAGTATGTTAGCGAGGGTTACACTTCCACAACCTGAATCAACTCGAGCAATGAATACATCGTACCTATGAGAGACGCCAGCTTAGGAGCAGGTTTCAGGAGGGGGAACTTGACGTAAACGGAGCGGCTGACGTGCTCAGGATTGTACTCCAGCTCCGCTTCGGCCAGCGCGGTCCTGGGGTGCAAGGACATTAGACATGAACATGGTTTAGGACCTGAACATGTGGGAGCCTCACAGACTTTCCCCACTAGTGAGCAAAACCACACGAATACCTGGATGAGGGAGACCAGAACACCGGTTTGTAAGACCGATAAATCAGGCCCTATAAAAGAAAAAAAGAAGACAGATACATGAAAGCTGGAATTTTGTAGCACAGTCCAACACATGCAAAGAAAAGGACACCTCGTCACCTTTTCATACATCTGGTAGAAAATTCTCAGCTGCTTGGCCTCGTACTTCCCATCGAACGTGTAGTAGCAGTTGCCCCAATCCGCCATCACTCCCCAGCGAATGAACGCCGACCTCTGCTTCTCGATCGCCGCCTGAGCAAATGATCTCGCTGAACAATACAAGGGGAAAAAAAGTGAAAACCAGTAAAGCCAAATCTTTAAACGTGGTTTGGCATGGGTCTCTCTAAATGCAGGTATTGTACACAGTTTCGACTGTGAAGTTTATTTCATAGGAAAGTTATTTGGAAAGTTCAAGGTGTTCAAACTTTAAAATGAACTAGAATTTCAAAAGTTAAAATTGTTACCCTCTTCTCTATTTTCCAGATTTTATGCAATGACTTTGCTTTTAGAAAAAAAAATACACTGGAAAAATTATTCTTCACATTTCTTCATTTAAGAAAAGATCAGAGAATATATCTCATTATGCAAAAAAAAATTAATCAGTACTATGTAGTCAATACCAAAAAGTTTCACAAGGAAGTAAAAAATCATCACAATCATATCCTATACACAATAGTTTAACATACACAAATACAACACTCCCTGCCAACCCAATCTACTGAAAAATCCAATGAGAGATTAATTTAAACTATATTTGTAGTTTAGAATTTACTTTCATTTTATCACCTGAAATAGGTTAACAGCCCTAGGTAGGAAAATAAATAAAAACATTGACCAAAATAATAATTTCACAAAGTATAATGACTGAGGAACTAAAAAATGTACTTGGAAATGTTAACAAATCTTTCCTTTAATCACTGACCATAAGTCCTCACAAAGGGCAATTTAAAAAATCTGAATTTTCTGTGACAGAAAGTGGTTTCCAACAGATCTCATTATAACTACAAAAAAAAAAAGTTACAAAATATAATAGGTCTCTTTGGTAAAGCCCAGACATTTCCAAAGAACCAGTGTTTATAAAATACTGTTTTCAAAGAGAAACAGATTACTCACCTTTCTCTCTAATTTCCACCGCTGAAAGATTCTGAGCTTTTCCACCGAGTTCTGACAGTACTTTTACTTCGATGGGTAACCCATGACAGTCCCAGCCCGGCACAAAATGTACTTTGGAACCCCTCATCATATGGTATCGATTGGCTATATCTTTCAAAATCTGCAAACAAAATGCTAATCATCCTTCATGTGTGAAGCAAGTACCCCCAAATCTATATTATTAATATTTTAAAACACTGAGAAAGCCCAATTTTAAAAGCGTTTATATAAAGTAACCTAGTAAATGTCCTAATTTGAGTTCTACATAAATACAAGAATAACTGATATTTGAAGTTTTAAAATGCCTTAGCCTCCCAAAAGAAATCAAAGACTATAAGATTTCAAAGTGGAAAACTCTGTGCCTCAAATGACCGATTTGCTGGGCATGTGCAAACAAGCAGCCTATCCTACCTGTTTAAGAAGTAATTTTAATTGTCCAACCACTATGCTAGACCTGTGACACACAAAATAATACTGAATGTAAATTGAAAAATTTTTTTTCAAAAATAATTTTAACCTTCTAACGAGAGTCAATTACAAACTTGCTTTAGTCTTTTGAAAAACATAATTAACGTGAATAACTCAATATTCAGGGGTTTCTTGGGGGAGTGGGTGGGGGGAGTAATGCCAAATGAATTTTTTTAAAAACTGAAGGAGAGTAGTAACATATGATGATCACTTAGCCTAATATAGGTGAGAAAAATGAATCAGTAACGGAAGGTGAGTTCACACACAGCCCATAATGAAAACACTTGTCCCTTGGGTAACAGGCCAGTCAACTGCCAGAACCTCAGGGTGACCGTGAAGCAAACCACAACCACTCTTCCCCTTCACGGCAGAAAGCAGAGAGAAAACCTCGGTGTGACACAGGGAAGTCAGGTGAATTCTCTCAGAGGAGGACCCACAGTTCCTCCTCAGCTCATTCACTATTTAAAACCCACATACTAGCCACCCCTCAAAAGCAAAACACCAGCCCTGGGCATTATAGGCTGATGAGCTCTCTCCCCTCCCTTAGTTAATAATAGATACTTATTATAAATAATGTCTACTTAATAATAGATATTAAATAATGTCTATTTAATATCTCCCCCTGAATGTGCCATCTCATTTCAAAGTTGACATGCCCAGACCCAAACTCCTGATCTTCCTCCCCAAAACGACCCTCCCGGGGTCTTCTCCATCGCAGGCAACAGCTACTCTGTCCTAAGTGCTCAAGACGGAACCCTTGGCAGCGTCCTTGACTCCTTTCCTTCTCTTTCTCTCATACCCTACACCGACCCACCAGCGACTGCTGCCAGCTCCCCCTGCAAACTGCACCTAGCATCTTCTGTTTCTCCCACCACTTTCATGGCTGCAGCCCTGGTCCAAAATCACCATCCCTGCTCTCTTGGATTATTGCAATAGTCCCCTTTCTGGCCTCTCAATTTCCAAACTCCCTCTACAGGCTACTGCCAACACAGCAGCCCAAAGTAACCCTTTATAACAGAAATCAGACTGATCGCCTCTCCTGGGAACCCTCCCATGGCTCCCGATTACATTCATAGTAAAACCGAGGGTCTGGCCAATGGCCTACGAGATCCACGCTGCCTCTCATCCAATTGTCTCCCCGTCCTTCACTTCAGACCAGCCACAGTGGCCTCCTGAAACCCACCTCCAGGTCTTTGCACCTGGCTCCTCTTACCCCAGTGAGCCCCGACAGTCCACTGCCTTGCTGAGGACTTGACACAAATGCCACCTTGCTGGTGAGGGAGACACTGTATCTAAACCAGGTTCATAAAATTCTAGTTTGCACACCTGACCCCACCCCGCCCAATTGTTCTTCCCTGTTTTCATTTTCCTCTATAGCATTTACCACTATTGTCTCCCCAGTGTGGGCTGCTATAACATAACAGCATGGGCTGGGTGGCTTACACAGCAGAAATTTATTTCTCCCAGTTTAAGTCAGGGGAGTCCAAGATCAAGGCTCTGGCAGATCAGGCATTGTGTGAACTGGAAAACGTCCCAGTTCCTGGCTATTGGGTTCACAGTCCCCTGTCTTCTCACCGTAACCAACACGGTGACCTCAACATAAGGGGATAAGGGGTCTCTTCTGCTAAGAGGACTAATCCCACTGATGACCTATTCACCTCCCAAAGGCCCCATATCCAAATATCATCCCATTAGGGATTAGGTTTCAATACATGAATTTGGGAGAAGAAACAAATAGTCTGTAGCAACTTGAACATATTTTATATATCTGATTATGTCTTCCCTGGCTACAGCATAAGCTGCAAAAGGTCAAGACTTATCTGTCCTTTGTTCAGTGACATTACCAAACTAGAGCAACACCTGGCACATGGTAGGTGCTCAATAATCACTGGCTAAAGTGAAATTTAGTAATGTAAAATAATGAACTCAAAGCAAATGCCAGCGACGTTATTTTTCATGCAGTACTAAAATGGTTTATTGCTGCTTTCTATTAAAACCTTCATTTTGTGTCAATGCAAACTTACATAGTTGTCATCGTATTAGAATACTCTTCCGTAAAGTGTATGTAATAAAGATATTCCCCCAAGACTTATAAACTTCATTAAAATTACCTTATTTAAAGCATGTCCCACGTGAGGGTCACCATTTGCATAAGGAGGTCCATCATGAAGACAAAATTCTGTCTTCACTTTCCTTTCTCTTTGCCATGAATACAGTTCTGAAAATCCACATTTCTGTTTAAAAAGAGCAAGAATGTCTGAACATCGTATAAATACATACTCCTGAATCTTACCGTAAATAACAGCCAACAGTTGCTTCTTATCTCATTTCAGTGTACTCAACTGTAAACACAAATGGTGACATTTCTGAAATGTAGATGAGTATTTTTTTAAATTTTCACTGAATTTATTGGGGTGACATTGGTTAGTAAGATTATAGAAGTTTCAAGTGCACAATTCCATAATACAGCATCTGTATATTTTATTGCATGTTCACAACCCACAGTCAAGTCTCCCTCCATCACCACTTATTCCCCCCCCCCACCCCCCGTTCTTCCTCTTCTAGCTCTCCAACCTCCCTGTCCCTCTGGTAATCACCACACTGTTGTCTGCATCTATTAGGGTTTTCTGGTTTTGTTTTCTAGGGGTTTTTTTCTTAATCCCTTTACCTTTTTCATCCAGCCTCCCAAACCCCTCCCCTCAGACAGCTGAGTTCTCTTTTTTGAAAACCTTTCAATAGTCTCCCCCCAAGTCTTCTGATTAAATCTAAGCTCTGAACAGCACCCTGGACCATACAAAAGTTCAGTACCATTAAATTCTCCGACAGGCTTTCAGCACGCCCCACCCCTCGGACCTGACCACTCGCTGTCCTTTGATCTAAACACTTGCTACTCTCTAAATGGGAAACAACCCTCAGTGCAATCTGCTGTGTGACCTTGGCCTGTTTCTGCCTTTGAACAAATGTTAATATCCGTTTGGTGTGAAGATGAAATGAGAGAACATTTGAAACTGTCCCAGTTCCTGGCATGCAGGCGGTACGGGATAAAACGCTTTTAAAAATTCAGATGGCCAAAACAGGTTGACAAGTCTAGAACTCAGATGACCGTCATATTTAAGGTTGGCATATTTACTTAACCGATATATCCTGAGTGTCAGGGGTTTTAAAGACTCCGGAATTAGAGAAACTGACAAGTGAATCTCCGCCCTTAGAAAACCCAGTCTAATGCCATAGGCACGCGCATAGTCTAGGAAGCGGAACCCTGCAAACGAGTCATAATTCCAGCTAGGGGCGGACTCATAACATGAAGGTGAGCTTCCAGTTGTCCTCATTAACAAAATTTTATTGACATGTATGCATGTTAATTTACTTTTCACAAGTCACTGGAAAAGTATCCCCTACTTGCTTTGCCTAAGCTAAAAATGGGACTTAAATTTAACCGGTGCTGCTATCTGAGCATCTTAGTTTCCCCTTTAATGTTCCGCTCCTGACCCGCTACCACTTAAGGACTTACCTCCAGAACTCTTCACTTAAGTTTTCAGAGAGTAAAACCTGTCGCAAGGGGCTGGTTTCCACTCCTCTAGTCACAACACCGCCCCCCCCCCTCCCAAGGAAGCCTGGAGCCCGCGGCCCTATCCCATCCCGCCCAGCGTGGCTCCTGGGACCTCTCTTCTTCCCCACACCCGGCTGGGTCCGGCCTCCCTCCCGAGTGCAGCGCAGAGGCGGGGCCGCACCTGCTGGATCTCCAGCTCCAAGTCCGGCTGCTGGCGGCCCAGCAGTTTCATGGGGAAGTCGGTCTGGGGCAGTAGCACCGTCTCCCGATACCTGCCATTACTCGAGTTCTGCAGCTCATTACTGGCCCCGGTGACTGATCGCACCAAAAGCCGCCTAGCTGTCCCCCGCCACCGGGGGTGACAGGGAAAGCAGGGCGGTCCCCAGAGACTCCGGGCGGCGGCCAGGGCCGCTGGGCCCGGGCCGCGAGGGCTCAGCCCCCAACGCATGGCGGGCCGACCCCAGCCTCCCCTCGATCGCCGGGTCTTCGGCCCCCACCCGGGCTGGAAAAAAGGAACCGCAGAGCAAAACTCCCAGCAGAGTGGGAGTGCGCACGCGCGCGGGGCTGGGAAAGGCGGGGAGCGCGACCTCCCGAGTCTGGGAGTTACGTCCGGGAGCTACAGCCAGTTCCGGGTCTTGGCTGCAGCCGCTGGGGGCTGGCCGGGTCCGAGGGGCGGGGCCAGGTGTGGCGGTCGCTGAGGCTCTGAAGTCGATCACAGCTCTGCTTTTATATACATGTGTGTGTGTGTGTACATATATATATACACACACATATACACATATACACATATATAAATTAACCCAATATATACGAGATGATATCAATTTAATCTGTAATTTATATAAATTATAAATAAGATACTTCGCACTCTGTCTCTTTACACACTGTCTTCGAATTTGGTGCGTATGGTACACTCACTGCACATCTCAGTCCGCGCTAGTGACTGGCCAAGGAAGTGGTCCACGACCACACGGGGCTGACGACTGCCTTCGGGGGCAGCGCTGCTTTAGTGAGTCCAAAGGTCACAGCGATATGGTAAATCCACCTATTTGTCAGATTCCCTCTATCCCTGTTACCTCCCACTTCTGTTCTGCTGTTTGGTTGTCCAGGTCCTTGTAGGGATTTGTTTTTCTAATCAATTGCAGAATTTGTATTTAAATGGAGGAGTTTAAGCAATTTACATTTACTGTTATAACTGCTATGTTTCTTACTAGCTCTGCCACCTTACTTTTCATTGTGTTCTAATCGCAGTGCCTTGCACTTTAATATTGAAAAAAAATCTTTGGTTATTCGCTCTGCTGTTATTTTGCACGCTTGCCCCCACCACTCACCCATAACACAAGCAGCATAAAGTGTGCTCCTTAAATATACGGTGGATGCCTACGTGAATAAAAAAAGACAATTTTTGGTTTTGCTGGTTTTTAGTTTGGGCAGTGTATCAAGCCAAAAAAAAAAATCATTAATGTGGTACACCTAGCCAGGAAGAGAGGCCCAGGACTTCATCAGCGGGCAAACGCAAAAGGTCTCAGACCCCTTTAAGAATATGACAACAGCTGAGGCGAAGACACACCTCCACTTTGATCGCAGGTAACTAGAGCCCACCGAGAGCTTGAAGAAAACCCGGAGAACTGGAGTATTAGGCACGTCTGGAGTCGGACGGGGTCGGGGTGACGCAACTGCTGTGCGCCGGTACCGAATTTGTCGCATGCGCCGTAGCTGAGGAAGGTGGGCCCTAAGTCGAGAGAAGTCCTGCAGGCCGGGAGAAAGCGGTACTGGACGCCACTGGGGACCTGTTGCTTAATAACGCTTTTGGGGGCTTATTCTAGGTGTGTTTTTCTGCTAGCTTTGTTCCTGGCCTGTCACCGTAAGTTTCTCTCCTGCGGGGCAAGGCAAGGGCAGATCCTGGACTGATCCGAGTCGTTCCTTGGTCCCTAACTCCACCCCTTTGCAAGGATATGCAGAGATTCCACGGATTTTGTGTTCCAAACAGGTTACCGTGAATCTGATTGCGTCTCCAGATATTCCTATTTCGGACCTAGATTCGTGAGTGTCGACATTTTGATTGTGTAGCTGTGATGTTCGTGCTCCAAGGTCTTGATGGCTCTACCATGTGTAAATATTAATAACAAGCCAAACCTGGACAGTGGGTTTATTGAACCCAAATTGGGGGACCGTCTTACACCTAAAATTAAATTTCATTAAAACAGCAGACATTCTTCCTGTCTTTCCTGCATATTTGTAGGTTTGATTGATTTACGTTTCCCTGAAAATATAATATTTGCTAGTGCGAAACGTGTGCATTTTGCTTTTGATACGATTTTTATAACCCTTTCAAGAGGTTTCACCACTTTCCTTCCTTTGTAACAGTGCTCAGGACGATGCGCCCTCACACTTTAGCCGTATCTGGACACACTTTTATCTGTGCCAAACTCGCAAACCAACAATCATTTTTCGTGGCTTTAGTTTACATTTCTTTCATAACTGGTGAAGTTGAGCATTTCATGTAGTTACCAGCTATCACTCTGCTTTTTCTATGGATGGCTGGTAAATACAATTTTTAGCAGAATTACCTGTTCCTGTCCTTTGCTAATTTTTCTATTTGGTTATTCATCTTTTACGTATGGATATATAAAAGCCCTTTTACCTAACAAAAATGTGCTTGTGTCTAGTATGTGGCACAAATTTTTTGCCCTCATTTTTGTCAATCATCTTTTCTCATTGTTTATGGTACTTTGACTATATAGATGTTGAAATTTTCTTTTTTAGTCAAGTGTATCAGTATTTCCTTTTATGGAGTCTTAGTTTTTGTCATGTTTATAAGTTCCTTTACCAAATCTATAAAAATGTAACCCAAGTTTTATTCCTGTGCTTTTATAGTTTCATCCTTTACTTTTAAAATCACACATTGATCTGGAATTTATATTAATATGATGAATACAAAAACAATTCAACATTTTTAAAATTATCAATTTCCTCACCATTTAGGCATAATTAACTTTCTCCCATGATTTGAAATATCAGCTTTATTGTGTTTGGATCTATCTCTGGAATTTATTTGATTCCATTAATTTGTTATTAATTCTCCACAGGCCTAAAATGTTATGTTTGTTTTTTTAAAGATTTTAATTATTTATTTTTTGAGAGAGGGGAAATGGGGGAGAAACAGAGGAAGAGAAACATCGCCGTGGGAGAGAGACATCCATTGGTAGCTGTCTCTCGCACACTCCCAACTGGGAACCTGGTTTGCAACCCAGGCATGTGACCTTACTGGGAATCAAACTGGCAACCTTTCAGTTTGCAGGCTGGCACTCAATCCACTGAGCCACACTAGCCAAGGCTAAACTGTTTTAATTACTATAATTTTATATCATATTTTGGTAACTGGTAAGGAGAGCATCTCTGCTCATTGTTCTTTTTCAGAATTTGCTCTGTTATGCTCACAATTTTATATTTCCACTTGACCTTGAACTTTAGCATCATTTAGTCAGGTTCCAAAGATAAATAATCTCACTGTTTTGATCTTAAACTCATTAATCCATGTATGCTCACCACATTTATACCGAATTCAAGATACCTCTCCCAGGCTATGAAAAAAAAAAAAGGATTTCTGCTGTTTTTATTCTGAACGAGCCATGTTGGTGGCTGTAAAGGTTTCTCAAAAGATGGGATGGTAGGTTGATTGCCAGAAGTGTTATCCAACCTTTTTTCATATGTACTCTAAGCCCCAAGCCCAGAATATGATTTAAAAAGAAGCTGTGCTGTGAATCAGCGTCATATTGGTTATCACAATGTATAAGTTAAGATAACGTCACAAAAGCTACAGGAATGTTTTAGCCAGTATCATTCCATGCTTACCTTGGGTCAGAGGCTGCCACAAGTGCTTTATGTGTGCTTCTCAATTAATAATGATAACGTTGTGCTGTGGGGACTGTGGTGGAGCTCCATTTTACAGATCGAGGCACAGAGAGTTTAAGCGGCTTTCCTAAGATCACACAGCTAGTATGTGCTGGGGCCCTGACAGGCAATTGGCTCCCGTGCCTGCCATTAACTACTGTGCTGTGTTTTGAGAAAGCTTGCAGAAGGCAGATCAGCTTCCCTCACTGTATGGTGGTGTTCCAGCACTTCACAGGTATCATTTACCTTTGAACCAGTCCAGCAGGAGGTGGTGTTTTAGGACCCAGAGGTGTAAAAGTGGTAGAGAAGGAAGTACGGTGAGTTTAATCTGAACTGCTGTAAAGAAGTTAACTTGCAGATAGCTTTTGGCCTTGTTCTGTGTCCACCTGTACCAGCAACAGGTAATTCTCATTTGGGGTCTGGGGAAGGGTTACAAAAAGGCCAATAGGAACCTTTTTTTTTTTTTTTTTTACAGATTTTGCGTGTCAATAATATAATTAGCTACATTTTCTTTATACAAAGAGTCAAACTTGTATTCATTTGTTGAAAATGTGTAAGAAAAGGAGTAGGGCTAGGTGCCAATAATATTTCATCACTGATTCAGCTTGGATCGAAGAAATACTTCGGGAAAAATGATAGAAAAATTTTCCTGTTTGTCAACTCAAAACGACTTTTAGGATCTCTTTATAAATCATCATGTGCTTTGCACCAAAGCTAACTTTTTACATTCACACAACACTGATGTTAACTTTCAATGGTGGTCCATCAATATAGTGTACATTTTATGAAGGATGCGGCAGAAAGACAAAGCCTAGAAGCTTTTGTTCGGGGGGAACGTACCGTGGCCTTGGCAAACGTAAAGGGAAGTGGTTTAGTCATACAGGAAACCTGACTCGGTTCTGGCAATTACTCAACCAGCTCAAAGGTAAGTGATACCTGTGAACAGGCAGAACAACACCGTACAGTGCGGGAAACTGACCCTCCGTTCATGGGTCCCATCTTATGTAAGGTGGGGGCCAGTGTGCACAGCCACACGCTACAGTAGCCTCGGTGGTTAAGACACGCAGATAGTACAGAATCGTTGCCCGAAGACTGCCTTTTCCAGTGCAGAACAAACCAGGTATGTGGCTGGTCGTGGACAGGAGGGAGTACAGGTGAGGCTTTCTGTTTTCTGTTTGAGGTGTTTCTGAAGTAGTAATTATCGTACCCCTTTTTTCCACATGCAACCCCTAGTATGTCAAGAAAATGAATATAGCCCGATTCTGATGTAGTAAGATGCACAATTCCAATACATTGGAACCCGCTTCATTTTCATCTTAATTCCAAACAGCCATTGGTCATGGAGTGGTGTTCCTTACCTTTCAGTTTGCCTTTCCGTTTCAGTTCTGTCTTCCTGCTGGAGGGTTTCAAGCACTTGTCTCGTTTATTGTCTCGATATTTGTGATCCCTGTGACTAGAATGTGGATGAAGGTTAAGAGATGTGAAGAGGCTCACAGCACAGCACAGCACATCAAACGCGCAGTCAGAAACGGGTGGTAGGATGGTGAATGCTGCTGGATGGAGGTCTGTGATGTGTGTGTGTCGTGTTCCTTTCTGGCACAGAAATAATGCCCGCTTGATTGGAGTAGAGCGGGTTGGTTCCCCCTGAGTGCTCTGGGGGTTGGTTCCCCCTGAGTGCTCTGAAACAGAGATCAAGTGCAGGAGGCTTGTTGGGGCGTGCCCTGGGCTCACTTGCGGGAGGGAAGGGAAGGAGGTAGGAATGTGTGGGGGGGAGGGGGGAGACCTTGGGCCGTGGTGAGTCCCCCCTAAGGCCTCAGCTGGCCGCACTGGGCGTTGGGGAGCGAGGACGGCCCGTCAAGAGTTGGGGCAGCAGCCCAGCTGCAGCAGAGGGCGGCCTTTCTATCCGTTAGTTGACCAGCTTCAGGTAAAGTGGCCCTTGGCAGCAGAGATAATACCCCCCAAAAAGGTGGCAGCTAAAGGCCACGCCCTGGGAACACTCAGCAGCTGAGAAAGTAGATCCTTCAACCCCGAAGGGGATCTGGGGGGTGCGTGCCAGCATCCGAACAGCCACTGACATGGCTCGGTTCGAACCTGAATTTCAGAGATGAACGTATTTGATCCCAGAGGCTGCTCCCTCCACATTCGTTTCACTGGGGCTGGGAACTCCTCTGACAGTCGTCACTTTTCTACTTGATGGGTCCTCCCTCCATTTAGCTATCCTGCCTGTTCTCTCTGTGGGGCTGCCGATGAGCGTGGCAGCGAATCGTCAGATTAAATCTTATTTAATCTCTAAAGAAACACTCATTGATTTCCCATGAATTACTTGTAATCACATGCAGTCCTTCCCTTTCTTAATTACTCCACACCTAGACCCGCATCCCCTCTGCTATCCAGACCTCTCAGCACTTAGCAGGTTCACGTTACAGGCTTCGGGTTTCGACATTTTACCCCCAAACCACCCCTGTGTGAGCTCGTCAAGGTGGATGTTGTCTATTCCAGCCCCTGTGGCACCTCCCAGTCTTTCTTCCTTACACACCTTGTGCGTAAAACTTCTTCCCGTTGCTCAGGGGTGTGGGCCAGTTTCCCCGACGCTTCAAGTGTCCCATCTGCAGACAAATGAAATCAAGGACTTTATTAGAGAGAGGGAATGCTGAAATGGAGGCTTTTCCAAGACTCCTTCGGGAATCTGTACTGTTAACTGGGGCCGTCCCGAGTGAGCACGCGAGAAGTGCACGCTGAGTTGGATTCAAGTCAATGAAAGCAGTAGCTGGCTTTGCAAGTTACAAAGCGTTTCCCTCCGTTTCCCTCCAGGACTCGCCATGGCTTCCGGTCCCACCTTGCTGATGCGGTTGGTGGCCTCGGCCTACTCGATTGCCCAGAAGGCAGGAGCGATAGTCAGACGCGTCATCGCCGAAGGAGACCTGGGCATTGTGGAGAAGGTACTGAAAATCGCGTCTAATTCCACACGAGCTCCGTGTTCGATCCGGAGGCCAGGCCCTCTGTCTGCGTGGCGCTACCCTCGGGCAGAATAGTCCTTGGCATTGAGACAGGCAGCAACCTTCAGGGTGGCATAAAAGAGTGGATTTTTCATAATCATTCCTTACCCCGTTACACTATGAAATCCACTGAAAGTCCACTGTTTCAGTTAGTGTAATCTGTAAATTACCTCACTAGGCATATGTAAATTATAACATGTCACAATTCTCTGAAAGCAGCTAATGAAGGAGGTTACAGCTGTTGATTCCAAGACTTTCCCCTGGCTTTTGCTAGCATGAATGACTCCCTCTTATATGGATTGAGTGTGCACCATAGGCGAGATGTATGTTAAATATTATGGTTGTTTGTTTTTATATTTCAGAAGTGGGAATTTATTCTGTACCCCAGGGAATTGCCTTGAGTTACTCAAGTAAGGATTAGTGAGTAAAAGTTATAGAAAAATCCATAGAAGGAATACCTTTCGGATAACTACAGATACAGTTTTTTAGCTTTGACTTGAAGAAGTTATGAATTTCATGTCTCTTAAACTGTTTAAGCAAAAGAGGGATCCAGGAATCGTACAAAAGCACTTTCTGAACTGTGAAGACAATGTCCTCATAATATAAAGTCTCCTTTCCAGACTTTTAAGTGTAAATCCCGTGAGGAAAACCAAACCAAGACAGGGGTGGACTCGTTTGGTGTTAAGTCTCACGAGTCTGAAAGCGGACTGTGCCATTCAGATGATACACACGCTCATACTCGGGGGTCGGGGGTGATGACATTTCTTACCAGCTGTGCTAACAGCCCCTTCTCTGCGGCAGACGTGCGCCACGGACCTGCAGACCAGAGCCGACCGGCTGGCGCAGCTGAGCATATGCTCCTCGCTGGCCCGCAAGTTCCCCAAGCTGACCATCATCGGGGAAGAGGTGAGGCCGCCGGGGACCCGCTGTAGTGTTTTTGTGATGCCCGTGTACCGCGTGGGTGTGTGATTGCCACCTGAATGATTTACACACCACTGTTATGGCTTCAAGCCTTATATCCAGTATTTTAATGCCAAAATAATTGTATTCTTTGGACTTGAAGGAAGTGTCTGATTATGAAATATGTTGGCCCATTTCTAGGTCAGATGTCTCAATTCTTGACCATCCGAGATGTGGTTACTGAGATAATAATATGCAGCATACAAGCTAAAAGATGGGCAGAGTTCTAGAACTTTAGAATAAAGTGGGTCTTGTTTCTGTTTTTGTTTTGTTTTTTAATTAGGCTTCCTGACCCAGGAATTCAAAGATGGTAGCACTGTGAAGGTGAAGGAATCTCATGTAGCTGAGAGAGAAGTTATCTGATGTCAGAACCATTTATTTTGAAAAGTTTGGAATACTTACAAACTCTTTTCTCTCTGAACGGTTCAGGATAGTTGAGTTGGGACTCCGTCGTCAGCTTTGATGCGCCGTATCTGGTGGTGGCTGCAGTTCCATTTGGGTTGCTCTGAAGCCCTAACATAAATGGCAGGACTGGTGAAAACGGGGACGCTGCATCCCTGTCTTAGTGACGCAGAGGCGCTCGGTAAGCGCTCAGCGGCGCCGCTGACCGAGTTCTCTGCCGTAGGACCTGCCGTGTGAGGACGTGGACCAGGAGCTGCTTGAGGACGGCCAGTGGGAGGAGATCCTCAGGCAGCCGTGCCCATCACAGTACAGCGCCGTCAGAGAGGAGGACGTACGGCCCCCGTGTCTGCTTAAGTCTCTCTTAATCTGTCTGTTTGTTTTTGTCATAGTAAAGGAAATAGAAATTTGCCTATAATGACGAAAAGCTGACAGTTACGAAATAGAGGCAACTGGGAACTCCAGCCCTTTCAGAGCCGGCAGAGAGTGTCAGGCAACCACGTGGAATGTTCGACCTGTTAAGTTAGAGTTCAGTTTCTCCCGCTGTTGGTGTCTTCTCCACTGCTAACACTATTATTAGCAACGTTTTTAGGGAGAGAATCTAATTTGTTACTTAGTAGGTTTGGTGGTGAAACATTTCATAAGCAGTTGGGGCTGGAAGGAGGTGAAGCAGATGGCTACTTTATGTTTTTTTGGAAGGCAGTGAAAATCAGCTCGCTTACTTTTTCTAGTTGCTTAAATCTGTGACCTCAGGTAACTATCATACTCCTTTAATTTTCTAATTACACCCTGTCGAACACTCATTCCTCGAACACTTACTGCGGGTCCGGGCACTTCACTCTGGGGTGCGAAGGATGCCAAGGGAACGAGACGTGTGTCTTTCTTCTGGAGCGTGTGCCTTTTCCGACAAGTTCTCGTTAAGTGTCACAATCTAGTGGTTCATGCCGTCTGTCCTGAGTCAGGTGGTTATAAGTCCTCAGTGGAAGGGACTTCTTTTACAGTCTGCTGTCAGTTGCAGAAACTGTTTGTATTTGCCACGTATAAACAGTGACCTTACGTTAAGCCAGCATGTACCTATAACGTGAGTAACAGCCACACATTGATCAAGGCATTTTGGTGGCGCTTGAAAGTTTTCCCCGTGTCACCATCCAGACCCCCAGCATGTTCGTGGCATTGTGGTTAGCGTTCAGCTGATGATAAACTTTTTATCACTTTAGCACTTCATTTTTATAATTCTTAAATCAGACTTTTCTCCAATTTAGGGAGACTTTTTCCATGATCACAAAACAATGAATTTTTTTTTTTACTGTCACAAAACTGATGATATTGGCGTAAGCCATCCATAATATAATTTCAAAAGTGAAAGAGGGTAGTTTTAGTTAATCTATTTAAGTCTATTTTTTATATATTATATGCTTAATTTGGATCTTTCTTTTTTTTTTTTTAGCTTGTGGTCTGGGTTGACCCCCTGGATGGCACCAAGGAATATACTGAAGGTTGGTGTCTCTCTGTAGTTGTATTTGAAGCCGTAGGACTAGTACGTGATATTGGCTGTAAACACTTAGTACGTTGTACGAAAAGCCGATTCTGCGTTTTATGTCTGGGTCCCTCAAGCTGTATTTGTGTATGCGTCCTAGCTGACTGCTGTCACACATCAGTGACTGTCAAGACAGAGAGGGACCTGCAGGACCTTCCCACACACAGCCTACCGGCACCACAGTTCTAATGCCACCCGCGTGACAGTAACTAACGTTAAACCAGTGTTACCACACTGAGCCCCAGCTTCGTTGGGGTGGGACCCCGACAAAAAGCACAGCTGCTCTGCCCTTGCTCCTCTGCCACCCCGGGCCCCTGCCCCCTTCCCGCTCACTGGCCCCTCATCTGTGACCTGCTTCCTCTCTTTGTGGCCTCACCTTCAAAGATGAGTTTGGAAACAGTGCAATGTTTCTCTCTTCTGAAGTGATGGAATATGAGAAAAATAAGAAAGCAGCAAATTAAAATAAAATGGGCGTCATTAAAGTAAGAAAGACCAGGCTCAGGGCCAGAGTTTTAGACATTAGGGGCAGTGTATATAAGCTTTGAGTTTTATGTGTGAAATAAGGATCTACTTGTGTTTCTCTCATGTTGGTTCTCAGCTTCGTGGCTTGATAAAAGAAAATGTCTCACATTACTAGAGAAAACTCTGTGTCTTTGGATGAGACATGTCCGTAATGAGTAGGTCATGCAGAGTGTGTGTGTATGTGTGTGTACATGTGTGTGCATGCGTGTGTGCCCAGAAAACATCTGCACTGAGAAACAGCGAACTCCATACAGCTTCAGTGAACATAGAGCACCCGCACGCCTTGTTGAGGTCTGCACACCCCCCCACTCCCAAGAGTCAGACTCCCTGGCTCTGGGAAGGAGCCTGGGAACCTGCATTATACAGATGACGCCAGCGCCATCTAGTGCTGCTTGATGGTCCCTGGACCCCCACTTTGAGAACCCTTCCTTGAGAGGCTTGAAGTGCAAGTCCCGAGAGTGGTCGCGGAGTAGGGAGTGACCGAGCAGGCAGGAGTGAGTTGGGTGGTGGCAGGGGGACACAGAGGGATGTAATGATAATGGCTGTGGACTTGCGGCCAGTTCATTTCATCAGTTTTCAGACTGTATGCACGAGACCATGATTTGCAATGACTCTCTCTTAAAATTTGCACATTTTGCCAGGAGTTGAATTGCTCATGGATGAATCATTGCAAATTCCTTACCTTTACTGCAAAAATAACTTGGAGCAATTCATGTGCTGATGATGAGTCATGACCTGAAGGAGGTATGCAATAACTAATACTCATTCCTTCTTTATAGGTCTTCTTGACAACGTCACTGTTCTCATCGGAATTGCTTACGAAGGGAAAGCCATCGCAGGCGTCATTAACCAGCCGTATTACAACTACCAGGTATCACTGTAACTGACACAATTTTTTCAATGCAACAAGGAAAGAGTTTATTTCCATAGGCAGCCAGAGGAGGAGATGGGGAGAAAACCCAACCCTGCCTGCTGAGGCAGAAGAGATGATGGTTTTGAAAGGGAGCTTTTTGTGCAAAGGGAGAGGAACTAAACCATTCCACGACCCAACTAAGGCCACAGATGACGTGGTGCAGAGGGCATTGTTCGCAGGCCTCCTGCGCTGATCCCTCTGCCTTGCTGCAGTATCCGAGGCGTCATCTCCCGTTAGTGGGGACTTCTCGGAGTCTGCTGGGTTTTCCTCCGTGTTACCTTTTGATTCAGCCTCCTGATCCTTGATGTTGCAACGACAAAGCCATGTTCCAGCAGCTCAGAACCTCGGTGGCACCTGCTCACATTTCTTTCCCTCTTGAGTCACTTCCTGTGTGGGAAGCCAGACATCCGGACGTGAGGCCACTGGAGCAGGTTGAGGGGGTCCAGGTGTCGGGAATGCCGTCTCTGACCCCTAGGCAGTGAGGATGGAGGCTTCACCGTATACCTGGCTGTGCTCTCCTGGTTCCTCACGTGGCCGTGGGGAGCTTGGAGGTAGTACCTAGAAATGGCAGCCCGCACTGGCAGGGAGGTAAAGGGGTTAGCACAAACATATTTTATTAAATAAATAATCACAGTGTTAGGTGGTTCCTGATGTAATCTGTTCTAGTGTTTTCTAGCTTAGTCGCACATGCGTTCATCTTTTCAAAATACAGATTCCCACTCCCACCTGAGACCTGTTGAATCAGCACTTCTGGGGGCATTGATCCCAGGGATATGTATGTAATACACTGAGTGTGTTACATGCATTTTTTTTTATGTATGCCTTATGACTCAAATGCAGAAGTTTGGGAATTCTTAATTGGTTCTTGATTAGTCTGGTCATTGAGACACCTGATTTACAGGCGGTTCTTCAAGCGCATTGAAGAAATGAGCCGTTTCAAGCGAGAAAGATGCTAGCCATGTTGTTGTCCAGGTAACACGACATAGTGCCTCGTGCCGCATAGTCAGCAGAAAGCAGAACTCAGTTTGCCGTTGCACTCTTGTTTTCTTATTCCTCTTTCTGTCCTACTTTGACTTTCTCCTGTACTCCCAGCCAGCTGTCTTCCTTAGAAACAAGAGCTTAATGTCATTCCAAAGGGGAATCTGTCATTAATCACATTAAACTTTAAAGGGAACTATTGAGAGAGATACTGAAGGTATATACATTGGTGTGACCTTAATAGAACTTTGGAGAAATAACCAGAATGAGGACTGTTATTTCTGAATTTCCAATTTCAGTTAAGAGCAGGATTAATCTCTTCTAAGACAAATTTGTTTTCTTCTGCTTTTGTATGATAATAACTTTATTTATGATCATGTGCTTCTGAGTATTATTTAAGCAAAACTAGTTATGCCTTATTGGGAAAGTTTCTCATATTAAGTATCCATGAATTCTTTTAATATGACTTAAGTGTTTGTATAGTGTTACAGGCAGACAGAAGTTGGGGCTATTATGTAAACCTCAAAATAAGTTCATACTGTTACTTGAGAGAGACATATAATTCACAGATGACACTGTGATGCATGACGCTTTTCATCAAGAAAGGATATGAGTGCTTAGAAGTTGTTAATAATTTCCATCACGTCTGAAACCGGAAAAATTGTATTCATTTTTCACAGAACAATGAAAAGCAGAAGTTAAGGGAACACAGGCTCGAAGTGAAGGTGAGAAAAATAGGTAGGGTTTGGGCTCCGCTGCTTGGGAGCAAAGAGGCAGGAACCAAGCTGGTCCTCGTCGAGCCCCGTCCCAGTTCCCCTCCTCCTGTCTCTCCCCTGTGCCACCTGTCCCTCCGCCACGTCCCCTTCTGTGCACGCCCTTTACCCTCTTTCTTCCTCCTCTCTCTCGCTTACGCCTTAAAGTATGTGGCAACAAGTAGAAAGTTGCTCAACTCTGTAGATGGTATTCAAGGCTGAACATTCAATTTTACATCATTGTCGGTGTCATCACCATAGTAGCTATAGTTTATCTGGAGCTTACTGCACGCTGCCACACTCCAGGGTTCACATGCACTATATCATTTAATCCTCGCCATCATCCCTTTAGGAAACCTTTTCCCTGTTTTAAAGGAAGGGAAACCAAAGCTGAACTTACGCGAGGTCACCCGGTTTGTCCCTGGCAGGCCCGGGGCTCGAACCCCAGTCCAAGCTCCTGTGCATTATTCTTCATTGTTCTCTTGAGACACTGAACCTGGTGGGCAACACAAGGAGACTGCTTAGTGCAGAGACATGCGGTCTGTCTACCATTAAACTGGAGCTGGCTGCTTAACCACTGGGAGACCTGGCTAACTCATCAGGAGGATGAGACTTACCCTCATTACCCCGAAAGCTGGTGTGGAGCCTTGGAAGGAGAGAGCCAGCGAGGCAGCCCGAGGTCCGGAGCACGGAGGAAGCCAGCGGCTGCCTCACGGGGTTGCCTGGCGCCGCCCCACCGGATGCCAGGCTCCCTGGTCCCATACTCTTGGCCTCCACATTCATTCATGTGACTTTTTCAGGACCAGAGTACCGTGTCCACTATTTGTATGGCTTTCCTTTCTTTTTCGGGATAACTGGAAAGCAAAATGAGGAGGCTTCTTGAGAGCATGAGATAAGTCTCATTGATCAAGCGGAAGCCTGGTGAGCGCACACGCAGCCCACGTGTGCGTTCCCGGTTCCGGCCCCTCCAGTAGTGCGGACTCAGGAGGGAACAGGAGAGAGGGAGCACACGAACGTACACTGAGCACCCAGGGCTTGCTCTTGGGGGCCTTGGGGGCCCCACTTGCAGGGAACGGTGTCGGCCGACAGTCTGCAGCTGCTGCCTGCTTCAGGGGTTGCCGCCCTGCACAGAGCTGCCTCCCCAGTCACACGCTCCTTCCCGAGGTGGTCCCTTTCCAGGGACAGCCGATCATCACAGGGGTGTGAAGGCCTGGCGTGTCATCCCAACTGGGGACAGACTGCAGGCCCTTGTAGCTCCAGAGCTCCCCACAGGGCCGGCGGGAGCCGTCGGTGGCTCTGCGTCACAGCTCCACGTCTCCCTCTGCCCACCCGTGCCGCCTTCCCTCCCGCCCACAGGTGTGGAGCCCAAAGGCGCTCTCCAGGAAACATCTGCCCCCCCCCCCCCCCGCAGCGTCTGCTTCCCCAGGACTCCACCCGTAGTGCAGCCCGCCTCACTGTGACGACGCCCGGGCACTGCCGTGGGGCAGACTGGGTGGTGCGGTGAAAGCACTCGGCAGGTAAACGAGGCAGGCTAGTCTGATGACGAGGAACATTGGCTTTGAACTTGACCCTAAGTTTGCTTGCGATCTCCCTAGAGTCGTTGGTCAGGTTACTGAAGCATTCCAGTCCCTTCTCATCTGTGAAATAAGGGTGATAATAATACCTACTTCATGGGATTGGCTTGGAGATTAAATGAGATAATACATGTACACACTTAGTGTGGTGCCTGGTGCATGTTAACTGTTCAGTAAAACACACGTCTGTGTATCTGTTACATATATAGGTTAGGTTAAATAATGGCATTTTAATGACTTCGTGTGAATTACTTTATGCATCAGATTTACTTTACATAAAACACAGATTATGTTTTTCTACATGAGCTGCATACTTACAACAGTATGGTTCAAAATTCTTTGAGAAAGTACAGATTCTAAGATTGCATTCTCATTGTCATTTTACTACCTCAGTGGCCAATAAAATCTTTGACTTTGACCCCCATTATCCATGGCTCCTCTTCAGTGTCAGCCTATTCAGCTGTTCTGTCTCCGTAGCAGCAAGATGCACTGTCACCATTACCGTTGCCATGTTGACATATCCTTACTGTTTCTCAGGTAGGGACAGGTGGTACCCAATGCATGGTGTTTGCTTTCCTGGGGACTTCAGCACCTTTTGCAAGCGGGTGTTTTATGCGCAGTGATGAGGTCACTCCGTGACTCTGAGCAACAGGAACGAGCACATGCTGTTCCCGTTCCTGAAGAGCCCGGGGAATAACCAAAAGTTCCCCTTCAGTGCCTTCGAAACACAGTTACTAACCAAAACACCAGGATAATTCATTGGTTCTCTAGGGAAAATTGTTGTTGATGGTGTTGTTTCTGTGTATTATAATACACTATCATGTCTTTGCGGAGACAACTGGGCATCCCACTTGTAGCTGACACTTTTCTCCCAGTAACCGCAGGCTGTGCTCGTTTCCCCCCATTTACGTAGGCAGGACCGGACGCTGTGCTGGGAAGGACGATCTGGGGCGTTTTGGGTTTAGGTGCCTTCGGGTTTCAGCTGAAAGAAGTGCCTGCCGGGAAACACATCATCACCACCACCCGGTCCCACAGCAACAAGCTGGTCACGGACTGCGTCGCCGCCATGAGCCCTGACCACGTGCTGCGCGTGGGCGGCGCTGGAAATAAGGTAGGTGCCACCCACTCTGAGATGTGGTGGCGTCGCTGAAGGAAATGCCGAGCTTTTAGAAAATGTCAAAGAAGGATTTGGCAGAAGAGATTAAAGATTGTAATTTGCCATGCAAAGCACATTTCGGCAACATTTGAATTCTTTTTTAACTTTTTTTTTAAGATTTTATTTATTTTTAGAGAGGGAAGGGAGGGAGAAAGAGAGAGAGAGAAACATCAATGTGCAGTTGCTGGGGGCCATGGCCTGCAACCCAGGCATGTGCCCTGACTGGGAATCGAACCTGTGACACTTTGGTTCGCAGCCTGCGCTCAATCCACTGAGCTACGCCAGCCAGGGCTTGAATTCTTTAAATGTGAAGGTTCAAGTCTCTTTTTACCGAAGATACTTCAGTGAAAATGTGTCATATGTCAGTAGGATCCGATCCCGTGCCTCCTGCCAGCCCTCATTTCCTCAGGGACCCTCTTGCTCCCGGACCTTCCTCCTGCAGACCGAAGGGTGGGCCTGCCTGTTCCTTCCCGGGTACTTCCCCCAGGGTTTCGTCCAGGCTTCCGTCCTCCTGAGAAAATGGGGACATGGAGCACAATGTGATCTGCGTCCCTAACCTTGACCTTTTCTCATTCGGTTGCCCCTGGGTACCATTGTGATGATGCCCTTCCGCCTCTCAAATTCACCCTGCCAAGTGGAGCTCATCTTCTTCCTCCCTGCCCCACCCCCCCATGTCCTCCTCCCCGTTTCCTTTCTGGCTGGCGGCACCACCACTGTCCCAGCTGCCCCTGCTGACGCCTGCAAGTCATCCCAGACCCCTCCTTTCCTCAGTCCTGTGGGTCTGGCCTGGGCTGTAGGTCCTAATTCTGCCCCAGTGTCTTCTGTCCATTTTGACTGCCAGGGCCCGAGTTGACACCTATCACCATCCCTCAGCAGACCTCACAGCAGCTTCCAGAGTGGTCTCTCTGCTTAACTTCAGTCTCCACAATGCCACCAGAGCAATTAGAAACTCGTATGTCACTGTCCTGCCCAAATCCTTGGACGACTTCCCTTGACAGTCATTTAAAGTCTAAGCCTATGAAGCCACCTGGCTGGTATAGCTCAGTGGATTGAGCGAGGACCTGTGAACCAAAGGGTCACAGGTGTGATTCCCAGTCAGGGCACCTGTGGGGTTCCCAGGGCATGCCTGGGTTGCGGGCCAGGTCCCCAGTGGGGGCCATGTGAGAGGCAACCACACACTGATGTTTCTGTCCCTCTCTTTATCCCTCCCTTCCCTTCTAAAAATAAACAAAAATCTAAAAAAAAAAAAAAGTCTAAGCCTGAGAATAGAGTGTGAATTCCTCTATGTCCTGACACCCAGGCACCCCCAAGCCTCATCCCCTGCCCCCCCCCCCCAAGTCACACTCAGACTTTACTGATACTGAAGTGTGTGTATCAAGTGTGCCTTTCACACGTGGGTGCCTGGCACAGGGAAGGCAAGTAATGTTTATTGAACTGAATGGAATTAATTTCTCCTCCTATCTTTTGGAAGCAGTAATCAACTGCTTTTAAATTTTCTAAAAGCACTTACTGATAAGAGGATGAAAATGGGAATTTGAAAATAATAGTATTTTGAAAAAAATCTGAAACATTTCAAAGTGAAAATATACTCCTGGTACTCACTGAAATATGATTCATCTTTGCCCCTATCTTTGTAACCACAGAACCCCATTCCCTCCTTTATTCCCAGGGGCACCATTCTTCTTGCTCCCCATCATGCACCACTCCCTGCTTTCTCTTGTGAAAAGACTTTTTTGGGCACGTGTTAACTGTTTCACATCGAGGACCCCTCAGAATCTAATGGAGGCTACAGCCCGGCTCCCCTCACAATACCCCTGGCACAGTTCCTGGCATGTAATGAGATGACACGTATTTGTTACATGGAAGGAAAGTCTTTACGCAAAAGCTACAGCAAGGTTTGATCGCTGGAAGGTGTTCTTGGTGCCGCCACTGAAGGGAATAGTTGGTTATGTCGTGTTTGCTGACATTTTCCTCCCCCTCCCAGTGTGGCTGTTTGAGATATGGGCTTGGCAGTACTGCAGTATAACTAGAAGAAAAACCAAGGAACAAATCAAGGTTTGATGTAGCAAGTTACTGTTTTTGAGTCATGCAGTTTCTGTCAGTGGCCTCAGTTCTCTGTGAATGGGACGAGAATTATTAAGATGACGCTCTAAACATTCATATTTTGGTAATGCAAATAGCAACGGGTGGGACCCCAAAGACCAGCAGCCAGCAGCGTGTGAGATGGAGCAAGCAGCATTGCATGTCTGTTAGGACGCACTGCAGCTTCCAAGCCACTGTGCTGGTGGACACTGCTCCATCCTCTCTGCGGTAGTGGTCAGTTCTGTGGCAAAGATATATTGCTTTTACAGTAAGAGAGAAAAGATAAGCTATTTTACCTAACTTGGAATATGAAGACTATTTCAATATCCTTCCTATAGTCAGCTCATTGACCACTTTTCCCCTCTGATATCATTTTGACTGTTTTCTGTATATTTTTTCATAATACTCTAATGTAAACCCGCTAAAGGCTTTAACCTAAGTGGAGTCTAACAGAGGAATTAAAGTATGCTTAATAGAAACAAGCAATTTTCTCTTATTTATACCTCATTCATTTCATGAGCGAGGGATAATCATTATCTTTAACTTTACAGATTATTCAGCTGATTGAAGGCAAAGCCTCTGCGTATGTTTTTGCAAGTCCTGGATGTAAGAAGTGGGATACTTGTGCTCCGGAAGTTATTTTACATGCCGTGGGAGGTCAGTCTGTTTTATTTGAGAGGATTACAGATTTCATACATTTTTTATTTTATGCTGAGACGGTATTTCAGTAATACTACTCTACCTAGACTCTCAGGATACAAAAGCTAGACAGTTAGAGAGTGCCCAGTCCAGCCCCCACATCTCGTATGTGAGAGAGTCGATTTGCAGCCAGTTCATTTTTCTTAGAGTTTCTTTTTGGACCTTGATCTGCATGCAATCAATTTAATCACCCCTTAGTGAGTTTAGAGTGTTGTCCTGATACACCAAGGTTGTAGGTTCAATCCTGGGTCAGGGCCAATAGAGGAAGCAACCAATGAATACATAAATAAGTGGAACAACAAATCAGTGTTTCTTTCTCTCTCTCCCCCCCAACCCCTCTCTCACTTTCTCCACACCCCCTTCCTTTCTCTTAAAAAAAAATTAATAAAATTTAAAAAAAAATGTTCTACCCTTCAGGTAGTTAAGATTGTTAGTCTTAAATTTCAAGTAAATTAACAACCATCATTTTCCTTATTTTATCCAGAATTAATTGGATATTATTGCTTATTGCATAAGCAAGAGGCACTTAAAATAATGAAATATAATTGCAGAATCAGCCATTCACGTTGATTTGGTGTTCTCTCCTGCAGGCAAGTTAACCGACATCCACGGCAACGCCCTTCAGTACAACAGGGAAGTGAAGCACATGAACTCCGCCGGGGTCCTGGCCACTCTGAGGAACCACGACTACTACGCAAGTCGAGTTCCCGAATCCGTTAGAAACGCACTCGTTCCTTAGAGGAACGTCGCGTTTCCTTAGCTGGAGAAGGACAGCTGCAGGGAGAGGAGAGATGGGGGAGGACGACTGTGTTCCTGAGGTCTCGGCCCTGCTCCGGAAATCACTGCGGTTGGTCCTGACACTGAGGAGATGCCGAAGCTCTTGGACTTTGTGCAGCCTGCCCAACCTGCAGGTCACTTGGCCTGCAGTTGGGGTGAATTTCAGAACACCACGTGGAGCCATTGGAATCTTTCTCCGGTGGTATGATGTTATCCATAAACCTCAGGCAACCAAAAAAAAAAAAAAAAAAAAGGCACTCATTCTTGAAAGGAACATCCCATTTACTTAGCCAGGAGAAGGACTTGGTTCTCAAAGTAACACGGTTTAAAACGAAGTGAATGGAATGAGAGCTCCCCTCTACTTTCTTCCATGTTGATCACTGATTTATCTTCAGGTGCTTAGAAGTAGAAAACAGATCTTAAAAAAGTGTGATTAATTAACTAGACCAGTTTGGACATCTGGGGAATCTATAGTCTGTCATATTTCTTCTCCTCCCTTTATTTGGAGAAATGAAAGAAAGGTTTTGTTCCAACTCACTATCCCAGTCAATTGTTGAATCAACATTCCTATTGTATAAACCAGATTTCTTTAGGGCACAGAAGCACAAGTTGTTAATCTCATCCTTGTTTTCACAGTAATTTTTAAAATTTTCAAGGTATGAACAAACTGAAATGTCATTATGTATGTTGATGAAACAGATTTATGGAAGAAGCTTCTTTATAATAAATTATTTCATTCTACCTGGGCTTTGCCCAGTGCTTTTGTTTATTTTATTTTGTTTGAGTTTTCTTAAAAAATTAAATTACAGCTGACATACAGTTTTATATTAGCTTCAGGTGTGCAATGTCGTGATCAGACATTTATGTAACCTACAAAGTGATCACCCCTTGTAAGTCTAGCACCCATCTAACTGTCCAGTGCTTTTAAGGAAATTCCTGTGACTGGGTTAAGCAGGTGGCTGAAATTGATCATTCCTAAACCCAACTGCCTTCAGGATAAAATCCAAGTTCCTTATAGTAGCATATAAACCTCTTAATGTTACGGCTTTTTCCTTCTCCAGCATCATCAGCTTGGATCCCATACATCCACTGCAGAAATGTTTTCATGGCTCCTACTCGACATTATACTGAAACCCTAAACAATAAAAGAGATGACATATCAGAGATAAACACCAAATAGAAAAAGCTACCTAGAAAATGCGACCCAAGTAAAAGGAAAAACACCCTTGGAACTAATAAAAGCATCTAACACGACGGCGACACCAGGACTCGCTGCTACACCTTGCCTTCCTGAAAGCAGGTTTCCGTGTGTGTGCCACAGCTCCACACTCTAAGAAAAAGTCATTGATGACACCCATTTGCTTTGATTCCATGCTCTCAAAGTCAACAGTGACGGGGGACTGGGATGCACTGAGTGATGGAGATTCAACTAAATGGTCGCCAAAGTTAGAAAGGGGCGACATTTAGAATGAGAAAATTAGCTCTATGAAATCCTGTATGGATCAAGACAAGGGTACATTAATACATGTAGTGTCTCACCTTAGGTAACGAGAATGGGGAACTCTGGGGCTTTTAGTTGTTTACAATCTTAACGTGAGTCAGCAGTTCATTGTGGCTGCAAAGTGCTACTGTGCATGAATAGCATTATAATGAGCAATGTAAGCACTCTGCCTGATCATACCACACCTGGGGGACATTTTCAGCTCTGAGTATCACATTTTAAAAGGCACATTGACTAATAGTGTGTTTGGAAAAGAGCAGCTGGAGTAGATTAAAACGACCATTTGAAGGTTTGTGGAAAGGACCGGAGACAGCTGGCCTAGGGAGCAAAGGCATGGGAGACACAATGACCGCCTCTGACGTCTGAGTGTCAGGTGGAGGCACCTAGACCTGTTCTGGACATTCTCAGAGGACAGTGGACAGGGGTACAGAAAAGCAGACAGAGGTGCATAGTAACAGGTGTTTAGAAACAGAGGGGTCTGTCTTAAGCAGTATTAAATTCCTCATCACCGAAGCTGCTCTCAAACAGGTTATTTGGTTATTCACTTGTTGAATAAACGATTCCAGGATTCTCTGTATCCCTAGTGTATTGTATATGGTAGAAGACACTCAGTATGATGTCCAAGATAAGGTTTTTCAGCAAACAAGAATCTCAAGAATTAGGTGGGTGTGCAGAAGAGAAATCACTTAGAACAAAGGGAGGTAGAAAGGCAGAGTCTGGTGTGCATGGCATCACCTGGAGAACTTCATAAAATGAGGTTATGTACCCCAGCCCTGGAGATTCTGGTAGGAAGGCAGGGCCTGGGGGAGAGAGAAGTCTTGCTCTGACGCAGGTGCAGGTGCAGGTGCTGGTGCTGCTCCCGGCTCGGGAGGCCCGCTAAGCACCGTATTGAAGTGGCAATCTCTAGTAAGGCCAGGGATGACTCTGGCAGGCTAAGAGAAAGTGGGGGTGGTGGTGAGGTTGACATGATTTTTTCACCCAGTCCTTGGCCCCTTGAACTTGACTACCAGCCCTTGGAATACGCCTGCAGCGGCGCACATGGGGGGCACAGACACACAGACACTGTCACTGAAGATTAAGGGTCAGGAATCAGATTTTGCAGAAGGCTCGCTCAGGCAGTCCGGGCAAACAACGGCAAGACAAATCAGGGCAGGGGCTTTTAGAAGTAATGCCTTTTTATCAATAAAGCTTTTCTTTAAGTTTAAAAACATTTTTAAATTGTTTAACTTTTGTTCGATTACAGATTACATTTAATATGATTTTGTATTAGTTTCGGGTGTACAGCACAGTGGTTAGACAATCATATACTTTGTAGTGTTCCTCCTGATATTTGCAGTACCTACCTGGCACCTTACATAGTTATTATTGACTCTATTCCTATGCTGTGCTTTACATCCCCGTGACTATTTTGAACTGCCAACTTGTACTTCTTAATCCTATCACTTTTTTTACCCAGTCCAATAGATCCTTTCTTTTAACCATTATTTTCACGTGGAAGAAAACTCCTGAAAAGTAACCTACATTCTCCTTTTGGAAAAAAGGAGGAACCGAAAGACAAGCTTCTCGCTTCCCCAAAGTAGGCACGGCTGTCGGCTCGGCGTTGCTTCCAGGATTCGCTCTGTTTACACACACACACACGGAGTCCCCAACAATAAATAACACTATCTGCGCGTGTCAGTTGGAGCTTCAAGTGAACGTGGTGTTTCCTCGCTTTACGAAACGTCGTAAGTGCCGACAGCTTCAGCGTCTTCTCCATGGCGACGAGGCAGGCCACGCAGACCCTTTCAACCCGGGACGCCGAGGGGCGGGCCGACGGACGCAAGCGACGCGCAGCGATGACGTATATAGTGTGCGCGAGACGCGACGGCCACGGCGCAGGGGCGGGGCGAAGGCTGCGGCTGCGTCAGGGGAGCACACACGTTGTAGCTTTTCCTTGTTTGCGGGTCGGGGTTGGTTGTGGCAGCCAGGCAGGCGCTCTAGCTGGTGCAGCGGCAGGTGGAGATGGCGACACTGTGTCTGACCGTGAATTCAGGAGACCCTCCCCTGGGTAAGGGGCGGAGGCCGCCGACCCCTGTGGGTTGCATCAGCCGGGAAGGGTGCGGGGCGGGAAGTCGCCGCGCCCTGGCTTGGCGCAGTGGCCGTGACGGCCACGGACCTTAGACCTGCCTCTGTCCCCCGACCTTCCTCTGGGTAGGCTCCGCGCCCCTCGCCTTCTGTCGCCTGGCTCTTGAAGACAGTGTTTTCGGGCGTGGAAGGAAGCGCAGTGTGAGCCGGACAGCCGGGCGACACTAGGCTCAGCTCCGGACCCCCTTTGAAATGGTTTTCCTTGGGAGACCGAGAACTGCTCGTAGAACACAACACTTTAAAACTTAAAATCCCATTATCCCCCCTTCCCCTCTTTTAGAATTTCCCCTAAAGTCTATTTATCCTTCCTCCTTTCTTCCCTGTTTTCAAAACAGATCTTTAATCCCCTTTCCTTGACTTCTCTTTATTTTTCCTTGTTTCAAAGGGACCAAGGCGGACGATTATAGTAGCGTTTAAACTTGCAACTGAGGTTGCGTTTATTTGCAATCGAATGTGGCAGGGTAATTGCGGGAACGCCCGAGCACTGCGGACTGACGGCGTTGCCTTACTACTCGCCCGGTAGATGTAGTAAATGTCAGCGAAACGTGGGAGTTCTCATCTTCTGGTTCCGCCCCAAGTTCAGTTTGGAATTGCATTTTTAACGTGGCCAAGGTTATTGTGGATAGATAGCTTAGAATTTCCACCTTTTTATTACTTTGGGAAAGTTTCACGAGATAAGTTAGTTTATTGATCCTGTGTTTGTTAATGCATATGTGTAGTACAGACACACGGATACTTTTCTAATGTTCAAGAAGCCCAAATGTTTAGACACAATTGGCTACATAAGGCTGATGAATTATGCATTACATTTTTAACTTGGGTGGTGTTCTGAGTGTATTGTAACAAAAACCACAATTTAATAGCAACTTTAAACATTTTAAAAATACTTATGTTTTAGCATACTGGTTCCAGTCATTATGGGCTGACCTCACAGAAATCAATGAACTCTGAAAGAAATGTGTTTGATTCTTGGGCTGGGAAGCACTAGACAGTGTGGGCTCATGGTTAAGAGCAAAGGCATTGGTTCCGTGAAACCTGGGTCTAATCCTGGCTGCCACTTACTACTTGTGAGTCTTGGCACATCCCTGATTGGCGTTACGCAGTTTCCTTAGGAGGAATGATGTCTTCCCCACAGGATTGGGTGCCAGAATTAAGGGACAAAGCATTAATAAATCCAGTAAACTTAAATATGTGTTGAGAGGCAGTACTGCATTTTAGATTTTGAATTCTGCACTGCGCTAGACCTGGTTCTAATCCTGGCTGCCACATATTTAGTCAAGTCCTTTGGACTAGAACCCCTCCAAGCCTCAGTTTCTTCTCCTGTAAAATGGAGATAAAGGTGTCTACCTCTTCACATGACTACAAAGATTAAAAATTGTAATGACTGCAAAGCATCCTGCACAGCGCCTACCACATAGAAATTACTTCAATACTGTTAACGATAGCTGTTATACAAGGCGCTATTCTAATTTCCTCTTGTCTCCTGAGGGAGAAGATTAATTTCAGAGTCCCTAACTGAAAGCTGAGCATCTTTAAAAGCAGTGGGACTGTGACAGTGAATGAATGGTTTTTGATTTGTTTTTTCTCCAAAATCAGAAGAATCTAGTACTTTCTGTTTACAGACTACCGGGAAAAAAGCTTACCCTTTGTGGGACTTAATATTGGTTTGTTGAGTCATCCTTATTGCTTTATGGTTCAAGTTTTAAATATTAGTGTTCATAAAGGGAAATCTTTTCATACTATTTTTAGGTGCTTTGCTGGCAGTAGAACATGTGAAAGACAATGTCAACATTTCTGTTGAAGAAGGGAAAGAGAATATTCTTCATGTGTCTGAGTAAGTACTTTTGAATCTTTTAAAAATAATTTTTACAAAACAATTTTGATGGGGTTTGATCTTCTGTCTTTAACTGGAAGTTAATAAAACTAGCTTCTCTATGAGAGCATATCCTTGGCTTGGTTGCTTTGATTTATTTTAAACTAGTTATTCTTTTTTTTTTTTAATATTTTATTTATTTATTTTTAGAAAGGGAAGGGAGGGAGATAGACAGAGAGAGAGAAACATCAATGTGCAGTTGCTGGGGGTTATGGCCTGCAACTCAGGAATGTACCCTGGCTGGGAATTGAACCTGGGACACTTTGGTTCCCAGCCCGTGCTCAATCCACTGAGCTATGCCAGCCAGGCTTTAAACTAGTTATTCTTAATATCCCAATTACATTTTCATATTTTGATGTGTAAAAACTAACAATTAGGAGGATGATAAATCATATGGATAATATACTCTGGAGTCAGTTATTGGATTCAGCTGAACATTTCAGAAAAAATTGGAGTTTGATAGAAACAGAAAAGAACAAATTATTATTATTATTTTTTTTGCTGTAGTAGAAAATACGTGGTCCATAGAAGAGCTCTATTTTTACATTTCGTCCTAAGTCTCATGACTCTTATAGATTTGCCAGCGCCACAGTAACATTTTGTCTCGTGCTTATGTTCTAGAAATGTGGCATTCACAGACGTGAACTCCATACTTCGCTACTTGGCCAGAGTCGCCACGACCGCCGGGCTGTATGGCTCTAACCTGATGGAACACACCGAGGTACGCAGTGCACGCTTTCGTGGGTGTGAGGTGTTTTGATTTTTGCTTCTGCTCTTTCGAGAACTTCATTTTATAGTTGGCTTGTGCACTGTTATTCTATTTAAGGATATTAACAGAGTGTTTGTTATAGACCATGTTAAAGAATTCTCATCCTGTTTTTATTTTCAGGGAAAAAAAAAGCTTAGCTCCTAACTTTGAACTTCTAAGCCTATTTCAGCTACCCTGTTGGGTTACTAAATGCTGTCTTCCTCTTCCTAGAATTTCCTGGATGACTGTGAGCATATCGATCATCTTACACAATTCCCTTACTTTACAGATGAGGCAACAGGCCCCAGGAAGTGAAAGATAAGACGTGTACCCAGGGTCACACACATAGGCCGGACCCCACTCTCCTTCCGGTGTATAGACCTCATTAATTACAGCAGTAGAAGGTTAACTTTTGGCACTGCACCTCAGGTGCCCTTTTTTATTTTTGCTGTTTGTACACAGCTCTAATTTTCCTTATTCTTATAAAATTCAGAGTACAAAGAATAGTTTCCAAGTGTTTACTCTTCAGTTCTGCAAGTGGGTGAATCTGCGGTTCAGTCAGGTTGGTTATTCTTCCTTGCTGCCGGTTTGCATAACTTTTATCTTGTTCTTCCCTGGACGTGCCCCTCAGTGCCCCTGCAAAAAAAGAAAGCACAGAAAAGTAACAACAAAATGTGTTTATGTAAGGGCCATTTTAGATCCCAGGCAATTAGGATTAAATCCATACAGTGGTAAATTCTATCATTGTTATAGGAAAGGCATGATTCTATCTGAGATTGTTTGGTTTTATTTAAACCTAAACTCCCGGTGCATTTCTTTTCTCTCTCGTGTTCACAGATCGACCACTGGCTGGAGTTCAGTGCCACAAAGCTGTCTTCGTGCAGTCTGTTTACTTCTGCGGTCAATGAGCTCAATCACTGCCTGTCCCTGAGAACGTACCTGGTCGGAAACTCCTTGAGCCTGGCAGATTTATGTGTTTGGGCCGCCCTGAAAGGTATCAGTAATTCTTCTTGCCAATGGTGTGCTTTGAATACGTAATGCTTTGCTGGATAAGAAGTACGCATGCTTCTTTGTATATGAACGAGCGTCCATTTATCTACTTATTTGTCGGCAGTCACTTAAGGTTCTCTTGTAAAGAAAAGACAACCCCAGCTCTTTTGTTCCTAGCCAGTCACAGGAGCCCCGTGTCCTCCGTGTCCCTGGAGGTCGTCTCTCTCTCACACCGCCGCAGATCCCCTCTTGCCCTTGGAGTTGGCCGTGTTCCTGCTAAAGAAGTCCTCGTCCCATTAGGGTAGACCTGTCCTGGCTCGGCCATCCCTCTACCCCGGGCACTGTCGTGTCTGATTGCTCTGTGGGGTAGGGGTGGAGGGGCGGTGGGCCGGAGCTGTCCCTCCGGAAGGTGGCTTGTTTTCCATCTCCTGCGACTGGTTTGCAAGAGGTAAGGACATAGGATTGAGGAGAGACGCAAAGGGGACTTGAATTTTGCTAATTCATTTTCTGTAAAAACACACCTGAAGGGAATATGCCATAATGCTTTTTTATTCTTTAAATCTGGACTAGGTGGGATTTTAAAAATATTTTCTGTACTTGTCTGCGGCATAAGCTTTTCTCCACATTAAATTGCTCTAATGATAACCAGCATAAACTGCAGCCTTTTCTAGTTGGAGCTGTGCATCTATAGGCTTCAAGACATTTTTGTCTCTTGATTTTTCAACTTGATGCTCATGAAAGAAAGGCACTACCCTAAGAATGTAGCTTCATGATGTTAAAGTTGGGTGCAGTTGCGTCCGTGCCCACTCTAGACGTCACTTCTGAAGAGATGGGCTGCCTCCCGGTCTTACTTTCCGAGTCGTTCTCCGGGGGTCTCCCTCGGGCTTCCTGGAGCCGCGCGGTGCGGTGCTGGCCTTGCGGGCCGAGCGTTCGTTTCTCCGGGACTCGAACTGGAAAATGACTTCTGCATTCTGTCACGTAGACTAAGCTCTGGCACACGTTTCCGTGTGCATATACACCCGGGTGTCACTCATTGAGGAAATACAGCTTTAAGCCGGCTCCTTGACTGAAGCGAACTTCGGCTGGAACTTGGCTTTCGAAGTCGCGGGTGTACTGATCGGTGTGCAACTGTGTTTGCTGACAGGGAGCGAGGCCTGGCAGGAGCAGCTGACGGGGAGCAGGGCGCCGGTTCACGTGAAGCGCTGGTTTGGCTTCCTGGAAGCCCAGCAGACCTTCCGCTCCGTCGGCACCACGTGGGGCGGCGGTCCAGCAGCCAAGGCCAAGGTGGTAAGTCCTGTTGATTTTTTTTTAACGCTGACTGTTCGTCTGTCGGAGACCGCAGGTTTGAACAGAAGACTCTTCCTAGTCATGGGTTTTTTTTTCCATGAATAGAAAAGGCTCTTCTTGGATGAGTCTGCTGTTGCAAGCCTTGGCTTGCCTTTGCTGCTGCTGAACTACATTGAGCCTTAATCTACATAATTACACGTTAAAAGATCGTAATCATAGAGTGTGTGTCTCTGAGGAAGCCCAAACTCCACATAACTAAAATCTTACTATTTTTAGCTGTGCCGTCTCCTCTTCCTCCCACCTCTCCTGTTCGTTGGCTTTTGCACCTGGGAACGTCACGGGCGGGGCTTCTGCGGGGCCTCTGGTCAGTCCTGCGGGGGCACCAGTTGAATGTATTCTTAGACATTGCACCACTTAGCCATTTGGTTGTTTTTTATATCCAGGCACCTCAGAAAAGGCAAGATGTTGGGAAGTTTGTGGAGCTTCCGGGTGCTGAGATGGGCAAGGTCACTGTCCGGTTTCCTCCAGAGGCTAGTGGGTAAGAAAAGAAAAGTTAACATCACGATCGAATGTATTTAGTGGGAAATCCTTGGGTAATTAGTAACAATAAAATACTGTTACTAGGTAAATAAAGAAGGAAAGATCTTAATTGTGGGAGTGAAAATTACAATATCTCGATCTTTTCTTAATTATTGACAGTTAATGTATTAAATTTGTAGTTTTAATTTATTATTTCAGTGGGAGAGACAGCATTTGTATTTTACCCCAGACAGAATTTTAATTATAATTGAAAAATATACACAACCAGGAAGACTTAAGTTTTATTTACATTTTGGGATTTTTAGGTTTTCATTTAATAAGGATTTATATTTGTACCCTGAGCAATTTTTTCATTAGCAGTAGAAGTCATGGTGGAATTATTTTAAGTTTGTTTATTTTTTTTTCTGCAAAGAAAGGAAGGGGAGTCCTGAAAATTATGGCAGTGTTCCCTAGCCCTGTCCCTCCTGGCACCCACAGGAAATAACGACAGTCCCATAGCCCACGGGGGAAAGACTGGCTGGGGCTGGGCCGCTGGGGGCTGATTCCAGCCTCGCCCGGCGCCCAGCCCCACCCCCACCCCACTGGCTCCGGGGGCCCCGGCTTCCACACGCTGCCAGCCCCTTTGGAGCAGAGGAAGCGAGGTTGTAGAGAGCCTCTCCCACGGTGCGAGGGTCATAGAGCGCCTCTGACGGAGCGTCAGCCTCAGGCACTTAGCGGTGAGGGACGTGTTGTACCGTATGTTGTAGATGGGATGGGATGGCTGTTTGTTTTCCACGTTTCGTGTACCCTCGGAGTTCGTGTCGCAGAGCCCTGCTCTTACCCACCTGTGGGGACTGGAGCGCACAGACAGTGGGAAGTGGCAGCTGAGCTGTTGTGTTTCAGCCAATCTTAACAGTTCTTCGCAAGCGACTCCTTCTGTCAGCGCCAGGAACAGAGATAGCAAGGGCAGTTTCAGAACCCCACAGCTCTCTCTGCGTCTCTGCGTCTGCTGACTTGGGCGGTGAAAAGAGGGTGCGTAGAGGAGATGAAAGAGAAGCACTGCTTCCGGAAAGTGCACAGACCGAGTCATCAGATGATTGGCTGGCCGTGGACTGGTGGAACCAGTCGTGAACAGTACCGATCATCCGTGGCCCAGTGCCCACGTACGTCCTGGGCCCCTGCTGCCCTGTGCTTCGTCCTGGGTCCCTGGTGAGAGGGGCCCTGGTTGTCGTGCTGGGCAGTGACCTCAGAGGTTTGATGGAAGCCGCCCTCCTGGCCGTGGTTGTGGACAGCCGTGTCTGTCACTTGAACATTTGTCCGTTTTGAATGTTTTTATATTTTCTGTTACTTCTCGAAATAGTGCGTTCCTCGTTTGGTCTACATTGTGTTAATTTCAGAGACCTTGCTTTTGGCCAAATACAGATTTGGGGATTGGAATATAAATCAGTGTTCCAGTTTTTTGTACTTTTTATCATATTTCCTTATATTGCTAAGGAGTTCTTTAGTTTTTTTGATCACTCTTTTCCTGTCTTGCATGAAAGGCCAGAAGTCTCAGCCCTTGCCTTCTGCTCGTATTCTCAGCTAACATGTAAGCGTGCCTTCTTTGTGCAGATACTACCGAGCCCTTTACTTACAGTAACTTCTTTAATCCTCATGGCCCTGTGAGGAAGGCACTGCTGTTGCCTCCATGTCACAGACGGTGGTTTCAGAAACGAGTTCACACAACGTTAGTAACTGGCCAACTCAGACCGACACTGTCTGGCTCTGGAGTCCACACGACTTAAAATTGCGTGCCCGTCCGTGTCTGGTGCGTGCAGCAGGCGGCCAGCTCAGCCCCCGTGCTGAGGAATGCGGCACAAATCTTCCTTTTCTGAGCTGTTCCGAAATAGGCTGCCTCTTGAGCTGATTAGCTTAGTTATCTTGTGAATGAGCATTTTACAGTCCTCTTAGCTCCCTGGAGGTTTTGGGTCATTAAAACTGCACACGTTACTTCAGATTCACAAGTAATATCTTTCAGTGTAAGATAATGGTTTGCTTTTATCACCCCTCTTAAATGAATCCCCGCGTGCAAATTCAGTGTTGGTCAGTCTTTTTCCTCACTATGGGGGTAGCACGTTATGGGTGTGACACTTTTAGTGAAAATGCACATAGTATTCCTGTTCCTTTCTTGAAACTCAGTTCTCTGTTTTACTTTTGATAAACGTTTATTTTAGAACAGTTTTAAATCCAACAGGAATGGTGCAGAAATCGTACAGAAAGTTCCCCCATGCCCTGCCCTCGGCTTCCCCTGGTGGGAACATCTCACAGTGCTGTAGCACCTCCCTCACAGTGAGTGAACCAGCGCTGATGTGTCATTAGAATTATCACTGTCATCTAAACGCCACACCTTTTGTGGGTTTCACTAGCGTTTCCTAGTGTCCTTTCTCTGTTCTAGCATCTCATCTGGGATACCCCCTCTGGCCCTGTGTTTTATGCAGAAAGTTTTGAATAACCCTAAATGCATCAGACTTTTCTGCGTTAACCTGTGCATATAAACTCTTCCTAAAAATGGAATCATTGGTCTAGAACGCTGAATGAATTTCCAAAAAAGGAATTGATTTTGAAGGACATACAAGGCGTATTTTTCCTTTCCCGTTGGTGTCAGCCGAGATCAGAGGTGTGTGTGTGTGACGCCAGGTGACCGTTTCTTGGAACGGGGTGGCTGCCGCTGCCATCGTCAGTGGAAAGGAGTGGAATCCGTGAGAACCGTGAAGCCCCCCACCTCACGCCGTGTTTGCTGCCGGATAAGTTGCGTTTTCAGCAGCAGTGGTGGAGGGCACTCCTTTTGCCCACTTCGGTGATAGAGGAGGTTGTCGGTGTGTGCGGTATTATCAGCATTGCCTCCGGTTTGTCTTATTCCTTATAACTGTCAGCTGCCTGTGGGGACAGTGGTGTTTTCATAGACTGTGGTTCATGGGGTGAGACCTTGGTACTGGACGGCACCTTAAGATCACGTAGTTAAAATCCTTTTTGGGCTTCAGAGAAAACAGAAGGAGCTGTCTGGTGGCTTCCTGGTTCCCCTGTGCTCTGTCATTTGGTTGCCACGGTGACAGAGGCAGTCCAGGTGCTTGTCTCCAGCGTGACCTGTGGGTGCCCTTTGTGAGCGGCATCAGGGTTTAGTAGGATACACTGCCGTGTCACACTGACAGTTTGGAAGTAGTTTTCCACTAAACACTACAGATGTTGACTCCTCTGTAAAAAGAAAAAATGAAAAGAAGACTGAGATTGTGTTAAGGTTGTAGGTGTTTGTAAATAACTTGTCTCTCTGTGAGATTTTACGCATGGAATTACTTGGTGACATAATCTTATAAATGTGGCAGTCTTCCTGTCACGCTCGGATTTTGGGTCACAGTAGTGTCTGTTAGGAAATACAATACGGCTGGAGTACCAGCTCGGAGGGTCGTATTCGGTCCTCTCCTTGGGGCGGGGGGAGGGGGGAAGTCAGGTCTGTGCTAACGGGCGTCTCTGCGAACACTGCCCGCCGCAGGTACCTGCACATCGGGCACGCCAAGGCCGCGCTGCTGAACCAGCACTACCAGGTGAACTTCAGAGGGAAGCTGATCATGAGGTTCGACGACACGAACCCTGAAAAAGAGAAGGAAGATTTTGAGAAGGTAATTAAAGGGGTAGTGATAGTGACCTGCTACCTTCGTGGTGGGTGAAGTCAATAGAGATTTAATTCATGAAAACAACTTTTGTTCTCATGGACACTTTTTCTCTTCATCCTCATGTTCTGTGCCCGAGACCTAAGCCAGCAAGCACTGAGCTCCCTTTCATACTGGAAACTTCGTTTATTTTTCTTCCTCAACTGTCGTAGGAGTTTCCCAAGTGCCATAAGTACCCATTTCTTAAGTGAATTGGTGACTAGAGGCAGGTTATCATTTTCAGTTTGTGACGGAAACAAACACTGATCAGATGTTGGGAAACGTGCGGGTTTCACGGCCTCTCACCTCTGTCCCAGAGCGCCGCAGTGTGTCCCAGAGGGTGAACGGGCGACCCCCAGCGTGCTCGGCAGTAACCAGCTTTCCCTCGTCAGGGGGAGGAGAGCTCCCCGAGATCAGCCTTCTTCCACAGCTGAACATTTGGAGGCTCGTGTAGTGCATTTGTTTTTCCCTTCTGATCGAACATCATGCAGCCTCCACAGCCCCTCCCAGGCTGAGTAAGGCCGACGGTGTGTTATTGCATCGCATTTGTTTTTCCCTTCTGATCGAACATCATGCAGCCTCCACAGCCCCTCCCAGGCTGAGTAAGGCCGACGGTGTGTTACTGCATCGGCCCAAACGCAGCACCAGGGACGGGAACTGCACGGGGAAACGCGGAAGACAGGCTGGTGGTGACTTTGGGTTTTCGTCGCACGCAGGTCATCCTGGAGGACGTTGCAATGCTGCACATCAAGCCCGATCAGTTCACGTACACCTCGGACCACTTTGAAACGATAATGAAGTACGCGGAGAAGCTGATTCGGGAAGGGAAGGCTTACGTGGACGACACCCCCGCGGAGCAGATGAAGGCCGAGCGTGAGCAGAGGGTCGAGTCCAGACACAGAGCGAACTGTAAGGCCCGTTCAGCGTTTCCGCGTTCCTCCGCGTTCCTCCGCGTTCCTGCGTTCTGCGCCTTCAGTAGGAGGCGACGTGTGTCTTACGAAAGGCGCTGGTTTGAAATACGTTTGGGAATATGGTTTATATGTTAGTTCATCTCTTAGAAGTCTCGTTTCTTCCTCTGTCGTCTTTACCGTGTTACTTTGTTAGCGTCACGAGGCGAGTGCGTGGGAGCTGCGTGTGCCCTGAGCGCCTCGCTCACGATGTGCACTCTCTGGCATCTCATGCATCGCGCCCGAGTGATGCCTCCCGCAGCTGTTCTGTGTTTTTCTCAATTTAAATACTTACTAGCTTTCTCAAAGGTTTGATGATAGTATTGTTCATGCCTAAATCTTCCTTTCAGCATGCGGGTAGATGTGAATGTCATACTGAAGCCCAGTATTATCCTGTGTCTCTGAAATATCGTTTGACAAAACGCACGTCTTCCTTGTTCATTACTTGTCCTCGAGCTTCAGAAATGGGTTGTTTTAGTTAATGTAACTATGTCACCAGAACCTCCACACTATTACATTTAAATCTTGAGTGTCACTTTTGGGGAATACAGTAATATCAAATTGTTCCGAAGTCCTTTTTTTTTTTTTAAGTTGTTCCATGTTGCCCAGTTACCAGCTGGACTTTTACACGTGACCCTTTGAGCGTGGTGATGTGTCCCTGTCAGTGGTTGCCACAGAGAGTCATCGTCGGGCCCGACTCTCTCACCCCCGTGGGCAGGTTGTCGATGTCCGGGTGTCGTGGGACCACAGCCCCTCGGGAGGCGGCGCCCTTCCTCTGGGATGAAACCGCCCTGCCTTCTGCTTCCCATCATCTCCCGTCTCTCGGGCCCACGCGTGTCCCGCGTCCCCCCGGAATGGCAGCAGGGCTTTGGGGGGCCCCCGGGCTCAGGCTCTCAGCCCGAGCCGTGTTCTCCAGACAGGCACGGGCTGCAGCGCCGACGCCTGTGGGCCCCGTGGCCGGGCCGGCTGGTCTGCCCCTGGGCGCCAGGCGGCACAGGCGGCACAGGAACAGGGCGCCTCTGCTCCCGGGGCGCGGTGGGTGGCTGTGGGGCTGGCGAGGTGGGCCCCGGTGGGAAATGGGAAACTCGGGACGAGAGAAACCGTCAGGCCTCATATGCCTCTCTCAGCCTTCGTCAGTACCGCGTGTGGAATTCACGGACTCGACTTCTGCTGAAACATTTAAGAGGGCATTTTCTAAGTGTTTTGTGAGACCTCTGCCTAAAAGTCCATGTGTTTACGCCTGGTGCCAGACACTGGAACCGTTACAGTACTTGTGAACTGGTGGAGCGTGCTTGTAATGTAAAACCAGATTCACATTATATATCACATTATATCACGTTGTGGGACTGTTAAAATAATTTGAGTTCCACCCATTAGTCATACGTTGGATAAACTCACGCAGCCATCGTTTTGTAGCCGTCGAGAAGAACCTGCAGATGTGGGAGGAGATGAAACGAGGGAGCCCGGCTGGTCAGTCCTGCTGTCTGCGCGCCAAGATCGACATGAACAGCAACAACGGCTGCATGCGGGACCCGACGCTGTACCGCTGCAAGGCCCAGCCGCACCCGAGGACCGGGAGTGCGTACAAGTAAGGCCTCCCTCTCGCCCGCCTGGTACCCCCCACCCCACCCCCATACCTGCCCGTTGCTCTGGTGCTGCCGCAGCCCTGGGGGTGACGCGCTTGCCCTACTGCAGCATGCAGCCTCGGCGGGGGGGGGCGGCGGGGCGGTTCCCCTCCTGTCCGCTGAGGTTGCACGGCCTCCCTCCTGAGGTCAGCTGCAGCTGTGGAAGCCCCTTTGTCGGCATTGCTGAGGTGCACTGCGGTGTGTGTGTTTAGGTGACGGCGTTCGTCTTCCTGTTGGGAACGGATTCTGCCGGGCAGAGTTAGCTCATAGATGTGGTGGAACTGAACGTTTACAGAAACAGGGGCAATGGAAGAAAGTGCTGTGTGCTTTTCTAGCTTCAGTTGGTTTCCTGTGTGTGTTTACAGGTTGATAGATTTTTTTTTCTTTAAATGGCCCATCCTTCCTTAATTTACTTGGTACAAAGCAACCATCAAATGTGTTTTCTTATCTGTACTTTGAAGAAACCTGCTACGCACGTGTACTGAGTTACAGCTTCTGAAGAGATTGGTGCATGGGATGATCACTTGATGAACCCGGGTGACTTTCTTTAAACTTGAGGGTGCTGACGTGTGTGTGGTTACGTGTGTGTTTACACGTCCTTCAGTTTTAACAGGGCGATTGCTCCTTGTTTTTCTAGCCGAGGACTTTGAATACATTTGGGAAAGTGAATTTGCATCCACATTTTCGATGTCAAGTAATTGCAAAGCCTTATGCAGTAGCCTCTTAGTGAAATTGTATCTTAAAAATTAGAAGTCATAATGCAGTAATATATTTTTTAAATTTAAGTTAAAACTGCTTATGCATTGTGTACATCTTAGGCCAAAATTGTTTTAGGAGTATTCCATTTTAAATGGATTTTTTTTTGCCTAATTTATTCTCTTATAGATGTGCTTGCATGCAGTTAATTACAAAAGTAATTCAGTTAATCTGAGTGTGGGATTAAGATATTAAAAAGCTAAATTCCCTCAAAATTAGCATGCACATTGCTTCCTATCACGATGTACATTGGTCATTACCGAAATATGGGTGTCGGGTTTGCTGTGCCAACACCCAGTTGCCGATGAAATTGCAGATTTGCTCTTTTGTTTGAATATTGAGCAGGTAACTGATTCATTGTTCTCAAAGCCTGGTGATGTTTTGATACACTTTGATTATTGTGAGTCATAAAACACGTTGGTCTTCAAGAAATTGCTAACTAGTAAAGAATTGTGTTCTAAGTTAGCATTGCTGCTTACACTGCGTGGTCCGAGGTGGACAGGGCCACACGCTCCATCCACGCTGGTTTTTTCTAGCGTTTACCCGACGTACGACTTCGCCTGCCCCATCGTGGACAGCATCGAGGGCGTCACGCACGCCCTGCGGACCACGGAGTACCACGACCGGGACGAGCAGTTCTACTGGATCATCGAGGCTTTGGGCATCCGGAAGCCGTATATTTGGGAGTATAGTCGGCTGAATCTCAACAACACAGTGCTGTCCAAGAGAAAACTCACCTGGTTCGTGAACGAAGGCCTGGTGGATGGATGGTGCGTTTCCCGTTGCCCAGAGTCGAGAGGGCGTGAGGGCGTGGTCTGCCCGTGGCTTCCCAGCTGCTCTGAGGGCTGGGAGGGTCGGGGAGGGGGTGGCACGGCGGCCTGTGGGGTTCCCGGTCCTTGCTTTCTGTCGTCCCGGTCCTTGCTTTCTGTCGTCCCGCAGCGCTCGTCCTGCCCCTTCTGCTTCAGCGCGGCACACATGCAGTGCACTGTGGGAGTGAAAGACACGAGGGCGCGTCCCCGCACGGGTCACGGTTAAGAGGGAAGTGTGTGCGCTCGCCTTGGTCCTTCACGGACCTGGTCTCCTGTGGAACTGGGGGCCCTGAGTGTTGGTCAAGTAAAATCAACGCATGTTTCAACGCCTGGGTTTTCCGTATTTGAAGATGTCCCCCACGTGTCTCTCCTGAAGTGTGCTTTTATGGTTTCCGGTGGTGCTCTTACTTGACTGAGCAATATTTGACTAGGCAGCAGTTTTCCTCTTCCATGAACTTGGGTGCTCTGGTGCTGTGATCTACCCAGTTACGGCCAGCTCTGAGCCCAGATACTGAGCAGGCTGAGTATAGTATCATTGCTTCAAGGGGTGTGTACTCTCTGCATCGGCTCATCAAAGAGCTCTCCTTGGCACTTAAACACGTCCCTGCTTCCCCAGGGACGACCCGCGATTTCCCACGGTCCGCGGGGTGCTGAGAAGAGGCATGACCGTGGAAGGCCTGAAACAGTTCATTGCTGCTCAGGTGAGTGAGGGTTTCGTTTTCGGGTGTCTCGTACTGTCCCCTTTGTCTTCATTTCTCTTCCTTCCTTGTTCCTTATGACGCGAGCGCAGAGTGTTGTTTAAAAAGAGCGTGTTTAGCAGTTTGTAACCACGGAGGACTGAGAATGCCCTCAGCGCGGGCTGGACGGAGGCCGCCGCCCCGTGCGCACCAGCGCCCGCGAGTGACTGGCGCCTCTCCCCGGGGAAGGGAACCGAAGTGGCTGGGGCCTCGTACGTTTATGTTCCGGCAGAAGTAAACTCGCAGGAGTTATTGGGCTTCTTTTCCTAACACGTGTACCGTCAGTTACGAGAAAATACTCTCATTAATACGTTCTTCCTTTAAGTCAGTTTTTTCTTGTTTTTCTAGGGCTCCTCACGTTCGGTGGTGAACATGGAATGGGACAAAATTTGGGCTTTTAACAAAAAGGTACATGTTTTGACTCTTAATCCTCTTCTCATGCCTGACTCCTACATGTGGATTTCACGAATGTACTCACAGTAGAGCAAACTTTGTGAAGAATATTACCATTTTGCAGGCTTTCAGGAAAATGGAATGTTTTCCTTTTTTAAACATATAAAGAGCAATAAGTCTATTAACTGCCGAATGAGTAACAGTGATTCAAATGAGCAAACTTGGAGTAACGGGGAACAGTAACAGTTTTTTCCTTAAATCTTTTATGAACACTCTGCATTTCATTTTTCTGCTTTCAAGCTGCGAGCTCTCTGTAAGAAGGTACTCCTTCGCGCTTTCGTTTGCCTTCCTTCGCACACGGCTTCTGGCGTGTTACCTGCCACAGCCCGGGCTGTCGCACGGCTCTGCGGCACAATCACATTGCCGTAAAAGGCCTCCTTCTGCAGGCCCACTGCGGTGCCCTGTTCCTAGTGTCAGAAAGCGCCCTCCGGTTTCTGAGTGGCAAAGGGAAGATTTGGCTGCCTCCACCCTGCTGTTCCCTTGTATGCCGAGAGAACAGAGTTTCAAAGTTACGCACTGAGGTGTATTAAAAGGTTCAATTCCACTGAGTTGTATTAAAGGTTCACGGACTGCAATTCCTGTCATCTTGCTGGATCTAGCTTTTCGAAAAGAGTTTCTTAACCGGACGTTCAGTGACACTGTCAACGTGACTGATGGGAAGCAGGGCCTTAGACACTATAATAAGGCAGATCCTCCCCGTGCCACGTTTTAACGCTGTGTCTGTGATTGTGTTCTGTGAGCTCTTTCCGTCTGGCTGCCTGGGCCTGCTCGCGCCTTTGCCTCCAGAAGTAGTTGCTTGTCTCGCATGCGTCTTGAATTTGTTTTGCTGTCTCGTGTGTCTAGTCAGTTTCTCGACACAGGGACTACTAATTGGTTTTTTCTGTTGCTGCACTTACTAATAATAAATACAAGTTAACATTTACAGGCAAAGGTAAATCGGTGTGCTTTTTATTCATAATCCAAAATTTAAAGGTTTTAAGTTTTCACAAAGCTACAGGTGTGGACGTAGTTCAGATACATGAGATAGGTTTCAGGATGGTCACCGAGTTCTGTAGGTCTGCTAAGAGGAGCAGCACATTCCCCTGTCTTCCTTCCTTCCGTTTTCTCTCCCTGGATGAATAGTTTGCAGCTCTTTTAAACCATTCACTTGGCACCCGCTGTCCACTTCTCTGAGTGACGGATGCTGCTGCTTCCTGGTTTTCGGTTTCAGGCAGCGTCAGTGGGCCACCCGCACAGGAAGAGGAGGTCTCCGAACTTTCTGTCGCGGCGATTGATCGTGGGGGCTTCCCCCCCCCCGCCCCGTGTATGTTTAGTTTCCAGTTCCATCTCAGACTCTCCACAGACTGTCTTGTCTTTCCGACCAAAGGGTCTGTTCACCCCAGGGACGTCTGTGCTGCTGTGACCGGCCTGGGCTGGTGGCCACCTCCCCTGTGAGCAGCCCAGCTGTCTCCGCGGTCCCCCTTCCTCGTCCTCTGCCTGGAGCGCCCCCCAGTGCTGGGGCGGCTCTTCCTCCTCTTGTTACCACCTCCGGCTTCGCTGGGCCGCGCCCTCCAGGAGCGAGCGCCCTGGGGGAGAAGAGCTCTGGGACCTCATGTAGGGTGTAGTCACGCTGAAATGGCGTGGCGCTGTGCCGGACCCATGCTGGGGTCCGTTTCCCTCCTTGTCCGCTGGTTGGGCGCGGGCCTTCCTCCTGTAAGCCCCTTCCTCGAGGTCTGGGAAAATTGCCTTGTTCTTCTTGTTTTGTTTTTGTTTTTGTTTTGTTTTCCTCTACATGTTTTCTTCCTCCTCTCTGGAACCGTTTTGAGCAAACACTGGGCCTCCTGGACTGAGCCTCTAATGTTATGTTCTCTCCCTTAGTGTATTTTCTGGTAGATCTGCTCAGTACCCTTCTTCTGAGTTCTCCATTCATGCTATCCCACTTCCAGGATTTCTCTTTAGTTCTCTGGATCTTAAAAGTAACTCTCTCCCTGGTCTCATGTTCATAAACTGTAAGTGAGGCGTCCGTGCACTGAATGTAGCGCCGGGGCGTGGTGGGGTGAGCGTGAAGGGCAGGGCCGACCCATCGACCCATCGTAGTGACTCAGCCGTTTGTGAGGCGTCTCCTGCTGACAGCCACGGGCACTGACGCCAGGTGCGCTGCAGCTCTTCACACGCTGCTTTGGAGGGAGAGCTGTGCTTGCAGAGCACATCACACCTGGTGAAGGAGAGGAGGGGGTAGGCGAGGGGCTCCCTGTCTCTCTGTCTCTCTGACTCTCTGAAAATGCCGTGCTCCTTGTTTTCTTAGGCTGACTCTTCCTCTCGCCTGGGAACTAGCACCTAGCTTTCTGTGTCGTAATTAAGTGAAATCTATCTACATAGTTTAACTTTTTTAAAAATCTGCCTTGATACCAGTAGGAGGCACTCTGGTGCCTGACTCTGCATTAGCCTCACTAGTTTTCTTCTTGGTTTTATGTTAGGTGTTAAGATTTAAACTTTCCAGTCAAGGCAGAGGAGTCACAGCTCTGAGGTGTTCACTGCAAGAGCTGCACTTGGCCTCCCTCAGCCTTCACTGCTTTCACGTAAAAGCCATGTTAGTGTTTCGGGGGTGTGATGACACAACATTTTTTCCCAGCTCTCATCCCAGCCCCGTTGCCTCTGCCCCAGGGAATGAAGGTGTAACTGTTGTGGGGGAAACGTGGTTGTGGGCGGGGGGGCGGGTGGCTTTAGTCAGTCCTGTCCTTTCCCTTCCGTCTGTCGGGGCAGCTCCTTGGAATCCTTAGGACTCTTCGGAGTACTTTGAAAACTACAAATCCAGAGAATTTCAGAGTTAGCCGGGGAAAAACTTAAATCTTTTAATCCAAGGTTTCCCGAACTTGTCTGACCCTAACCGTCCTGTGGGTGCTCGCTAAAAACCGATCTCCGTGCTTCCCGGGGCATCCAGCCTTTTGGCTTCTCTGGGCCGCACTGGAAGAAGGGGAATTGTCTTAACTGTCTTGGGCCACACTCTAAATACATCACAACACGTAACCACGAAAAAAATCTCCTGATGTTTTATGTAAATGTATGATTTTATGTTGGGCCGCATTCATAGCCATCCGGGGACACATGTGGCCGGAGGGCCGCAGGTTGGGCACCCTGCCGTAATCGTTTAGGGCTCAGCGGCCTGAAGACCTGTGCTGGCCGGTGCCCTAGGTGGTTGTTCATAGTGGGTTAGGCGTGTGAGGCGCAGCCTTCGGCCCTTCGCCGGCTGAGGAGACGCAGCCGCAGGGAAGGGAGGGAGGTTCTCAGGCTGGGCTGTCTCGTTTCAGCTTCTGCACAACAGTCGTGTTTCTCTGTCTTCAGCACCGAACCGAGTGTCACAAATTAAATCTCTGAGTGTGAAAGAACGCTTAACCAGTAAGAAGGGTCTTTAAGTCACAGGGAAGACTCAGATGACACAGTAAACTTAGAGAGCCTGGTGCTAATTTAGCATGAAAGATAAGGAGGTGAGTGGCGGACAGGGGTCGGTTAGCTCGCTTTCCAGTTTCGTGAACGATCCTCTGAGGGTGGCGTGTTTTCTGAGTTTATTCAGAATTTCCACAATGTCATTGTTTTCAAAAGGTGAAAAATATGCTCTCAAAGCAAGCAAAAACCGAAAACAGAAAGCCCCTGGCAAACAATGGGGGGGAAGTACACAACAAAAGCACAGGAAGTTTGATTCGCCATTCCACTCCCTGCGTCCATCTGGTGGGAAGAAGTAACTTCTGTCTCTTCGCTCACATACTGTCGCCTCTCCCTACATCTTTCTTCCGTTTGCTTTGTCCAGCGTTCGAACCCTGCGGTTGCGACGGGTCCTCGCGGGCGGCCGGAGGGAGAGTGGGTCAGAGCGTAGTGGGTGGGCGAGGCGTCCGTTTGTCCGCAGGCATTTACTGATTACGTGTAGGCGCCAGGCCCTTGCCGGGTGCTGGGCATGCACCGTCCCTGAACACGCAGCATGCGGACAGGTAGAGCCATGTCGTGTGCACCTGTGATCTACAGAATTGCCTTATTATAGTGGCCGAGTGCTGCTCTGCGCCTCGTGGTGATACGTTGCCTAAAAAAGATCGTAGAGAATTACACCAAAGCACACACCTCTCCGTATTCCTGAAAAACGGACTTTTCCAACAGTGCAAAGCTGAGTATCGTATTTACCTGTGGGATTAATAGGTAGCCCCACAGGAGTTTTCCTTCCTCTCTCATCCCAGAGTTGAAAATTCCTTTCTGAAATGCTCTCGCGTGATGCTCTACCCCGTGGGTTTCCTCTCACCCGTCGGTACTCGGTCTGGGAAAGGCGCACTCAGTCCCTCCTGTAGTCTCCACGCACGGTGGCTTCTCCTCTGCTGCACGGCGGAAGTGCTGGAGAGAAGTTAGGAGATAAATAAAAAATTGGTAAATGCAGTAACAAAGAAAGCCAGTTAGTATTCCTGTGCTGTTACATTTATTTTACTCATGAAGCGTAAAAGACCATCTGAATGTTCCAACACGAGGATGCATCTGTTGCAGGTCATTGACCCGGTGGCGCCCAGGTACGTCGCGCTGCTGAAGAAGGAGGTGGTCCCCGTGAACATCCCCGAGGCGCAGGAGGAGATGAAGGAAGTAGCCAAGCACCCAAAGGTCGCTCTGCAGACTCGCCGCGCTGTTCTCTCCAACGGGAGGGGCGGGGTCAGAGAGGGAGCGTGTGCTTTGGTGGCCGCAGTGTGGCTTGGGGACCATTTTCTGTCCACTGTTCTTCGTCAGGGCCTGCTACTCCCTGGGGAAAGTATCTTGTAGGTTTCTTTGTGAAGAAACTTGCTCTGGGAAAACCTGTAGCGCATCGCACAGAGCTGTTCCGCTCAGTGGGAGACGCTCAGTGACGTGCATGGTGAAGGGCTGCAGTATCCTAGGTTGTGCCTTTGTGATTGCCGTTCCGTGCACGGCGTTAGCTATTTTGTAACTTCAGAGATGTGAGTTGTTTTAAGGGAACCCTGGCCTATGGTGGAGGGGAGAGAGGCCGCTCTGAGTTTGCCCTTCTGCTGCATCTGATCCTTCAGCCAGGTGGGCGGTGGTGTCTGACGCATCCCGTCCCCCGCTGCTCGAGTGTGACGTTTACTGAGTGTTTTAAAGTGTCCGGGGTGAGGATAACACTTTCCCATGGCGCTTATTGCTTTGTTCAGGTGGCCGGTGTAGCCGGCTAACGTAGAGGAGACGACTGCTCACCGCTGCCCGAGAATTAGCTGACCGGGGGCAGCACTGAGAGCGAGGACGGGCCCGCCCCGGCGGTCCTTGCCGTTCCCATTGCCCTCGCCCCTCCCCGTGTCCCCCGTGCACCCTGGTGGCGCTCTGCTCCGAGCCCGGCGTGCCGTGTGCTCACCCGTGTGCCGGCCCAGTGTCACGCTGTCTGTCACACGCTCATTTCAGAGCGTCTGCGCGCAGTTTTTCTTTTGAGTTCTCTCCAACAAAAACTGACATTTTACAAATACAGTGCTCATTTTATTCTCTGGATCTCTTTATCCTCTTTATGTCATATATTCTGAAAAGGCAGACATTTATTTATCCACGTACAGTTCCTTCTGTTTTTAAAGTTTATCTTCTAAAACATGAAGGGCCCACCGTTTCCTGCGAAGGTGTGGCGTCTGTCTTCCTGTAATCTTAGCCGCCGGCAGGAGTGGCTTTATTTTCTCCTTCGCTGCGGCAGCAGCAGTGAGGTTCGGAGGATGACAGAGCGGGTTCTGGGCGGAGGGACACCGAGCGACAAACGTGCCGGCTTACACGCCCCGAAACCAGAGCGCCGTGGGCTGGGCACACTCTCGGGCGGGCCCTCTCCCCTGACTCCGCCGGCATCGCCGGCCGGGGCTGGGGTTCCAGCTCGCTCAGAGAGCTCCGAGGGTTGGGGCAGAGAGTGGGGGAGCACGCACGGCCCCGCGGTGGGGTCGGTAAGTGGTCGTCGTGGTAACCAGCACTCCCTCCTTCGCCGCCCAGAACCCCGACGTGGGCCTGAAGCCCGTGTGGTACGGCCCCAGGGTTTTCGTGGAGGGCGCCGATGCCGAGACGTTTTCCGAGGGCGAGACGGTGACGTTCATCAACTGGGGCAACGTCAGCATCACCAAGATACACAAGTAAGAACTTTCTGTCGGTTTTCAAATAAATATGGGGGAAAAGTAGTTTATGTTTATTCACTGGTTAAAATTACTGGGCTCAGATATATTCATGGGGCTGACTAGTAAGCCTGCCCGGGCACAAATACTGCAAATTCTGGGGGGTAAAGTTTTCTCCATGGACCGTATTTTGTCATGTATAATGCGCACCCATGGTTTCTGTGCACATTATACACAGGGTTATTACGCTTATGGTATATAAACATTATACCTGTGTGTAACGTGCATCCTTATTTTTCCCTCAAAGACTCGGGCAAGAAGTGTGCATTGTCCACCGCAGAATACAGTGTGTTCCAGTTTCCTAGCAGGGCATCAGGGAGGCTCCTGCTTGTGACGCTGAACGTCACCTCATCTAGACACACCTGCATAAAGAGTAGTCCCAGTGCTCTGGGCCCTCTGTCATCATCTACTTCTCGTCATAGCTGGCTGGCGGAGGATTCTTGGGGCAGAATTTATGTGTACACCACATTTTTCTATCCTGTAATCTGCTTTAAAATGAATTGTTTAATGATGAATATAAAGTCCCCAGTGATTATAGTGAGCGACACTTTAATTTGATTTTCAGATCCATAAATGGAACATACTGTACTAAGATTAATTTATGTAAGCTCTGACATTTTAGTCGTCCAGTAATTGCATATGGCTTTAAGTAACTGCTAAATATTTTTAAATATGTTAAATTTTTCCATGCTTGGTGCAGGTGAGTTTAAAGTTTGTAAACATGTGCGTGCTCTTCGCCAGGTGGCTGTGGTCTGTTGCCCAGCGGATTACTAGCATCTTGATGGCAGGGATTCTGTTTTTCTCATCTCTTAACCAGGTTATGCCTGACACATACTAAAAACTCGGATTTTAGTCTCCTTTGAAAGTCTTGCACAGAAAATTCCTTACCCATTTGCTACAGATGCTATCATGGCAGCTAGGGTTCATGTGTCTCACGACACTTTTCAATCTCGCACCTAGAGACGCAAGTGGAAAGATTGTGTCTCTTGACGCAAAGCTGAACTTGGAGAACAGAGACTACAAGAAGACCACCAAGGTCACGTGGCTCGCGGAGACGGCCCGCGCCCTGCCCGTCCCCGCGGTGTGCGTCACGTACGACCACCTGATCACGAAGCCGGTGCTCGGGAAGGACGAGGACTTCAAGCAGTACGTCAACAGGAACAGCAAGGTAACCTGAGAGAGGGGCTGCACGGCGTCTTCCCCTGTTATGTAAACTCGTCTTTAGAGTTTTTAAAATTAGTCTTAAGACCTTGGTTCCTCAAACAAAATGGAAGAGATTGGTTAGAATCTTACTCCGATAAAAAGGTGTACGAGAGTAGTGTCCCCATTGTACAGTGGTAGAAAGTGAGGCACCGTGAGGGTCCGGAGCCTGCCCCAGGACTGGCAATAAATGGGGGAGCAGGGATTCAAACCCGGTGTCCCGGCTCCAGAGCCCTTCCACCTGCGTGCTCCGTCTGCCCGCACGAATTGCCGGCCTGTGCACACCGCCTGCGTTGTGGTGCGCGTTTACGGTGGGGGCTCATTCGCTTCTGCAGGGGCACTGGAGAAGTTAGCGTGGAGGTCTCCTGAAGCCAGTCAGTTTACAAATGTTAACTGTAAAAGTTACAGTAAACACGATTGTTATTTATTTTAGCACTTTTCTGTTTCTTTATGTGTACTTAAGTACCAAAGTTTCTAACATGTTTGTTTAAAAGAGGAACCTTCCAGCTACCAGAAAAACTGTTGCATTGTGGAGTTGAGTCTGGGGCTCGGGTTTTGAGAAGGTGTGTTTCTGTCTCGCGTCGTCCCTGCAGCACGAGGAGCTGATGCTGGGGGACCCCTGCCTGAAGGACCTGAAAAAGGGCGACATCATCCAGCTCCAGAGACGAGGCTTCTTCATCTGCGACCTGCCGTACGAGCCCGTGAGGTAAACACTCGGGCCTGAGCACCTGCTCGGGAACGCTCAAGTTCTTCCAGTAAACGACGTTTTGGGAACGGAACTTCCGAGAAAACACCGACCATCCTCTACTCAGTTTTATTCTGTTGTCCTCTATTTAATGTTGCAGACTTTAATAAGTGGTGTCTCGGAAACAACGTAGTACTAACAAATTCATCCCTAAAACTGAACCGTCTTGTAACTCATCTTCATGTGGCCCACATGCAAAGGAAAGCGCTTCTCCAGAGCGGGTGTACAAGCGGGTGGTCAGTCCACACACAGAAAGCTGCACGACTGACGTCCTTAACAACTGACGTCCTTGGTTACGGGGGAGACGCAGGTCAGGACCACAGCGAGGTGGGGCCCCGGCCCACGAGGACGTCTAACTGGAGCCTTCACACGCTCATGATTTGTGAATGTAAATGTGAAGTGGAAACGTGAAATGAGGCAGTCGCTTTGGAAAATCGTGTGGCAGTCCTTCAAAAGGTTTAAATCACACAGTTACTCTTTTACCCAGCAGTTCCGCTCCTGAGTATACACTTCAGAAAAATAACGTGCTCACACGAAACCTTGTGCGCAGAGGCTCACGGCAGCATTGTCCGTGATGGCCAACAGGCGCGAGCAGCCCCGTGTTCCCCGGCTGAGGAGTGGGCAGACAAACGGTCCGTCCGCGCAGGCAGCGTTCCGCAGCCGTAGGAAACGGGGAGGTGCTGACTCGCGCTGCAGCGTGCACGACCCTCGTGAGCACTTGCTGAGTAGGAGAAGCTCGTCAGAACAGACCGCGTACTTTCACGAAGCACCTGTCCAGAACAGGCAGATCCACAGAGATGAGGTAGTTTAGTGGTTGCCAGGGCAGGGGGCTGGGCAGTGGTAAAGGGTTCGAGTCGTCTCTCTGGGGCGACAGAAGTGACCAAAGTTGAACAGTGCTGGCGGCTACACACACTTCATGTGATCTTTGAATTGTGTGCTTTCAAAGGGTGACATTTTGGTATGTAAATTATATCTCAAAGCTATTGTTAAAAAATATTGAAGAGGTGTAGATCCTATTATTACTACATTCTTTCTATCTTTATTTTTACTTTAGCTTTTACCACAGAATTTGAAGAAATTCCTGGCTTGTGAAGTCTTAGAGCAGTGGATTTTGCTAATTACCCTACCCTTAAGAAATGAGAAATTCTTATAAAATGAATGACATGTAGGAATTATTCTGCTCACAAGCAGACTGGGTGGGATTGGTCCACGGCTTACCTTTTCCGTCACGGTGAGGCCATCAGCACCCACTGCCGCCCTCTCTGGCGCAGGTGACACAGGTGCACTTCTGTCCCGGGCTGCACGTGCACACCTGTGGACAAACTGCAAGTTTATAGTCAGCATAGTCAACTGTTACTAACGTATTTATGGTTTCCAGACTGCCCTGAAGGACCTCTGATTGGAATAGTGAGGGGAGGGACTATGTATCTGTATTTTAAAGAGCACGGACTTAATCTGGGAACTCCGTTTTAGTTGCTCTTTGGATAATCTGGCTCAAGTGACCATGCCTGGCCCCTCCTGTGCGTTTCAGCCCCCACAGCTGCAGAGACGCGCCCTGTGTCCTGATATACATCCCCGACGGGCACACGAAGGAGATGCCCACGTCTGGGTCGAAGGAGAAGACCAAGGTGGAAACAGTGAAGAACGAGGTGAGTGTTGCCTTTCTCGTCATGGATCTTCCACAGCCTGGGGTTCAGAATCTGCCTTCTCACAGTGGCTGTCTGCCTTACTGTGGGGACTGAAGAGACGACAACTCTTCACTCTGGGGGGTTTGTTCTTCCGTGTAAGATTCTAAAACACCTTGCAAAACAAGACTTGTAAAATTTAATTTGATGTGAAGAAGTCAGAGACTAGATGAAACGAATATTTCTAGCAAGGTTTTCTTTTTCCCTTTTTAGAGTCACAGTAGATCCCTTCCTTTCTGACAGCCTGTCTGCTTTAGTCAGGAACTTTGCGGGGGGCTCAGGGGCCTGTCGAGGACCCCCTGTTCCTAGCTGCTCATTTTATACATGAAAAGGGAAAAACAAGCCTTGCCTAAGGTAGTGTGGCATTGGTTATCACAGCCCGGACTGTGGCCTGGCTTTCTGGCTCCCTGGGTGTGCTTTTGCGTCGAACCCCGGTGCTCGGAGGAGAGCTGCCGGCGGGCAGGGTGGGCAGGGCGGCGTGGGAAGAGAAGCAGGACGGGAAGTGCAGTGCTGTGGGTGCTGGGAGAACTTTCAGCCGCCCCGTCGAGTCCTTTCTCATGCTGGACGTGATGCTTCCTCTCCGCCTTCAGGGCTGCGCTAGGACTAGCTGCTCGGCCGGCACGGTCTGGAGGGGGTGGGTGCCGCCTGCGGTTGCAGCTTCTGTCCTCCTCACGCGGGCCATGGACTTGAGTGATGGTGACCCGTCCGGGGAATCCACGTTCGCTGCGTGGGCTGGAGGTCCCCACGCTCCTTCGATCACAGCACCCGTGGTCCCTCCGCCATTCTGCCAGGGCTCCTCTCGGCTGCATGACATTTCTGACAGTTCTCCTTGTTGAGTGCTTTAGTCCAGACAGCTGGATACAGACATACATTCCAACAACTTAGTGGTTGTGTCAAGAAATAACACGTATAAGTTGAAAGAAAAGAAACTCAAATTTTATTTTTAAAGTTATTTTGTTCTTAAGTGTTAAATATTTTAATTTTATTCCTATTTTCATCTCACTTTTACAATAATACACGAATTGAAAGAAAATTCATAATTTCATTTCTCCCTTCAACCTTGGACTCAGACTGGACACTGCCATTTCCTGTTCCACGGTGACTTTCCGTGACACTTGATCCTTAACACAACGGCTGTGACAACCGCAGCCTTGCGGAAATGTGACGTCGTGGAAAGGGACGTAGCGCGCCCCAGTGGTAGAGCTGCCTCACCCAGAGCTCGTGGCGCAGGTGCTGTTTGACAGCTGTCGGTGTGCTCCGTCACCCCCGCGGGGCAGAGGACCCCGGGGCAGCCCGTGGATTTCCGGGGCACCTGGCGCCCCTCGGTGCACAGTCGGGACCCACGGGTGTCGGCAGCCGGGCAGTCCCTGAAGAGGGGGCATCAGTGAGGAAGACAGTTTGCGGGTGGGTGCGGCGTGGGGTGAGGGGTGTCGTGAGTGGTCAAAGGGTGGGCACGGAGGAGATGCAGCAGGACGTGGGCCCGGGAGGCAGAGTGGTAGGACAGCAGCCTCTGGTCTGGCTTTGGTGACTGGGTGAATAAGGGGTAAGTGACCTGCGCCGGGGAAGGCAGAGGCAGGAAAGTTTATTAGGGTGTGAGTTTGAAACTGTTCACAGTAGGAGCGTCCTGCCTTGAGCTTTTAATTTACACGGATGAAAAACTGTGGTTTCTGGTTTAAAAATTCTGTTTTAACTTGAAACATGATACGGCAGTCAGTTGGATTCAATTTGGCGGGGAGATGTTGAACGTGAATTCATCACTTGACTTCTGGCTTCCTGCCTCTGCAGACGACGACCCCTGCCAAGGACAGACCAGCGGCCCCCGCGACTAGTACTTGCACTGCTGCCTCGGCCGAGGATTCCGAGGCCCTCCACAGCCGAGTGGCTGCTCAGGGGGATGTGGTTCGGGAGCTGAAGGCCAAGAAGGCAGCAAAGGAGGATGTAGATGCAGCTGTGAAACAGCTTTTGGCTTTGAAAGCTGAGTATAAGGAGAAGACGGGCCAGGAGTACAAACCTGGAAGTCCTCCGGCCGTGACCGGACAGAGTGTCCCCTGCAAACCGCCGGCAGGCACCGCGGACGGTGCGTCTCTGTACGACGAGGTTGCTGCGCAAGGGGAGGTCGTTCGCAAGCTGAAAGCCGAAAAGGCCCCGAAGGTCAGTGTGCTGGGAGGGGCCCAGGCCACGCTGCAGGGAAGCCTGTGGGGCCACTGCCAGGGCAGACCCGTCCTCCCGTAGGACGTGTGTGCAGACCGTCCGCTTGAACACTGCGACCTAGCTGGCAGTCAGCACTCACTGACACCTGCTGGGTGCCGAGCTCTGGAGATACCAGTGTGAAGCACAGCGCCACCTGGTGGCGGGGGGTGGGGAGGGCGGTGCTGGGGCTGGGGAGGAAACACATCTGCTGACCTGACACCCGACGCTGTGTCCTGTGCCTGGCCGTGCCAGTTGCCCTGGGAAATGTGGGGGCGCTAAGTGACGGGGGAGGAGGAAACTTCACAAATCAAGGCCAGCGGTTCCCCAGACGTCCCTGTTCAGAGGAATACTCTAGTTTAAAGTTTTATTCCATTTTTACTGTTTGTAGAATGCCCCATTCAGTAGTGAAGTGGTTTGCCCATCTACGTGGTCTCCTTTGTAGTGTTTCAGGTTGTAATCTCACCGAGCAAAGATTTTGTTTCGTTTTGTTGCTGTTTTTTTCCTGTGCAAAATGAAACTCCAGTGGCGACTTGTAGTGTAAAATGGAACTTCCTTCAGACAGGCCTCTTGTTATAGAAATGGTTGCAGGAAAGGTGGTAGTGCCCCTTGATTTTCCCTTTTTTTCCTTATGGCTGATGGAAGTTTCTGTTCTGATTCTAGTCTGTCTGGTTAGCCCTGTCCTTTTTCTCAGGGTCGGGTAGATTTTGCTGTGAAGGTGCTCTCCGTTCTAAAGACAGCGTGAACAGGAGACAGGTCAGGAGTGCCAGTCAGACCACCCATCCTCTCCCCTGCCCTCCCTCCGCGCGGTGCCCGCTGTGGCCCACTCTCGGTCTGTGGGCAGCAAAGTGCTGTCACACAGGCACTGCGCTAGGAACTGTGACTGCTGTCTCACAGTCGCCAAGTTGCCGAGGGTATACCGGATGTCCCGGGGCTCCCTGCGTTCCTGTGACCCCATATTGCTCTCCTGGCTTCCGGTGCGGGGCTCCTGGTGCTCTGGGGCCCTGGCGCAACGTGGCAGAGAACTCGGGCGGGCAGGCGTGGGCCAGCGCCTTGGCTCCCCGGGGGTGTGTTGGTGTGCGCCTAGACAGCGCTGCCGTCCGTTCAGGGCCGCGTCCGGCGTGAGTCCTCCACCTGCGTGGCCGGCTTCCGTGCCGGGGTCACTGGTGTCTCGGGCTGTTCTGCCCCTTTGCACTGTGATTACGGTGACGTAGCAGAGGACGGCGTATGTGGGCGAGTGTCCAACACCTCAGCCGACCTTCGCGCTTCGTTGTGAGTTTTTAAAAGCCCGATGTAACTATTCTGTAGTTGGGCCCAGACCGTGTTGTGGGTTTTTTTAGTGTTGCATTTACTTTTTAGAAATTAAAAAAATAAAGTTTGTACAGGCAGAGCCATAGAGGTGATCTGAGCTCCGGTTTTAGAAATTTTGACTCTCCTACTTACAGAGCCAGGGCTGGGACGCCCACAGTTTGCTTGGGTGCTCTATGGTTTGTGTGTTTAAGTACGTAAGGTGGAAAGTCAGTGTTAAATGCATATGGGTGTTCATGTTTATTCTCATGATGTGTATATAGCATTATAGTGTGATTTACATTTTTAACTTGAGCTTTGATCTGTTCTTTTAGGCTGACGATTTGATTCCTTTGTCCTTGGGTTTCCCCATGATGGTTATTTACAAGAATACTATAGTAATACAACAAGAATATTATAGTAATACAACAAGTTTTGAGTAATCTTTGGGATTTGCAGAAAGTATTAAATGCTTCTCTTCTTTTTCTGTTTTAACCTAGGCTAAAGTCAATGAGGCTGTAGAGTGCTTACTTGCTCTGAAAGCTCAGTATAAAGAGAAAACCGGGAAGGAGTACGTTCCTGGCCAGCCCCCATCCCCTGCAAGTTCCGATTCAGGCCCAGCCGGGAGCTCTGAGTCTTGTGGTCCCGAAACACCAGAAGCCAAAGCACTTTTTGACAGAGTGGCTTCTCAGGGAGAGGTGGTTCGAAAACTCAAGGCTGAAAAAGCCCCTAAGGTTAGTGTGGGATCTCACTTTTATTTTTGTTTCCTGCATTGCCCACTGTTTTCTCTGCCCCACGGAATCTGGCTGGCTTCTGCTCACGTGGTTCGGCAGTTCGGCTGTCGGCTCTCTCGTCCTGCCGTCTGCAGAGAACTTCATCGCCCCCCCCCCGCCTAGATCTGATGGGACATTCTCACGCGGCTCTGCCTTTCTCTGCCACGGTGCTTACATGCACTGTATGCATTAGAGTGGTCTGTCTGTCTCTGGTCTGAAAGGTCCTTGAGAATAGGGACTCGGACCCCCGCAGTGCCTGGCTCATTGAAGGGCCCTGGGTACAGTCCCCACTCTGTATTCGACTCGTTCTTCTAGCGTTCTCCCGTCTGAAGCCAGGCAGGCTTTGTTTTGCACCATAGTGCAGTTGGCACTGATGGCATTACGTTTGGTACGAGTAGGGCTTTCTGTACAGATTCACTGGGGCAGAGAACAGAGAATCGTTACGGGTTTTGGATTTAACCAGTAACACAGAAACCTGCTACCGTCTGCCGTCCTGCCGGCCGTGTAATTGAAGGGCCCTCCACCTGCCTGGCAGCGCAGTGCCTGCTGCACGCTAGTGCTGCCTCGGGGAAGTGTTTGCGGGACGCACATGCTCGGTGACGGTTCTGGCCAGTGCGGTCACTCGGGGCTGCAGCGCGCTGGAGATGTGGCCGCTGTGACTGAGGACGGGCCCTTTAGTTGTGTTTACTTCAGGTGAACGGGGGTGTGAAGAGCCAGGTGTGGCTGCTGACTCCCTTTCGGACGGTGCGCTTGCAGTGCCGTTTTTCAGTCGCTCCTTTGTGCAGTTCTGTGCCCGTTGTTCACACGCTTTTATTCCCAGAAGGTAGTGTACGTGACCTTCTCCACTGCTGCCACAGCCCCCCGCCTTCAGCTGTGTTTCCAGGGCTGCCGATAAGGCCCCGGGGGCCGGTGCTCCGGCAGGGTTTGCGTTCCGCGTGACCTTGTCTCCTCCTCTGTCGAACCGAAGGAGCAGGTGGACGCCGCCGTGCAGGAGCTCCTCCGGCTGAAGGCGCAGTACAAGACTCTCGCCGGCGTCGAGTACAAGCCCGTCTCTGCCACCGGGCCCGAGGACAAAGATAAGAAGAAGAAAGAGAAAGAAAATAAGTCCGAAAAGCAGAATAAGCCTCAAAAACAAAGCGATGGATCTAAGAAAGACCCCTCCAGAAGCCAAGGTGGTGGGACGCCGCCCGGTGGAGCAGGAGAGGGCCAGGGGCCCCGGAAGCAGACCAGGTGACGGGGCTTGGAGTGGAGACCCCACTCCCGTGGCGCGGGGCTCTGGGTGCCCTCAGTGCCTACATTTAAACGCAGGGTTTTGGTTACTCTGACCATCGCGTGAAATCGGAGAACACTGAAGGTGTAGTGCCAGCAGATGGCTTCGTTAGTCAGCCTTCTGTCTGTGTGTCGGAGTGGGCCGCACATCCACTTGCTTGGTTCGGGGTCTCGGAACAGAAGAGTCCTGTGCGGTCCCAGCCCTGTGCTCCTTTCCCACCTCCCAGTCCCTCCGGCTGCCGTGATGGGCCGGTCCCCACCGTCGGTGGTGGTTCCTGTGTCCACGGAGCGGTTTTCGTGTGATCGCGCGAGCACAGGCAGACATACAGACATCCCACCCGTTCCCTCTCACACTCTTGGTACCTAACTGTGCACGTTAGGTACATAGGCACGTTGTTTTGCACCCTAAACAGGTTTTTCCAATGAAATTCTTTGGTCAGGACTCGGTGAGAACTTCTTTTTCAGTAGGGGTTTAAAGTAGGTTTGGTTGTGTATCAAACAAAGCTGGTTTAAAAGCAGAACAGCGGTGGGACGGCCGGTGCCGCAGTCCTTCCCAGTGGGTACAAACAGTGGGGTTCCCCGTCGGCAGTCCCCATCCCCTCGTTAGAGCAAACCCTGTGCTGGGTTCCTTAGATGGCTTCACGGGAAGGCAGGGCTGGCGCTAGCAGGTTTTATTTAGAGATACCATGTCTGTGACGTGTGTATTCTGCCTCTCCTCGCTCACGTCATCCACACGGTCTCTCCTCGAACAAGAGACAACCATTGTTTCTCTTTGCCTGTCGACAGGGTGATCGGGTGCATGGATCGTGGAAGAAAGACTAGAACTTCCCACCTTTTGCCTCCTGGCTGCTCGCGGTGGGCCGGGGTTAATACGGGCATTTTTGGAGATGTGTCAGAGGGAAACACGGAAGAATTCAAGTATAAAACATTAAGATTTTAAACCAAGAAAGCCGTGTTTACAACCTGTGAGAAGGTTTCCTTTTTATAAGACAGAGCTGATGGGTTGACTTTTCTGCGTGGGTCACAAGACCACAGTTCTGGAGTCGTCATTGGTGTTTCGAGAGAAGGGTTATTGTCTCCAATGGTGTTTCATTGCAGACCTGATTGATTTGGGAAGCATCTGCCTCCACCACTTTCACTCACTGCAGTTAACAGGAAAACGGGTGGACTCGGAGTGCAGACCTGTGTGCGCCCGCGGGAGAGCACACGTTCCCGGCAGTGAGACGCCCGTCTTGCTGGCCGTGACCTCGCCTGGGTCCAGGCTGGCAGCAGGTGCTCCCTGCTGGTCAGCAAGAGAGTCCCGCAGGAGCAGGCGATGGGCAAGTGCGCGAACTGGCGAGGACTTCGCGAATGAGGCGTCCGCATCGCAGTTGTCGTTGGGCCTGGCTTCCCTGCTGTTTCGTGGGCAGCTCGTCCCCACCTTCCAAGAGATGACTGAACTGGTTGCTAGGTTTAGAACAGTGTCTTGGGAAGGAGTGCAGAAGAAACGTAGAAGTACCTCATGCTAAACAAAACGAACCTGCTTTGAACTTGAGAGTTTATTTCCATTGAACCTCGAAGCATTCGTTCAATGAAGGAATTTATATTTTGCTTTTCACATCTGCAGGTTGGGCCTTGAGGCAAAGAAAGAAGAAAATCTTGCAGATTGGTATTCTCAGGTGAGTAGCATGCATTTGGTTTTTATGTGTTGAATTTCCCAAAGGGGACTGTGTGCTTAGTTAGGTTCTGAAGTCCAGACACAAAGGGACAGTGCGTGATGCCTTCCGTAGCACCGAGGACAGTCGTTGAGCACGTCACAGTTGTCAGAGCTTGTTCACAGACAGTGTTCCATCGAGGAGCCCCGTGCGACAGTCAGTACATGACTCTTTTTTACGGTGAGGTGAAGGAGTTAGCCAAAGTCACAAAGACAGTAATGGCAGGAACAAGACTGGAATTGACGTCTGCTTGAGGGCGAGGACCCTGGCGAGTCTGAGTTCCGAATGGCTTGTTTTACACGCGTGGAAGGAGGGTGTTGGGGGGAACTCCCGGCTGGAGGCGTGGCGGCCAGCCTCTCGGCGCCTGCACCACTGCGCCGGCTCGGCGTCGGCCTCAGACACTGTGTTTGCCTTTTGGAAAGGTCATCACGAAGTCGGAAATGATAGAATACTACGATGTCAGTGGCTGCTACATTCTCCGCCCCTGGGCGTATTCCATCTGGGAATCCATCAGGGACTTTTTCGATGCTGAGATCAAGAAGCTCGGTGTTGAGAACTGCTATTTCCCCATGTTTGTGTCTCAAGGCGCCTTAGAGAAAGAGAAAACGCACGTAGCCGACTTCGCCCCCGAGGTGAGGTCACCCTGTTGGTCTTTGCAGTCTTTTTCCCTAAACTTGCAAGTGTAGTTCCCGTTCACACTTGACTAGTGGTTTAAAAGGGAAGTTATAGCAGCAGTTTAGAGGAATCTAAAAAAATTTAAAGCCGTTTAAGAAGTTGTATTTCTGCCTTCGGGGCAGGTTATGATTCTGTTCGTTACATTAAGTCATTAGCTGGCTTTTACTTTTTTCTCAACATTTATAAGGACAGTAAATAAGCTGCCTTTTCTCACAATGAATAGCAGTAAATAACTTGCCTTAGTTGACATAGCAAAAGTTGAACTCACAATTTGCCGGCATCTGTGCTGTTTCTTTAAATGCTGTTTAAACGCCGTGTGAAACGTTATTAATCCTACTAGGTGGCGTGGGTCACAAGGTCTGGCAAGACAGAGCTGGCGGAACCCATCGCTGTCCGTCCCACCAGTGAAACGGGTGAGCATGGGCCTGGGAGCAGGGGATCCGGGGGGACGTGGGGGACAGTTCCGGAGGGCTCTCAGCTTTCACTCTGTCACCTGCATGGTCCCTGGTGACCGTGTAGGAAGTCGAATGCGTGCACATACCAAGATGCATGCAAACCAGAGTTGTATAGAGTCTCATTCTCTGTGCAGTCTGTATTACAGAGCTCTCTAGCAACGGGAGAAAGTTTTGTTTTTTTTCAAGTTTCATCGTTTCATGTTCATGCTGTAATTTCCCCAAACTATTCAAATAGTTTTATTCTTAGAATTATAAAATTGCCAGCACTAATGTTTTGTCATATTTATAAATTTTGTTGCTTATGTTAATATTACATTTACATTCACGTAGGTTTCTATAGGTTACAGAGTGACTTTATTCACTTCCTGTACTATTCCTTTTTTTTTTAAGATTTTATTTATTTCTGGAGAGGGAAGGGAAGGGAGGGGGAGAGAGAGAGGGAGAGAGAGGGAGAGATAGGGAGAGAGAGAAAGAAACATCAATGTGCGGTTGCTGGGGGTTATGGCCTGCAACCCAGGCATGTACCCTGGCTGGGAATCAAACCTGGAACACTTTGGTTCCCAGCCCGCGCCCAACCCACTGAGCTACGCCAGCCAGGTACTTCCTGTACTATTCTTACAATAGCTCAGTGAGGAAGGATGGGGCAGCCGTGGTTATTTCCATTTTGCAGGTAAAAAACCTGTCTGAAAGGTGAGGTGACTTTCCTAAAACAATACAGTGAAAGGGAGGGTCTCGTGGAAAGTCCGCGCCTCTGGGCTTGTCAGCGTGTCCAGAGTGTCACCCGGTTTGGGGAAGGATTATTTGATCAGATGCTGCTGGCGATGCTCTGTGCGCCCGCGTAGAGGTGCGGCATTGGAGTCATGGCGGCTGCCGTTCCTTTGGTGTCACCGACGGCAGCTAGTCTCGGGGAGGCCGCGATAAGGCAGGCACCTTTGCTTCAGTTAGCGGTTCGAGGCAGGAGCTTTCCAGCGACAGGCAAATTGGACCTGGTTCTGGTTCCGGCGTCGCTGTGCTGGACTTGGCAGGTTCTGGAACGTCTCCAGTCCGGTTTCCGTGTCGTTAATGCTGAGGGATTCTGGCAGCTACTTTGTGGGTCACGTGTGAGAACTGAGCAGGATGAGGGATGCAGAGAACTTGAACTTAACACAGAGCAGGGTATATATGCTGCGTGTTCCTCACTTAGTGTTTTCAGAACGGAACAGCAGAAAGGCAACCGGAGTGTAAATCTCATTGCCAAGAACACAAAGCACGGTCGGAAGTAGGTAGTTTATTTCCTCGACTAACTTCTTCATGACGTGCGTAACGGTGCCATTCACTGACCTCTCACTGGACACACTTTCGCACACACGTGGCATTCTGATTCCCGCTCACCGTGTGCAGCCCGGCTCTGGGTGGCCTCCAGGGAGGAGTGGGCCCGCGGCGGCTCACCAGCCTGCGTTTGTGTCTTTGCAGTCATGTACCCGGCCTACGCGAAGTGGGTGCAGTCGCACAGGGACCTGCCCATCAGGCTCAACCAGTGGTGCAACGTGGTGGTAGGTGCTCTCCCTCTGCCCCCCCCCCTTCCCCAGTGCTCCTGCTCACCGGTTCACAGGGCGCACATTGCGTCTCCCCTGGCTTGCGTAGTCAAGGGGCTGGGGGTGTGGGAGCAGGTTTGAAGTGCTTTGGATCACAGTTACGCTTTCTGGTGACTTACACGCGAAATGGTAACAGACACTGAAAAGCTCGCTCTGATGACCCGATTGTCTTCCTGCCTCTTCCAGCGCTGGGAGTTCAAGCACCCGCAGCCGTTCCTGCGGACGCGGGAGTTCCTCTGGCAGGAAGGGCACAGCGCCTTCGCCACGTTCGAGGAAGCCGCGGAAGAGGTGCGGCGCGCCGGCATCCTCGTTCGGATCTGTGTTGTGCCCTGTTCCTTCGTCCACGCCATGCTTCTCCCCCCCCCCAGCTGTCAGTGATGCAGTGCTGTCTGCTCCTAGTAGTCGTTCGACGAGTAACTCTAAGCTGACACTTGGTCTGATCTCAGTGTAGCATTGAAAGAGTTTCTTGGCGTAACTTACTTTGTTACTTAAATCATATCACCGTAATGTTCAGAGAAACAATAAGTGCGTTCATATGTGCGTGGGCCTAAGAAACTGCGTATTGAAATTGTGCTGGAAAAGGCTGCTTTGTTTTTTTTTAATTAAAAAAAAATTTATTGATTGATTTGAAGGGAGAGAGAGAGAAGCATCAGTTTGTTGTTCCGTGCATTCATTAGGTGACTCTTGTATGTCCTGGGGGGTCAGCCTGCAGCCTTGGCGAACGGGGACATCGCTCTGACCGGCCGAGCTCCCCGGCCAGGGCCGTTGTAAAGTTTCAGATGGAAGCCTCTTTGGACTTGAGTGTACAGACGCAGTTGTGATCGCAGGGATGGAAATCATTACTCTTCGGGAGATTTTCGCCCTTGTCCCTGTATATCTTTCAAAAGCTCTAGTTTTCTCTTACATTCTAAATTTACGTCTGTTTTAAAAAGCTCTTCAACTCCTTTTCACGCTGCTTTGTTGGAATGTCTTCCATAGTAAATTCACACTGGCTGCTCTAGCCTTTCCGTAAAAAAGGTTTTCGTCGTGTGGCGGCTTCTCCCACCACAGCTAGTTACAGGTAGTGCAGGTTTGTAGATCTATCATAAATAAGCGAACCGTGAATTCGGACACTTCTACATTCAAAGTGTTGTTGCAGGTCTTGCAGATACTCGACTTGTACGCTCGGGTGTACGAGGACCTCCTGGCAATCCCGGTCGTAAAGGGAAGGAAGACGGAAAAGGAGAAGTTCGCCGGAGGGGACTACACGACCACGGTGGAGGCCTTCATCTCCGCCAGCGGCAGAGCCATCCAGGTGCCGCCCGCTGCCTGGGCTCTGTGGGGGACCTTCGGGGGCACGGCCTGTGGGCGGGCCCAGTGCCTTCCCTCTGCTGTCAGAGGAGGAGACTCTAGAAATCAGCAGTTCACGTGCGTTCTAGGCCACATTCTGATCTCAGGCACCTCTGTCCCGTTTTTGTAAGTCTCCAGGGTCAGCCTGGTCAAGGCTGTGCCCTGACCTGCCGGAGCGTGGGGTCCTTTTCAACCCCCGCAGCGCATGTCACTCCCGGGCACGGGGCCGTCCGTCCGCAGCGCCCTTCCGCAGTGGTTTTTTTGTTTGTTTCTTCGTTTTTTGTTTTTTGTTTTTTTAGCAATCTAATTTTCTTTTTTTTTTAAAGATTTTATTTATTTATTTTTAGAGAGGGAAGGGAGGGAGAAAGAGAGAGAGAGAAAGAAAGAGAAACATCAATGTGTGGTTACTGGGGGCCATGGCCTGCAACCCAGGCACGTGCCCTGACTGGGAATCGAACCTGCGACACTTTGGTTCGCAGCCCGCGCTCGATCCACTGAGCTACGCCAGCCAGGGCTCCGCAGTGGTTTTGACTAGACCTCCAGTGGCGCCAGTCATGCTTGGGAAACGTGTTGAATATTAAAGCACTCAAGGGAGATAAACTAGGTTTAGGGTCATGTTAGGGCTGGTGGCCTTACAGTCATTTTCAGAGGCGTAATAGGTTATTAAAATAAAGCTCCTATTTCTCTGTTTGTTTCAGGGAGGAACTTCACATCATTTAGGGCAGAATTTTTCCAAAATGTTTGAAATCATTTTTGAAGATCCAAGGACACCAGGAGAGAAGCAGTTTGCCTACCAGAACTCCTGGGGCCTCACGACTCGGACGATCGGCGTCATGACCATGGTTCACGGGGACAACATGGGCCTGGTGCTGCCGCCACGCGTGGCCTGTGTTCAGGTGAGGGAGACCCTGAGTCCCCCCCTGTTGGGAAACACAGGTCACACGGACGAGTGGGCTTTTCCGAGCACCATCCAGGTGCACGTTCTGATAGGGAGACAACACAGAACACAGCTTAGAAGTTCGTATGTATCGTGTAACTCTGTACATCCTTCTTGTTCTTGTTTCCTACTCTGTCAATTCCTAGCCGCTTTACCTAAAACTTCTTTAGGAACCGTTTTCTGGAATGACTTGTGACAGGTCAGAGGAAATACAGCAGGTCGGCGAAAATGCAGGTAGCACGGACAGGCGGCGTGCAGCCGATCGGCGGGCGATCTGTGTAGGTTGGAACCGCACCGGCCCGGCGACCGGTGTTCAGATCTGTAGCCCCTCCCCCTGTTTCCTCGGGTGACTGTGACACTGTGCTGGCCTCCAGGTGGTGGTCATCCCTTGCGGCGTCACGAATGCCCTTTCCGAAGAGGACAGAGAGGCTCTGCTTGCCAAGTGCAATGACTATCGACGGCGGCTGCTCAGCGCCAACATCCGCGTCAGGGCTGACCTGCGGGATAACTACTCGCCAGGGTGGAAGTTCAACCACTGGGAGCTCAAGGTAAGTTCTTGTCTTGCGTCTGTCACTCCCAGTTTGGGGTTAGGTTTTCTTCATTTGTGTTTTTATAAAATGTAAGTCTCTGTTTTATTTTGATAGTTGCAGGTTCCTCACTGAAATGAAGTGTTGCACGCATTGGTAAAAAGTGTTTTTGAGGAGGGTTATTTTATTATGTTAGAACTTGAAGACCTGGAGGGGCTGCCAGGCAGTGCAGTGTTTTCTTAGGTTACACCTCATCGGAGCGGGCTTCTGTGGCAGCTCGGGAACATGGCCTGCGTTTTCGTACTGCCCGTGCAGGCCTTGTTTTGTGTGTTGTTATGATTTGTTGTCAATAAAGCCATGAGATAGTCTGTATTCGGGGTGGGCAAACGGGGGTTTACAGTTGCAGTAAAAATGAAGAATACAGTAATTAGAAAACTAATACAAGGGTGAACTCTGTGTCACACACTCGCAACCAGAAGCCTGCCTCTGCCCGCCGTGTGTGCAGCCGGAGACGCTCGCGTGCTGCCCTCACTGCCGCCTTTGCTCCCTAGGGCGTCCCCGTCAGGCTGGAAGTGGGGCCCCGAGACATGAAGAGCTGCCAGTTCGTAGCGGTGCGGCGGGACACCGGAGAAAAGCTGACAGTTGCGGAAGATGAGGCTGAGGCGAAACTTCAGGCTCTTTTGGAGGACATCCACGCCAACCTTTTCAGAAAGTTAGTTCCTTAGAACGGCTCGGGCCTCTCGTCTTGAAACCCTCCTCGACCTGTGAGGTCCCGACGGAGGGACGCTTGGTCCCAGCTGGAAGTCTCCCTCCCTCTGAATGCCTGTGGTTGTCTTCTCCCCTTTCTCTTCCTGTCCTGACTCGTATTCTGATTGTTTTTCTGAGTGCTTTCTGCCCCCTCGTGGGCTTGCAGCCCTGGACTGTCTGTCTGTCCCGTGGACTAGTTTGGGTTAATTTTAGATCCCAGCTTTTATGGCATAAATTTGAGGAATTAAGGCATTGATTCTCACCTTCTGGGTTCACATTAGCAGCCCCTGGGAAGCTTTACCAACTACCGGCGCCTGGCCCCCCCCGCCCCAGAGGTGTTGATGTGGTCGGTCTAGAGCAGGCCTGGCACCTGCAGTGTGAAAAGTGGTTATGATGTACAGCCAAGGGTTAAGGAGGGGGCTCGGGCCTGCTTTGGCCTATGGAGAGGGGTCTTTCGGAATCACAGCTCTCAAGGCAGAGGCGCTTGAAGATTGGTGACCTGTGTGTGGCACCTTATTTTCTCCCTTGCTTACCGGAAGCAGACAGGAAGTCCAGTCCACTGGGGCAGAGGCTCAGCGTGGGGGAGCGCCTGCCCTTTGCTCATTCATCTTCCAGCGTCTTGCACCTACCTCATACGGGGCCCCGGTACCCCTTGCATTTAAGGAGCGAACTAATGTTAGCCTTGGCTTTGGTGCTTGCTTAGCCATTTTTAGGAAAGGCAAGTGATTTTGCTCTTTTTGGCTTGCTTGCCACAAAATGAGAATAGTGGTAAGTCTCCTGAGGGGTCACTTCAAGGATTGTTTGGCCTACCAGTGAGCACCGCATCTGAAGTTGCTCTGGACTCAGAACAGTGCGGCCGTCAGAGACGGAAGAGGAGGAAGCTCCCTGCTGTCCAGCGGTGCGCCCAGCGCGGCGGTTCTTTGCCAGGGATTCTCTCCAGTCACCTGGGGGCTCTGGGACAAAAACACCTGAGCCTCACACCGGAGCTCTGCTCTCTGAGCTTTGTTTTTAATTTTTAATTTTTTTAAAAGATTGCATTTATTTTTTAAAGAGGAGAAGGGAGGGAGAAAGAGAGGGAGAGAAACGTCAGTGTGTGGTTGCCTCTTGCACGCCCCCTACTGGGGTCTTGGTCCACAACGCAGGCCTGTGCCCTGACTGGGGACCAAACCAGCGACTCGGGCTCACAGGCTGGCATGCGGTCCACTGAGCCACACCAGCCAGGGCTGATCTGTGACCTTTAAAGTAGGTTCTGGTCATCTCTGGTGTTAAGATGCTCCCCGTTGGTGCAGATGCACCCCCTGGTTGAAAAACCAATGCCTTGGGACTAAAAGGCAAATTTTTGTTGACATTTTTACTCAGCAAATTTGTTAATATAAGTTGCATAGAGGTACATTTTTTCCTACTTCAAGGCTTAAGCAAGTATGGAATCTGGCATATTCCTTTCTCTGATCTTTCTGGCTAAAACTTAGTCACATGGACCCTTCTCACTACAAAAAGGTTGGACGAAGGGGAAGCAGATTTGGTGGACAGCGAGCGGTTGCTGGCAGAGGCCACGTGGTCTCGGCCCTGAGATCCAGGAAGGAGAAATATGCCTCTCGTCTGTGGTCCCCACCATGCGTGGTCCTCGTGCGATGCAAGGCTCCGAATAGGGGGTGGAGGGATACTACGTCCGTGTCTAAGAGAGTCACACAGAGGGTGGGGGAAGTAGGGAGGGGACAGGGGATAAGTGGTGACAGAAGGAGACGTGACTTGGGGTGGCAGACACAGATGACGTGTTACAGAATCGTGCCCCTCAAGCCTGTGTAATTTTATTAACCAGTGTCACCCCAATAGATGCAACTAAAGGCAGTTGTGTGGTGTGTGAAAGCAGCTTGAGTAACGGACATCGATGATCCCCCTTTTCCAAACACGCACGCGCCTGCACGTGTGGCTTTCACCGCAGCCCTGCACGGTGGGGAGAGCTGCTTGCGCAGCCTCCACCTCCGAGGAGCTCAGGGAAGAAGAGCACGGGGCTTTGAAAAGTAGCCCGGACCCGCACGGGAAGGCAGCGCTGTAGCCAGGGAGGGGACGTCGGCCGGTCGAGGTTTGACGGCGATGATGTGAGACATGGTCCCCCGCTGTGTGCTGGGCCGGTCCCTGTTGTCGAAGTGTCACGGGAACACAGGGACGACGCGCCAGCTGACGCCGCTGCTGGTGGCAGGTTGAGGTCCCAGTGCAGCGCTCGTCCCTCCCAGGCCATTGCTCCCCCGTTACAGTGTGCTTGTTTAATAATGACGCCCCCTCAGGAAGACGAGTGACGGGTTCTTCTCTAATTACTTTTTTGAAAGGGCTTCTGAAGACCTGAGGACTCACATGGTGGTGGCAAATTCAATGGAAGACTTTCAGAAGATGCTAGATTCCGGAAAGGTAAGAGGCTTCCGAAAAGCTTTGAATATAAAGGTGTTTCAGTCCATGGTCTTTTAAGACTCACTGAACTTGAGAATTAAAGCATGCTAGTCCCTTTTTCAAAGCCAGTCACACAGACACAGAAAAGATGACAAATTACTCACCATTTTGTACTCTTTCCACTGGCTTTCCTGAAGCTTTACAACAGTGTATTGTTTTTGGATAGCACTGTGAACTGATTTTGTAAAAGCTTTTTCTTACGCTTGATACACTGGCTAAACAGCATTTGTTCCGTTTAGTTCAATAACAAAAACATCTGTTTTTGTTACTGAAATCTCCAGTTCATTTTTCAGCTTGATGTAAGTTCCTAAAGCAAGCCTTGTTCTAGCTTTAGAAGTGTCACATGCAGATTTCTAAAAGGTTGAAAGTCTGTTTCTGTGAACTCTGCGACCATATACTTAGGTAGCTGTTGATGGATTGAACTCTCTGAGTAACGGGCTGGGGGGTGCTCGGGGGGGCATCGCTCATGTCCGAGCCCGGTTTTCAGAGTGAGTGGGTCCTTCTGCCTCCTTAGAACAGCGTGGGTTTTCTAATGAGGTCGTAAATGTCCCGTTAAGATTTTATCGGCTTCCTGTGTTGTGTGTGCATGTGTTCCCAGCCAGACCTTGAGTTTTCATAAGGAACAGGTCCTGATTTGCAGCAGCGTTAATTGCTGAGGTGATCGCTTGTGGACCTTGCTATTCTGGCGCACCCGGTTGACCACACGGCGGGTCCCGTGTCCTTGTGTTGTAAGTGGGAGAACCGCGGGCCAGAGGCTGGGTGAACTGCCCCTGGCGCTGGAGTTTGGTCTCTCTTCGGACTCAGGGAGGCGGTTTGAACTGGTCACGATCAAAACCTCTAAATCTGTCTCTCCTCCCGTGAGCTGGGAAAGTGTTAACCTTGCTGGCTCTCGGTTCACGAACCTGTAAAGTGAGCATGAAATAGGCCGTCTCAGAACGCCCTTTAGATCCGCGGTTGTCAGGGTTTAACTTTCTCTCATTCTTGGAACGTTGCGTCTGTGGTCTCCCGTTCTCTGGTTTACGTGGTCTGTCCCTCGGCTCAGACGGCGTCCTCGTCAGAGGCGGCCAGACAGTGGACCGCCATCCGATGCCGAGTGTGTGTGTGTCCTCTCACCGGAATTTATGCCCATTTTAGTGTGGCTCCACTAACTACTGAATTTCACAGTTTCCTGTTTGTGCAAGCGTGGCGGTCACAGTGGCAGCCCAGTCGGTGACAACGCTGCACAGGAGATAATAAACCAGCAGCGTAAATACCAGTTAGTCCATTGCTTTCAAAGAAAGGAGTCCCAGCAGATGTGAGTCAAATCACAGATTTCAGCGTCTGGTCTGAAGCCCGGTACAGTATTCTAGCTGTCCGTCCAAAGGACACAGAGAGACCAAGCAGGTGTTGTTACTTGAGTTCCTCGGTCCCATGCACCCCCACCTCGCCCTGCGCTGGCCAGCTCAGCTGTGCCGATTGGCCAGCCAGCAGCCTTTGCAGTCACTGTAAATAAAACTGCATTCCCCGGGAGAGGGGGAGGCCGGAGGGGTCTCTGGAGCTTGAATGTCGGTGAAAGTTTGATTTTCTGCTTCCCCTGTCGGTGTAAAGGGGAAAAAATTATGTGTAACACTTGATTTCAGTACATTTTCCAAGAGGATGGTTTTAATTAAATTAAAAATAAGTGTTACTCATATATAATATGTACTTTTTACTGTTGACATAGCATTATTAGCCTATTAACACCAAAATGAGTATTGTTATTTTTGTTATTAACATTTTCTGCTACAGAATGCAAGCTACTGTGTATTGCAAGAGATTGTATCTTTTTAAAACAGATATAGAAATGAAAAATAAAAATTAAGAACTTCCATGGCTGAATAAATAGCATAAAAATGCATACTGTCCTTTCATATTAATAAATTATATGCAAGATAGAAATTTCAGATCTTATCATCTATAGTTAACTTTGCAGCTAGAAGGAATTAAAACATGTTTTTTTAACAAAAGTATCATTTATGAGATCAAGTATATTTAGTAACAACTTCAGTTGAATTTTTTACATGATACACCATTTTAACTTTTAGAATTATTTTAGAAATATCTTCTCAAGGCAAAAGTAAGTTTTCTTAAGAGAAAAAGAAACTAAGACTACTGTAAGTTTTGTTAAAGTTACCAAAAACGTAGCTGTGTTATGAGTCAATAAAAGTAAAATTCTATTACCCAAAGACATTCTTTTTAATTAAGTCTTAATATTTATCATTGCTTAAATACTGACAGTGATTAAAATTCCCCCATTCTGTTTTTTGTAATGAATTTTAAATAATACTTTTATGAGTGTACATTTTTTTATGCTTTCTGATTGCAAAAATGCTAATGATTTACCAAGATTCAATACAGGGAAGTCACTTGATGTGATTTTAGCTCTTATATCCACACTGGTCTTTGCTTCAGTTTGCATTGCATAATCTCTATATTGTTATTTCAAAACATTTGTTAATACCAACCCTTCCGCTTTCCCTTGACCCACTCATTCCTTCCCTCCAGGATTTGCCTAGAAATGTATCAGCTCTTCATAAGGGCAAATTGTTAAAATGAACAGTTTACCAAGTTTGGAACTTAGACTACTATATTTTGCTAAATGAACAGAAGAGAAGTAGTCTTCCTCACTCTTCTTTAATGTTCCCTTGGTGAATTACTCAGTTGTTTTTGTTGTTTTTGTGTTGTTGTTGTTTTAGGAAAAGATTATTTATTTATTTTTAGAGAGGAAGGGAGAGGAGGAGAGAAACATCAGTGTGTGGTTGCCTCTCACACGCCCCCTACTGGGGACCTGGTCTGCAATCCAGGCGGGTGCCCTGACTGGGAATCATACGGTGACCCTTTGGTTCGCAGCCCTGCGCTTGGTCCACTGAGTCACACCAGCCAGGGCAAATTACTCGGTTTTTAAAATAATTTCTTCATCTGCATTTCACTTTATTCTTAGAGAGGCCTTTTGGAACATGTTTTAACCAAGTCCCGAGTGCAGGGAAGAGTGTGCGGGGGGCGCTCGATCCGAGCCTCGGGCGGGTGGCTGCAGCGTGAGTGGATCAGAAGTTGGTGAGGAAGTCGGTGACTCTCCAGCGGCTCTGAACCCGAGTTTCCGGTGTCTGGCGATTACCCAGACCTTTGCTGCCCCACTGCTAACGTGGGTCTCCAGGGATTGTTTAAAGGACTGTCACAAAAACGTTATTGTGGACAAACCTCACTTTGAAGTAGACATGCTATGAAAAATTCGGGCTTCACGTCCGAGAGAAGTCTTCATTCTTGTTTTGTCCGACATCCACACTTGCAGAAAGAAAACTCGGAGCTAGAGATTTTCAGATAGGCGGTGACTCTCAGAGTTAGGGTAAAAGCCCCAGTTCTCTTGATCCTTCTCGTTATTCTGAATGGTCTGTGAAAAAAATTTTGACAGGTGTTTTTTTTTTTTTTTTTTTTTGGACACAGAATGAGTCTTGACTCTCAAATGCCCTTGGCCTTTGAAAAATGATTCACTGGCCTGTGACATGTTAAAACAGTGGGTCATAAAGTGCCATGTACCCGACCGTTCATTGTTACACTGAAAGCGCTTTAAAAATAGGTCACTATTTGTCATCTCCCCGCCGTCCTCCGCTAGCGGTTCAGGCGGAGCCGGCGGCGGTCGCCTGTGAGGGGAGGGGGATGTGGCTGCCGTCCCGACCCAGGTCCCCTCCCCTCTGCTCCTTCTCTCAGGCACTGGCGTGGTGGCAGAGACGTCTGTGTGGTGTCCTGATGCTCGGTGGGGTGTGGGGTTTGGGGGGTGGGACAACATGCTCTCGTACCCCTACATTTCTGAGCACAGTTGCTAGCAGGTGTGCCAGGGTTCGGGGGCCCAACCAGGGCTGGGAGACCTCTCCTCTGTGCTTGTCGGTTTAAGGGAGAGCTCAGCTGTTCTTCCCGTGGCATGGAAGGGTCACCAACACCATGTCCCGTTCCCCCCCAGATCGCCCAGATCCCATTCTGTGGGGAGATCGACTGCGAGGACTGGATCAAGAAGACCACGGCCAGGTAAAGGGAGCCGACGGACCGGAGGGGGGTGCGGCCGCGAGACAGAGAGAGAAGTGCACAGCCTGAGTGGGTGGACTTCTTACTTGTCTTTAATTCCAGGGATCAGGACCTTGAGCCCGGTGCTCCGTCCATGGGGGCGAAGAGCCTTTGCATCCCCTTCCAGCCGCTCTGCGAGCTGCAGCCTGGAGCCCGCTGCGTCTGCGGCAAGAACCCGGCCAAGTTCTACACCTTGTTTGGGCGCAGTTACTGAGGGCGGGCCCGCGCCCCGCCCTCCAGCCCCTCACTTTTAAAAAACTTGATACCAATATCTTCCCAGATATAGTTTTATGATTTTTTTTAAAAACAAAAGCTCAAAGAGGAGGTCACATGAAATAAATGTCTATTCTTATGCCTAAAGTGACTGTGGAAGTAAGGCTTTTCTGCATACAGCCCCAGTAATAAATACCATGAACTGATACCAGTGTGTGTGTTCATTTGTTTCTGCAGTCCAAGGTGCTGCGAGGAAACCCCTACGAAGAGATGAGAATAACAGAAAATAACTTGCCCCCGTAGGGGTTTCCCGAAGCTTCTGAGGAGCAGACTAACCGCAGAGAAGCTCGAAGCTGCCTCCCTCAAATGCACCCCTTACTTACGGGGACCCCTTGGTGAGGGAGTGTGTTCAGGAAGGACGCTTTCACCCCCCATCCACATGCGATGGACTTCTTTCTTAAATCGAGATGCAACTAAAATTCCCAAACTTTCAGACACCTGAAAAGGGGCGGTGCTTTTCAAGCAGGTGCCTGGACCTGAGTCCAAGCAGTGTCCCTGAAGAAATGTCACACTTGCAGATGACAGCCACCAGCCGGTAGATACGTGACCGACAGCCCCTAGTGCTGGTGTTCACAGCAGCAAAGAGCAGACAGAGAGGCCAAGGGGTGTTTTCTAGGGTGGGACGACAGCGGGTTCCTGCAGGGGAGACGGGGGATCCGCGAGTACATCCTGAAACCCCGGTGAGCCGGTGCGCGGAGGAGAGCGGGTGCCCTCCCCAGGGTGGGCGGGCCTCGTTCGGTCCGAAGGACCGGGCCGCCCCTCCTTCCGCCTCCCGCTGACCGCCTCCTCTCCTGGGAAGGCTTTGAGTCTTGAGATCGGCGGCAAAAGACACCCAGTGGAACAGGTGGAGGGAGGGCGTTTTGACCAGAGTCCGGACATACCACCCCACCTGTGTCCGATTCCACTTGGTGATACCAGTCATCTCCCACACCGCTGTGTGTGGGGGCTGTCAGTAGCTGCAAAAGCAGCTCCCTCTGCCCTGTTGCCTTTAAACTCATCCTTGGTCCTTCGCTGGCCACTTTTACGAGGTCTAGAAGGGGCTAGCCCTTCATTTAGTGAATGTAATTCATAAACTTTCATAAATGCTCTGTGCAAAGTGCCAGAGCAGACAAGAGTTGAGTGAAAACAAACGTGATGTTCTTTCCTTGAAGTCGTCCTATTTCAGATGCAAGATCAGATGATCAAGCAGACAGGGAGGGGGGGCGATGAGTCTGGCTGAGCCTTGTTAGTAGGGGCCTTGCCTCGCCCACCGTCCCTGACACGATGACGTCATCCCCACGGAGTCACGATGATGTCATCCACACCGAGAGAGCGCACGCTGAGAACTGTCCCGTACTTGAGGGGATACCTGGGAAGTTCACACTGTTCTGTCCCACCATCCGGCTTAAAGTAACAGAAACTATTGTGGTTCAGTAGGTGATATTAAACCAATGTATTTGCTCATCTTTACCGGAAAGTTTAAAGAGTTTGGACCATCAATAGAACTGAAATAATACAAAAAGATGTTAATCGTCAGGTAATGGGAATATTTCAAACTACATTTTAAGTAGGCCACCCAAACCAAACTTTGTGATTAAGAAATACCTGCTGAGTGAGTGAGTTTCTTGCCTCCTTGTGGTCTTGACTCAAGAAACATCTCAGGGCATTCTTCCCTGACCGCTTGATTGAAAGTTACAGCTCCACCCCCATGCCAGCACTGCCCTCCTCCTCTGCTTCCTTTGCCTCCCTTGTCCGTACCACGTGACATTGAGTCCACTTGATGACCTCGTTAGGCTTCACGAAGGCAGGGTTTTTGTCTTTTATTCGTTGCTGTTGAGCCTGGAGCCGTGTCTGGCGCCGTGCAGGAACTTGGACCAGGTTTGTTGCAGGGGTGGAGGAACGAGGGCGTCTCGGTGCAGTTTGATACGGAGCCCGGGTGTAGGGGTCCTCTGTCACACTGTCAGCCGAACTGGAGGTCACTTACGGGACGCTAGGGAAATTGTTGGGGCTGCATTTAAATTGCAGGGATTAAGTCACAGTCAGTGGATCAGTGTTTTCCAGATAAAAAGAACCACTAGGAAGAATGTGTTTATTTATTTATTCATTTTTTTAGAGAGAGAGGGGGAGGAAGAGAGAGAGGGAGAGAAACACTGATGTGAGAGAGAAACATTGAGGCCTCTCATATGCACCTGGACTCGGGGACCAAACCAGCAACCCAGGCGTGTGCCCTGACTGGTGATCGAACCTGTGACCCTTCGTTTTGCAGAATGATGCCCAACCAACTGAGCCACACCAGTCAGGGCTCTAAATAGAGATTGTTTTTTAAATAAAAAATGGCCGTTACGGAGGCTGAGAATTCCCAAGATCTGTAGGGCCCGTCAGCAAAGCAGGAAACTTAGGAGAACCTGTGGTATAGTTTCAGTCTCATGGCCCATGGGCTCCAAACCCAGAAAGAGCTAACCCTCCAGTTCAAGCCTGAAGGCAGGCCAGGGCGCGTCCCAGCTTGAAGGCGGCCAGCGGGCAAAGTCAGGAGGGTCTCTTCAGGCCTTTAACTGATTGTGCAAGGCCCACCCACCCTGGGGAGGGCAATCTGCTTTATTCATCCAACACGCCCTCACCGGGTCCCTCAGCAGGGCGGGGGAGGCAGGCCAGACCAGTGCCCGGGTGGGGGCCTGGGTGTCCTGGTCACGCTGCTGAGCGGTGAGGTGCCAGGGGACACCTGGGGCATACTGGAGCACCAAGTTGAGAGCTCTGGAGTGGCCCCTGCTGGCTGCCTGCAGCCCTGCAGCCCTGGGGCTTCCTCAGGATACTTGAGCCAGGGAAGAGGTAACTGAGGATCAGGGCCAACCTGAATTACGGAAGAAAAAGACACTTTTCCTCCCATCCAGCACCAGATCCTTACTGTCGAGCTAAATTCGCTTTCCGTCCAGCTGGCTCACGTATCCCAGGTGTGAAGGGTCACGATGTCACTGAAACCTTTCGGTGACAGGCCCCAGTACAGGAATTTACAGACAACGGAGACCTCCTGGGACACGTGACAATTACGCATGATGCCATCGGATGGACGCCAGGGGACTGCAACTGGCGAGAACTACAGAATGGGACGGTACGAGCTTTTCCAATTGGGAAGCCGCGCATTTCCCCAGCTCCGACCGGAAATGAAGACCCCTTCTGGTGTCATCAGGAGCTGCTGCCTTTTGGAAGGAACTGACGATACCGGAAGGAAGATGGGGCATGAGTTCAAGTAGCGACCGCATCAGGAGGCACACTTCACACAATGGCCAAGTGGTTGAAAGAGGACAATGCAATGGACTTATTATGGGGCCTGGACCATCCCAGTCAGCCCAGACAAGGGGCGGAGACGTGGTTTGAACCCTGTGACTGTTCCGATTTTGTGTCAGAGACCTCTAAGAAGTTGCCTGGACTTGGAGCAGAGGTCAAGATAGAAACCAACCACACAAGAATAGTTTTCTGCAGTGGAGAACCTACTTACTTGGGCAATGAAACATCTGTTTGGGGGTCAACAGGAAATAAGACTCTTGCTGTAGCCGTAAAAAAAATTCACTACCTCTTCAAACCATGTCTGTCAACTAAAGAATTTCGGTTGAGTCTCTTGAAAGCTTTTGATGCAGTGATTATACACACAGTTCTCTTTGTTTTATAATATTGAATATTGGTTTTTACCTACAAAATTCCCTTTTATTAAAATAACATGAAGAAATCCCTTTACCTAACATAAACAAAATAATCTCTGGTTTATAAAACCTTTATTCCACTGCTTTCTTCTCTCCTACCATCAGTATCTCAGTTTTTCATGGAGTGCTTTTGAATTTGTGCATTTTTCATGTCTTTCTTCCTTGGGCCAGAAAGGTAAAAGGCACAGGGGCAGAACTGCTGTATAATAATATCAATATTTTTTGAGCATGGGCTGCAAGCCAAAGGGTCATCGGTTCAATTCCCAGTCAGGGCACATGCCTGGGTTGTGGGCCACATCCCCAGTGGGGGCCACGTGAGAGGCAACCACACACTGATGTTTCTTTCCCTCTGTTTCTCCCTTTCCCTCTGTCTAAAATTAAATCTTTTTTTAAAAAAAGTTAATGAAAGAAAAATAATATTTTGGGGGGAAAGAAGTCGAAACTCTTAGAGTGTTGGCCAAAGTGAGCACGTTACATGATCTTGATGTCAATCACCTACCCTTTATGCATAGGAATTAACTTTTATATTAATTCCTATGAATAAATTACAGTTTATACTGTATAGAATTACAATTTATATCAGCTCCAAAGGCTCCTTCAACCCAACATTTTGAATCTATGAATATGGTGTTACCAAGATGTTTAATTTACCCTCAGCAATTTTTTCACCGTAGGAGCTACTTTTTTCCTGGTGTGGTAGTTACAGTTTTTCATTTATGTGCTTTTTTTTTTTTTTTGGTAGTTTAGACTGACTTTGCAGCTCTTGCAACTTCTGGAAACGTTCTGTTAGTCTGATTTAGTTCTGCTCGCCCAGCCTCAGTAAACACGGTGGAGAGGAGCCCGAGTGGTCAGCTAGTGTTTCTGGACTAGCCAGCAACTGGCGCTGGGTGATGTCAGCATCCTGGCATTTTCGAACCTTCGTTTCCTTATCTCTGACATGACTCATCTGCCACGATTGTTGTAAAGATGGCAGCCATGTCTGTTTGGCGTCGCCAGGTCACGATAAAGGTAGCTGTAATGATTAATCAAAGAGGAAAAAGGAAAACATCCTCACAGAAAACCCTCAGAGCAATGTTTGGTCAAATGCCTGGGCACCTGGTGGCCCAGTCGAAACTGACACGGCTAATTAACCCCCCCCCCGCCCCCCAGTCTCTCTGCTCAGAAAAGGTCGCACAGAGCAGCTTCAGTCCCTACTTCTCCAAGGGCTGAGTGTTGTCCCCAGACTGCTCAGAGCGACAGAGGCCGCTGTGGTTTCGCCTGTTCAGGAACCAGTAATCCTCCAAGGACTGGAAGTGATGGATGATAAGAGTGAAAACAAAAATAGTGGTTACGTCGTTATAATTTGGCTTTATTCCCCGAAACTGACTGGAGTTACGTCTTCCGCTCCTCCAGATTAAAGGTGTTTTCTCTTTCCTGAGCGTGAGGATTTTGTTTTTTTCCTGATCGTGGAGGATGCTGGGAACCAGGGCGCTTG